GGCAAGGTAATTCCGTCACTCACCGGAAAGCTGCACGGCCTCGCCTTCCGAATTCCCACACCAAACGTCGCGATTGTCGACCTAAACGTACGATTAAGGAAGGAGACCACATACGAAGAAATCAAAGCCAAAGTCAAGGAAGCGTCCGAGGGCCCACTTAGAGGCATCCTAGGCTACACCGAGGAGGAATTAGTTTCGTCGGACTTTAACGGCGACACACATTCGGCAGTTTTCGACGCGGAAGCCGGAATACACCTATCAGATAACTTTGTCAAATTGGTCGCGTGGTACGATAACGAAATTGGTTATTCACATCGCGTTATTGATTTAATCACGCACATTCAGACAAAAGACGAGGAGTACGCTAACGGATCATTTTATCAGTCCTGTGAGGTTTAAGTAATTTATTTTAGTATTTATCATTTACGTACGTTGTTTGTTTTATATTTATTAGTCGATAATGTGTATGAATGCTCCCTTTTTGTTCGCTGTAGGTGTATATGATATTGCAATTACATTCTGAGATTAATTTCAATTTTAATAAAAATTTCACGAAGAATTGAGTACTTAACTCTGTCAAAAACAATATTCACGTGGCTGGCGCAACTTCTGCTAAAGGATGATGGAAAACAAACCGATTGATTTGGTAGAGATCTGAGGTATTGTCAGTTTTTCTTCACTTGGTTTAGTCCAAAGGTTTCTTCATAGCAAGGATACAGAGGATACAAAACGATTTTGCTGCGTATTGTTTACCATTTATGTTATTGAACTTGTTTTTGACATGGATGAGAAACTGTGAAATGGTGCGCGAAAAGTTTTGGAGCTGAGTATTCCACTACAATCCAAAGTCTGGTGCATTGAAACTTTGGCGAAAGGCAATTGTTTAAAAGATAACCAGTATGATACTTAATAATGTAATTGACATTAATGATTTTTTGCTTGTTTATTTTGAAACCTTCCTTTTCATAAAGAAATCAAAAATTTCTTGTATCTATGACCTACAGATAAGATTTTTCGTCATTGATCTCTACTTATTTGAGGTGTAAATTTTTTTATTATTATCAAAGTATATGAAGATATATAAATAGCAACAATTTTGCTATTTTGGAACGATGATGAACTATATATTTTAGCGAATTAAGCGATATATAGCAGTATAATCAGTATAGCTACGTTGTAATAAATATTTATTTATCAAGTGATGTGTCATAAGGTTCTTTATCCAGAAGAGATAATTAGTTACTTGACATTCTACGAGGAGGTTCCCGGTGACACTTTTGGCAAATGTGGATGATCTTATGACCCTTGATGGTGGTTGGAAATCTTCTGCAATGGCAGATAGAGCTGATGTTGTTGAAAGATTAATGTTAGAACATTAATAAAACGTCTTGAGCTTCAAAATAATAGAAAAATAAAGAAGTTCATAAATGTCATTCAATATTCATCATATAGGTATTTTTTTAACATCTACACACTTTATAATTTATAAAATATTTTATGATCGTACTTCAACACCTCCCCTCGATTAAAAATATTTATAAATTCATATAAATACTACATCAAAACTTACTTCTAAGTTCAAAATAGGAAATACACAGTTTTAAATAGAAAATACAAATTACCTCCCCTTATTTCATATTTAAAAAAATCTTGATTCTTAGAGTAGACCTATAGCCTTAGCAAACATTTCTGTTTTGGGCCCCGACAGGGATTTCGTGAAGAGGTCAGCAAGGTTTTCTGATGAAGGTATATATTCTACTTTGATCATTCTGTTATTAATACATTCTCTCACAAAATTGTATTTAACAACAAAATGCTTACTTCTCTCTCTCTGCAATCGAACCTTGATTATCACAATAAACAATTTCTCTTCCATAAATTAAATCTTCTTCACTTAATTCACGTAACAAAGTTTGTAGCCACAGAAATTCACACATTGACTCATAAAGGGCGATATATACTCTGCATGAGTTGATGAACTGGCTACGCATTTCTGTTTTCGGCTTTTCCAAATAACTGCTCCATTCCCAAAATTAAAAACATAACCAGTTATTGATTTTGCGTCATTTTTATCACTAGCCCAGTCTGAATCACTATAACATGAGAAAACGCCATTTTTCTTATAAGTTAATCTATAACCTATTGTTTTCTTTAAATACTTTAACACATTTTGAACACCTCTCCAATTTCTTACAGTGGGTCTCTGGTTGCATTGACTCAATTTACATACAGCATTTGCAATGTCAGGCCGAGTACAAGTGCTAATATAAAGAAGAGAACCTATCGCCTTTTGATACAATTCACGGTCAAAAATTTCTCCTTCGCCTTTCACTTCAAAATGCGCTCCTACTTGAAGTGGACAAGAAGTGCCTTTAGATTCTGACATATTGTACTCATTTAATATGGATTTTATGTACTGACTCTGATTTATGGTTATAACATTCTTACTAGGTCGATCAAACTGTATTGATATAAATGATCTTACGGGACCTAAATCTTTAAGTTTGATAATTTTTCCAATAATTTCTTTAAATTTTAAAACTTCTTCTTCAATTCCCGAAACCAAAAAATCGTCAACATAAACGGCCACTATAATGTCTTTCTTAAAAAATATGCAAGGTTCACTGATACATTTGGCAAAATCTAAACTTAACATAATGGATGTTACGTGATTATACCAGTTTCTACCTGATTGCTTAAGGCCGTACAGACTTTTTTTAAGTTTACAAACGAATGTACCTTTATCGAGTTCTAATCCATCAGGTACTTCCATCAATACTTCCTCATCCAAACTGCTATTGAGGTACGCTCCGACTACATATCTACATGATCCAACCTCCATCCATGATGTACAGCTAGATACGTCAGAAGTCTGATTGATTTCTGCTCCACTACAGGACTCATAGTTTCGAAATAGTTTACTCCGTGAGTTTGACGAAAACCTTGTGCAACAAGTCGGGCTTTATACTTACTTAATGTTTCCATCTCCGTTTTTGATTGTGAACACCCACTTGCAGGCTATTACCCTTGCACCTGGTTGTCGTTTTATAATTTTCCAGGTTTCTTGCAAATTTAAATTCCGAAATTCGTTATTATAATGGCATCCTCCCATGCAAGTGCGTTTGAGCCATTCACAGCTTCCTCATAACTGGACGGAATCTTCTCTTCATAATCGTAGAGCAAACATACAACATGGCAATTTACATCATTTTCTTGTTACTGGTGCTCTACTAGATTTTCTTAATTGTACAGGTCCTTATCGTCAGTATTATCGATTTCAGTTTGCTCTTCTCCTTGGTTATGAATCATTTCTGCTATTACAGCTTTTTGATTTTGAATTTCCAGCTCTCCATCTAACACGTCTTGATTTTGAGCAACCATCTCTCCTTCGGGTACAATTTCAATAGAATAATTTTTATCTGTAGAGATTTCAGAAAACAATCCTTCGTTTTTGTTTAACTCGCTTAGGAAATTGCAGTCAAAATTGTTAATCTTAAATGTCTGAGTTTGGTTTCGACATTCACTTGGTACTTTCAATACAGGTTGTTTAAATGGAAAAATCTCTTCCTGAAAAATTACATCTCTCCTGATGATTACCTTTCTTCGCTTCAAACTCCATAATCGATAACCGTCCTTCGTATTTTCGCCGAATCCAATAAGCACACATGTTTCAGCTTTTGATTCAAATTTCGTTGATTTAGATTTCTTTGCCCATGCTTGGCAACCAAAAATCTTAATTAAATTTGCTGTATCTAACTTTAATTTCTTACTGTGCCAGATTTCGTAAGGTCAATTGCAGATGAGGGGCACCGATTTCTGATAAAAACTGATGTCATAATTGCTTCTGCCCAAAAATTCATGAGTACACCGGATTCTAACATCATATGCATCTTGCCATTTCTACCAGAACGCGCGGTTCTGCCGTTCTGCCAGACCATTTTGCTGCGGACAACCTGGTGCACTTCTCCTATCTTTTATTCCGCATTTTCATGCAAGTACTTCTCGGAAACATTTGATATGTACTCGCCACCATTGTCACTTTGCATGGTCAGTAACTTTTTCTGTTGATTTTCCGCTTCCTAATGAAATCTAACAAATTCAAGAAACGCCTCATCCTTCGTCTTCAAACATTTGGCAACGATATAATGAGAGTAATCGTCAATAAGAGTCATAATAAATAATGATCCGCCAATATAGATGGTGGTGAAATTTTACCTATTAGGCGACTGAATTTTCCTTGAATGCAAACTTCACATTTCTCATCATCTTTATTTGGTTCTTCTTTTAAATTTTTGAGAAAAGGAATTCTCAACAAATCCCTTTTATTCACATGTCCAAATCTTCGATGCCATAGCTGCATGTTGTTGACTGCTCTACATGCTAATCCATTCTTCTGTTCAATGTTAAAATTTTTATTTCTTATATCCGCAGTATTTACAACGTATACCCGAACCTTCTTTACTCTAAAGATCAGCTCATCATTATCCAAAACTACTCCTCTTTCACCAGTGAACATGACGTCCAAACCTTTATCTGTCAACCTTGAAACAGACATCAAAGCACATTCAAGATCTGGAACGAAAAGTGTCTCAGACAACGTGATCCTGAATCCTCCGTCTTCTTCAGGTGTACGAATCATGACGATGCCTTTGCCTTCTATCTGAGCTTCATCCCCATTTCCCATCTTGATGATGCCACAGTAATCTTCATCCAGTTCGACAAATTCTTCTTTCAATGGTGTCATGTGATCTGATGAACAAGAGTCTAAATACCAACATTTCCGCTTCATATTGCCTTTAACTCCTACTGAACAATACGCTTTGGCTTTGTGGACTGAATCGACAATTTCACTTATAGCACTACTTGCCATACCTTCCTTCTTGTGTCGTTGTTGTCTCAAGAACTCCTTCAACTCTAGACAGTCACAAGATTTGTGTCCTAAATTTCCACAGGTGTAGCACTTGTAGACTCTATCTTCATTTCTACTTTCTCCTTTAACTCGTTGAGTACTGTTTCCATGATAGACTCGATTATCATTTCTATTTTCTCCTTTAGCTCGGTGAGTATTGTTTCCATAGTTTTTCGATTTCATACTTTGGTTTGCTTTTGAGTTCTGCACTGCTTTCATAGCTTTGACTTCGTCTGTTTTTGTCGACAGTCCGTCTAATCTGATTTGACGTTTCTCTTCCACCAACAATTTACTTATGATGTCATCACGACTTAAACTTTCTTGATGTTCCAGTGTTCTAATGAAGATTTCATATTTGTCCCTTGGAAGACCCCTCAGAATAAACAATGAGAGAGCATGTTCATCAAAAGTTATACCGCAACGTAATATTTTTCGGTTGAGATCAAGAATTTTTGAAATGTACTCGGTCATTGAAGTATCTCTTTTCTTTATGGTAGTTAAATCTTCCAGAAATTCAAGTTGATGCATCACACTAAAATCTTGGTGTAAACTAGACAGGGTTGTCCACGCTTTTTCTGCCGTTTTATGTCCTCCTATATAGTCAATATATTTATCACTTACCGAAAGTAAAATAAGTGACAACGCTCTGGAGTTCTTCTTCTTCTCCCCTGCGTTGAAGCCTTCTATCAAATCTTCACCGCCAAAACCAGGATCAACTGCATCCCAGCATTCTCGCTGCTCCATGATCGCCCTGGCCTTAATATGCCATGCGAAATAGTTGTCGTCTGTGAGTTTGAGTCCTCGATCAAGACCATCATTGTAATTGTTCATCGTCATTATTACTCCTTCTAAATGTGATGAGACAGCTACACTCCTCCTTGATGTCTGGATACGTAAACTCTGCTAACTACCGATCGAAAAAATGTACCTGCACGACGTCTTTAATCCAGTTACAGTAACACACACGTGATTCTATGTAACACTTTTCCGGATTTAATTTTTGAAACACTAACGCGTAAGTCTCATAATCTGTTGAAAGATTAATGTTAGAACATTAATAAAACGTCTTGAGCTTCAAAATAATAGAAAAATAAAGAAGTTCATAAATGTCATTCAATATTCATCATATATTTTTTTAACATCTACACACTTTATAATTTATAATAGTTATTTATATAACAAGAGCGCGAAGTTCAATTTCGCGCATTGAGACTGAAGGTATTTAGACGAGGCGAAGCCGAGTCAAAATATCAGTCAAATGCGCGAAATAACTTCGCGCTAGAGTTATATACAATATTTTTTCTACAACTGAACCGATTGTTAATTAAATTTGCTGTTTAAGTTCAACTTTGCCACGTGCGCGAAATACTTTTTTTCACTGTTGACGATTTCGCGCACGTTGTCAATAGCAACCTTACTTATTAATTAACCGTTTAAAAATCTAGTACTTCGCGTTTCGAAATCCGTCAGAAAATGACAGGTTTTTTTGACAGTTGTAGAAAAAATATTTTTTCTACAACTGTCAAAAAAAACTGTCATTTTCTGACGGATTTCGAAACGCGAAGTACTAGATTTTTAATCGGTTAATTAATAAGTAAGGTTGCTCTTGACAACGTGCGCGAAATCGTCAACAGTGAAAAAAAGTATTTCGCGCACGGGACAAAGTTGAACTTAAACAGCAATTTAATTAACAATTGGTTCAGTTGTAGAAAAAATATTGTATATAACGCTAGCGCGAAGTTATTTCGCGCATTTGACTGATATTTTAACTCGGCTTCGCCTCGTCAAAATACCTTCAGTCTCAATGCGCGAAATTGAACTTCGCGCTCTTGTTATATAAATAACTATTATGATCGTACTTCAACAGATGTGTGGAAGACTCCGATTCCAACCAATTAGATATTGTAAATAAAGTCCAAGACATCCGAAACAATTGTAATAGCTATTTCTGCTCCTTAAGAGGTCACATCCAGATTACCAACAAGTACAATTATAATGGAAAACCGAACATGAACGGCAACACCGAGCCCTCACAAAAAAACTGTACAATTACTGTTAACGTTAACTTGAATAAATAATGTAATGTAAATTTAACTACGTGGTTTTATTTATTACAACTAATTAACAATAAATTTATAACCGTCTGAAAATGGATTAATTTATAACAGTAATTCTTATGTATCACTTACAATTTATAACGTAACACAAGCGCGTCGAAGTTGGAACTGCCCTGAAACGCAATACGATTTGTTTATATAATAAACCCGAGAGTTCGCGAGTCTGCTCGAATGATCTAGAACAAAGCACGTCATATTTCCGGGAAAGATTACGTCACATCCGCTTTCCTTCTTTATCGCCGAAGACTAATCTTTCATGGCGCCTTGATGTCTATCGAGATTTCTGGAACGTTTGCTACACTACTCCCTCCTTTTAAAACTGTTGCATCTCGCAACACGAGCGACGATTGTATCGAAGACACAGTCCCAGACAACTCTTGTTCTATAACACGAACTTGATGGCGGTACTTTGCATCTTGTATTCTTGAAGAAAAAACATCTACCATCTTACGAATCGGTTGCGGCGGTACCTCTACCTCTAGGGTTAAAGTAACAGACCAATATTTCAACCCCGGAGCCCTGGAATACCACCTAGAGCATATTGCGCACGTTGCGCCAATCCAATTTATCTAGATCACATCCGATCTTTGGAATTGCCCGCTGTGTAACGCCATGGATTTGTATTGAATGCCCGTTTTTACGTATTTTGAAGACGTCTTCTTAGTGTGTTAGACAAGTTGCCCAAAATTTTGTAAGAGCGTGCTTGCGAGATTTTGCAGAGGTCAAATTCGAAAGCAAACATTAGCCTCCACTCTGTATATATCGAACTAATATAGTCCACAGGGGCGCCACCGTGGCGCCACTGGCCACCCGCCATCAAATTTTAAAATGGATCTCTGTAGTTAACCACAAAAATTAGAAATAAACGCTTAATTATTATTGAATGTGATATAACATGGACGCGCCATCATTAAAAAACCTCACGGATTTCAAGTATAGCGTACCCGCAAAGGAGCAGAGCTTTGTAAGATTAACATGTGTTAGATTGAGGTTATGAAATTGTTATTACCGTAGATTCTGCAACAACTGGGGGCACCCCACGTTTCCAGCTTTAATTATATGGTAAATAAGGGTTTGAACGATGCAGTTTCCAGTCTACACCCTGTCGAATTCACTCTACCGTCCGGGGAAAGACTTTCCCTACGGATTGAGGATGTATCCCTAAACTACCCCGCAGTGCCTTTGGGAGTTGTTGGCGTGAGAACTCAGCAGATTTTTCCGACAGAATGTAGACAACGTAACGCTACTTACTGTGGGAAGTTGAACGGTAAAGTCAGTTGGTCGATTAATAACGGGCCACGTAGTTACATAGATCAAGACTTTGGTAACATACCGATTATGATTAAGGTTAGTACAATCTGAAGAGTATCCACTTCTGAACCCGATTCTTTACGACAGTCGAATCGATGTAACTTGAATGAGATGACGCCCAAACAGTTGGTGACGCACAAAGAGCACGAACAGGAATGGGGCGGTTACTTCATCATCAGAGGGCACGAGAAATTAATCCGCATGCTGCTTATGACGAGGCGTAATTATCCTATCGCGATTAAACGAGGTGGTTGGAAAGGAAGGGGCGATCTTTTTTCGGATGTTGGCATACAAATCCGTTGCGTGAATGACAGTCAAACTTGCGTGGTAAGTGTGGCGCGGGGGGGGGGGGGGTTATGAGGCATGTTAAAAGTTATGTACATCTTCCGATTTTGTTTTGTGACCTTTTGGTTGCTAACTGAGCATGACAGGTACGAGGTGCCAATAACAAAAGTTTAGTGCTTCAGTTGTTTTTCACAAAAATTGCTTTTTTTCACTACTAGCGTCTGATGACATGATTATTAACCTTTTTTCCACTTGTAAAGTAGGCTTTCTCGGCATTTGTTCAAAGTGGTTAATAATTTTTTATTATTAACTAGTAGTCAATAATGAGAACTGTCACGCTATCACTTTTAGAAAACACAAGCCGAAATTTCGCTCAATGAACGTTTAGACAAGTTCTCTAAAACGAATAATTGCCACCATCCGCCATTTCCAGAGAAATTACATACCTAAAATTATTACATTTTGAAAAAATTCGAACGAAATTACTCTTTGAAAAATCTCAATGACAGAACAAAATACGGCCTGTTTGACTTGTAGTTCTACGTACTTGATTGACATGTTAAATTAAGAAACAAACAATTCTGTCCAACCGTTCACTTTCTTATCAATATAATATGTTAATTTAGAGGATTTCAAGTGCTAGTAGTGAAAAAATAGTATATATACCACGGTAGAGAAGTCTATTATTGCCTTCGCACCTTACACCCCTCGGCGCAAGCGCCTCGAGATGTAATCTTGGTGCTCAGGCAATAATAGTGGACTTCTCTACCTTGATATATAATGTACTATTATTTGGGTTGGGCTAAGAATATGCCCCCCCCCCTCCATTAAAAAGGGCCCTGGGAGAGTAATTAATGTGCAGTATATGCAACATGAGTATTAATAAGCTACTGTCCTTGTTGGGATAGTAAAGAATGCCACTTACCAATATCTATATATACAGTGCGTTCGAGATAAGAGGGTCAATCTCAATATCCATTGTATTTGGTGAGATACACAAAATTGTTCATTGCTTATGCTGCAAGATTTACCTATTCTGAGATCATTAGTGCACTTTCACTTTCAAAAAATAAAAAGTGCACATTTTTGCTTATGATGTCTGTCTGTCTGTATGAGTCACAAAACTACACCACTTACAGATTTGGTATTGGTGTCATTTGATCAGAAATTAAAAATAGAGTTAAAAATTATTTCATGTTTGTTTTCTCCTTAGGGCATGACATGTCCATAAGGGCTATTAAAATCGAAAAAAAAAAAATTTGAAAATGCACCCTTCACCTCTTGCTCACAAGCGCCTTAACGAATTTTTTTTGGGGTATTCATTTTATTTAAAACTAATGTACTGCATGTAGAGGGTAAATGAGAATATTTCCCCTGAGCTGTAGAAGTAAGTAAGTTTCTTGAATGGGTTTTCTCAGACCTAATCCTTCTGTTCGAAAATGTCGCCTAACCGAAAGAAAGCATGTATTCTTCGTACCTCGCTTTGTACTGTGTGAGGCCTTAGTGTGAATGTCAGTCCCGTTACATAACAGCAGTAATACACATATTCATTTCCGTGAAAGATTGTGGTACAACATTTTAAATATCGATGTAAAATTATGATTATGAGGGAAATGAAATTCCCGAGGGATATACAATTTTCTGATGTTGTCATACCGGTTGAGAACTATTATAATGTAAAATTGGAAAAGAAAAGAGAAAACTAAGTGACTACATATCCTGGAAGGTTTTCAATGTCCTTTTTCCCATGTAATCGATGAAGTCCCTAGAGCTATTCTTATGTGATTAAAAGAGGCCAACCCGGAATTGAATTGAAATTGAATTGTTTTTGTAATTAACGTATTTAATTAAATTTCAACTTTATTATTAGTTTTAGTATTTTAGTATGACTGAGTTTGAGTTTTAGGTTCCCTCTAGCTCCTTCAAACCGTGTTGCTTTTCGACAATCAGGGCAACATTGGGGTGGTTCTGTCCCCGTTTAAAGTCCAGTACTTTTTTGTATCTATGGAAGTGGCGTGTCTAGGTACAGCTTTTGTTTTGCAACATAAAGGTTCTTTCCAAGACGCTATATACCATTTTAGAAGGACTTTGAGCATAAATGGCTATCCAAAATATCCAAAACGATCGACTCCTGTTTTTATACAATGCAAACATTTCAAATAACACATTTATCGATGAGTCGGAACTCCAAATTACAGTTGACTTTCTCATTTTGAAAGGTAGCAACAACTCAGCTAATTGGATGGATTGGATGACTACTCGTTAAAAGTAAAAGTGAATTTGGAAAGGTTTTTACATTTAGTAGTTGAAATTTAGTTTACTCGCTCCAATAATTCACCAATTATATAAATGTCAATTTTCCCCTTGTATACTTAGGATTTTTACAGCCAGCAAAAGCCCTAATTAATCATCTTTAAACTTTTTACCGGCTGACGTTTAATCCAGAATCTTATTATCATCCCGTATAACCTAGAGAGATGCACAACGTTCTGTACTTTTGACCACAACGTTTTCGTGGTAGAAATGTATTTAAACGCGATTATGCTGATTCATTAATACAACAACACGAAAATGTGCCAATGCTATGCAACATCCTTTGAGGTGAACAACTAGCCTGAATGGACAATGTGGTCAGTAACCTTGTAGTAACGTTCATCACTATAAATGACCACCTAACAGTGGTTGGTCATAAGTATATTGCACATTCATTATTTCCCTATTTATTTTTATTCTTGGCCTAGTAACAAATGAAAAAAATAGGAAGTGGTGGTGCGGAGGTAGGCTAACTAGTGGACATTAAAAAGTTGCCCTTTGCAGCCCAACACTTTACACTTTGTTACCGATGGGACAGTTAAGTTTATGTTCGCCCACTTAAAATTGGTATATTACGTTCCGGTTATGATGATATTGAAGGCGACGTGCGACTATACTGACCAATACATTTATAAGAGACTAACGGAGGGGTTCGAAGACGATTCTTACTACAGCGAGTAAGTAATAGGTTGATTGCGATTTAATTTTGGCGCACTTTGTTTATTAGTTGTATTCAGAATATGATGAGAAATTTACATGCGGAAGGTTTACATTCGCACGCGGATTGCAAGGGCTACCTAGGCAAAATGTTTCGTGTCAAATTTACGGAATGTGCCGAATGGTTTACGGATGTCGAAATTACTGATTACGTTTTAAAGAGTTGTGTGCTGATCCATTTGAATAGTCCCGAAGATAAATTCAACTTGCTCGTGTTTATGATACAAAAACTGTTCGTCTACGCTCAGGATAATTGCAAAACTGAAGGAGCTGATGCGGTTATGATGCAAGAGCTACTTCTCGGAGGTCATTTGTACCTGCAGGTTTTAAAGGAGAGATTGCAAATGTGGCTGATTTACCTGCGTGCGAGTATATTGAAAAATGCGAAAAGCGGTGCAGGATTTGCTTGCGGAGAAAAGGATATGGCACGAGCCTTGAAATATACGGGTGGCGTTGAGACTGTTATGCAAAAATTCTTAGCGACTGGTAACATCAACAGCCCATCCGGTTTGGGGCTAATGCAGGACTCGGGATTGGCGATTATTGCAGAAAACATCAATCGGATGCGTTACATGTCGCATTTTCGTGCCGTACACAGGGGTGCCTTCTTTCAAGAGATGCGCACGACGGAAGCGCGTCAGTTATTGCCGGACGCGTGGGGTTTCATTTGTCCTGTGCATACACCTGACGGTGCACCTTGCGGCTTGCTCAACCACCTTACTATGAATTGTATTGTGACAACTAACCCGGATGAGGAGATTGTCGCCACAATACCTGCAACCTTAACAGAATTAGGCATGGTACCCTTCAAAGGCAGCCACGCCGGGCTGTGCATTAAAGAATGTTACGTTACCCAATTGGACGGACGAGTGATCGGATACGTACATCGTAGCATTGCGGATAAATTGGTGACCAAGCTCAGATGTCTGAAAATTAAAGGGGAGGAGGTTCCCAACACGTTAGAGATTGTATTGGTGCCAATGAAAGATACACCCGGCCAGTATCCGGGATTATTCCTATTCAGTGGGCCGGCACGCATGATGAGGCCCGTTTATAATTTGGTCTTTAAGGAAATTGAATTTATAGGAACGTTCGAGCAAGTTTATCTCAATGTCTGTGTAACTCCTAAAGAAATGTATAAAGGTATTGGTATTATTTGGTGGTCAATGTAAGGATGCCCATTGTGGGGATATTTGGGTAAGATCTAATTTTTTGTGTGCAGTTTCACTCGCAACGCATGCGCAGTGCTTCCCCCTACATTCTACCGGCATGAAAAATCAATTGTGCAATCTACTTACAAGTCAGTTACAGACATGCAGGTTAATGTATGCACGTAAGTTGCTGTCTGATATCACTGTCGAGTCTGCCAATCTATTCTTGCCTTTAGTAAGCGTCTTTCTTTTAGTAGGAAATTATCCTCCCCTCCCCCAATCAAAAGGTAGATTCAATGATCGTTTCAAAAAAAACCACAAACTTCCTAGCAAAGGAAGACTTGATAATTCCCATCATAATAGATCCCTCCAGACCCCCCCAGTGCTACGCTGTTCCCCATAAAACGTTGTGCTCTCAAGGATTTGATAATGTTGTGGGGAAGATGATCAGATTCTTTTCTCCAAAAAACTATTGCACAAAACGGAGCTCTAGGGGGCAAATTTATACATACAGTGATATTTATTAACAAGTAGACATATAGGTTTATGTGTATTGTTTTTCCCTATGTCCACTTTTAAAAATCAAATTCTCTTCTGAATGGCGCCAATACAACTCTTAAAATCGAATAAACACCTGGCTACGCTTCTTAAACTGTTACCAGTACTATACCAATTGACAATATCAATTTTTTCGTCAGTTGAATACATCGCACACGGACGAAAATAAAAATACGGAAGCCAAAACAACAATATTCAAATTAATTAATATGACCGCCAGATCTTTATTGGTTTTAAAAAGGTATTTAGGTTGCATACACTTAGGCGCCCTTCAGAAGAGTGATTTTTGTCATTTAAAAGTAGACATAGGGAAAAACAATACACATAAATCTACAGGGTGTTTTTTTGGGAGCTTTAGTTAAACGTTTCTGGGAAAGTAAAGGCCGAATCGATGTAAAATATTTTTAAAATGGCCGCACTTCCGGAAACACCGGAAGTAGATAGTAACTTGGTTATTTTAAATAGCAACTACTATTTTTTATTAGATTTTTGGATTCTACGTTAAATTTCAGTTCTTGATACCCATATGTCGATACCTGCCATTTATGGTCTTTAAGTTATTTTGACTTTAAGAAAAGAAATGGCGGATGCAGATGGTACCTTGATAATTGATTACTTGAAAACGGTTGTAGTCATGGCAACCTATTTTTGTCAGTGCATAGAGAAGGAATAGAGCTTTCTTTTAGTGCACTTAAAAAAAAGTTAAGTTGCGTACGACCGCCCTTATGGAGATCCAAATTTATGAAACTTCAAAGACTAGAACTCAGTTTTTTTTTAATGGAATGACCATTTTCTTACTATTGCATGAGATAAAGAATCGAAGTGGGCATATTTTGACAATACATGTTCCTATAACTATCTTTAACAGTTTCTGACTTATTCCGATTTTATTGAATTGACACTATTTTTTCAGATTTTCTTTTTAGTAGTCGGCCATGATTTTATAATAATCGAATTTTAAACAAATCTAGTGACACTAATTCGTCACCTACTGTTATAGGTTAAAATAAGTTTTTCAAAAATCGAAAAATGACTCGCAGTGGTTTCACCTATTTTGGAATTTAAATGTTATTTATGGTGAAATGGACAGAATCGCGGCACGTGCTTGCCTTGCATTCATTCAAACACTGGAACGAAATTGTATGAATTTTGGAAATGTTGTACCCCCTAATGCACTACAAACCGTTGAAGCACAAGTGATACAAAGCTCTACAAGAGAATACTTAAGAAAATGAATTGAATTGCAAATGCAAGATTAACAAAATAAATTCAATGCAAAATAAAAAAACTTCGTTGAAACATTTTTGGTATGGAATTGTTGCTAGAACAGATATCGCATTACCTCTCTTAATTTCCAAACTTATACGTTGTTTAAGAAATTCAGTTGAACGACTGTCTAGATTTTTCAAAAATGTTCAGTCCTATATTCTTAATAAATGACTTATTTATTAATCAATTATTTAGATTAGAATCAATGATATTAAAGAATCCAACCCTTGATTTGTTGAAAATTCGATTGTTCTAAAATCATGGCCAACTACTAAAAAGAAAATGCGAAAAAAATTCCGAGATCAATTCAATGAAATGGGAATAAATTAGAAACTGTTAAAGATAGCTATAGGAACATGTAATATCAAAATATGCCAATTTCGATTCTCTATCTCATGCAAGAGCCACCGGGCATGGTTCGTCTGTGAAAGTTTATCTAGTTGGGCAAAGTTTGATCAGTTTTATTTTGAGTAAAAAATTATCTAAACAAGAGCGTTGCATCTATTTTTCAGTCTCATCGTTAAGAAGAGGTGTTTGAAATCCGATTGGTGCCAAAGTGTGAGTTACGTGCAAGCTTAATTTTATGTTAAAAAGGAAGTTAGCCTAATTCGTAGCAACCCCGTTTATTTTTAAGTGATAGAAACCTACTCAAATAAACAATACCGAGTAGTAGCATTGTGTTAATGGAAATGATTTCAAATAAATAACAGATATTGATAAATGTCATATTGCCTTGTTAAATTACATTTATTTTAGTCATTAATTACAACTGTTTTACCATTCAATTCGTTCAAGACTTCTTTATTTATTTAACCAAAGAGCTCATCAGGTTATGGGCCCAGTATTGCGCGAATTTATTTTTGTTGGAACTTGTGTAACGGAATTGTGTCGTATAGTAGTAGGAGTAGGAGAACTTAGTTACTATTGTCGTTTCGCGAGAAAATTTTCACAGTATTTTTTCTTTTGTTTTCCTGTCTTTTTTTATTTTAATACTCTTAACCTTTTTTTTTATTTTTCTTATAATTTCAAATAGTTTTTTTTAAATTAATACATGAACATTGTTATTGGGGCAATCTGTTATGTTCATAGATAAATAAATAAGGAGGAGCATTCTGATTGGGTTAATTGGAAATGCCAAGTTGCAATTCAGTTGAATGTAAATGGCTGCATTCAGTTTATGACTTTTGAACTAGAGTAAATGAACCTGCGGATTCGGTTGCTAAACTCGATAACTTCTGCTCTGGATAAAGGGTGCTATTCGGTTCTGAATAGTGAGAAGTGCTATATTATCAAGGACAAGGTTGTGTTTGCTCAAGCCAAACGATCAAGTAGGCTGTTCAAGGAGATCATAACTAGCCCGGGTGATAAGATCAACGCTGATGTGTGTGGGCCTATGCCAGAAAAATCCCCAAAAGGAAGTCGCTTCTTTGTGGTTTTCAAGGACGAGTTCACGAAGTATTGTTCAGTTTTCATTTAAAAAAAAAGTCACAATTGAAGGACAAGTTTTTTGCGTTCACTGATAATGGTACTGAATTTGTGAACGTTCAAAAGATCACAGAAGGATAGCCCTACAACCTATGGACTCGAGTACCAGTTTTGTCAAACGATTATGCTGAGAATTCCATTACAATCGCGTGATTAAAATTCGCCGATCAACAAAATCGTCGGCAGAAAAACGTTCTTGTTAAGCGGTAATCTTCTCGATAACGCAACGCCCTCAACCAATAGTAAGCCAGCATTCCAGCATTAAGGCTGCCTCAAAACGGAATCGACCCAAAAAAGGACCAAAACCATCGTGGCAACAGCGCACGCTTTTTCCAACACGTTCTTATTTATCGCTAGACTGACTTTAGTTCACTTTCCGTATAATGCGGTACAAATACAAATTTGCCACTTACTGCTATGCTGTTGATACAAATGTGAAATAAGTGTTAGCGAGCTGTGGCATTTGGTGCTTGAGGTTTTGAACCTGAAAATTCTGTGCCCCATATCTAATTGTTTTTAACCAAGTTTAGTGTTTTATACTCATGAATCATGACACGTAGCCGCTATTGTACTATTTTTGTTATCCTCACGTCGGGCATCCTTACATTGGGCACAATACACTTGAACTAATTTCAATTTTAGGAGTAACCACTCATATGGAGGTCGATAAAAATTCATTCCTGTCAAATTTGGCGCTTCTAATTCCGATGCCAGACTGTAATCAATCACCACGCAATATGTACCAATGCCAGATGGGGAAGCAGACGATGGGCACACCTTGTCTCAATTGGGCATCTCAAGGCAGTTCAAAACTGTATCGCATACAAACTCCAGGATCCCCTCTATTTCGTCCGGTCCACTATGATAAAGTGGGACTTGACGAATTTCCTATGGGAACAAATGCCATCGTTGCAGTTGTCAGTTATACGGTAACAACCATTCTAGAAACATACCTACAGTTTGTTCAATATAAATTCTAGCTATTCTTTCTTTCTTGTGTTTTAAAATCGTCAACGTTTATATTGAACAAAGTGTACTATTTAATTGTAGGGTTACGACATGGAGGACGCGATGATTATTAACAAATCCTCATACGAACGTGGATTTTGCCACGGTTCTGTTTATAAATCGGAATTTATCGAGTTGGACGATCAAAATTCGTACTTCTGTCGAGACCCCTCGGCGCCCGACCTGGCCGAAGCTTTAGAACCGGACGGATTTCCTCACATCGGTAAGCCGGTTTCGGCGGGAGATCCGCTATACTGCTACTACAGCGTGGACGAATCTAAATACATTGTGAAACGTTTTAAGGAGAAGGAAACTTATTACGTCAGCAGCGTGAGAAAGTGCTCGAGCTTTGTCGCCCGTGCGAAACCGGCGGTGCTCATTACGTTCCGAATAACGGTAATTTTGCGGAAATATGAAAGCCTATAACAAATTTTTTTGCTGAAAATGGTACACATGTAACAATAATGTTTTGCGAGTCTTTTTGCGTTTTCATTTTTTAATCTTTGATGGAGGAAATTTCCCCGAAAGAATACTTTTTTGGTCGAAATTATGCACTTTTAATAACATGTGCACTAATGTTAAGAGGACTTCTTAAAATAAAGCGCGGAAATAAGGGTGAGGTTCAACAATATCAGATCTCCGAATGTGTAGGGCTATAGTTCCGCCTAATTCAACACATTCTTATGCAAGAAAAATCGCTATTGCCTTATATTGACACTGTAACAAAAATGGTGACAGTGCCAAGTTGCTCGCTTGGTGAGACCTACATGATGAGAAACCGTGCGCAGATGCGAGCACATGAATCACATCCCCAATGAAAATCAGTAGTTACTCGCCTTAATGCACCGCGCCACTACAACTCGCTTATGAATATATCATTCCTATTAATTGCGTTGTATTACTCCGCTAAATGTATTATTTATATTAACTTGTGCATATTACTGTTCATCCGAAAGGATATAGTTTAGTTAGTGGGTGTGTCCGATCGCAGCAATGTACAGGGTGGCCAACGAAGAATGCGAGGTACTGTATCTGAGAAGCTATCCATCGTAGAGGCTTGCCGTAAAAAATTTATTACTAAAACGGCGACAAGCAAAACCTGGTAAATATTTTTCTGAAATAACCGCTATGCGGTTTTCGGGAGCTTGTTTAGGAATCATATAGCTGCTTTTTCATGAAAAAAAATCAAACCAACGCAACTAACAAAACTTCAAATAATTATAATATATGTAGCCGAATAATAACTCTTTTCAATTAACTCGAGTTTAAATCGGCTCAGCCGTTTCGAAGATAGAGGGTGTTCTTTGCGGAAACCTTTGAATACCCCCCACCACTTCATTTTTAGAGATACAGGAAAAATTGTCAAAGAAAAAAGATTCAGATTATCGTCAACTTCAAAGACCGGACATTTTTTGTTAGGTGAATATAGCGGAATTCACAGAAAAATCACTTTTTTAGATTCCAGATTGCAGTTACGCCCCCTAGCGGCCATTGCAGAAACTTAAAAATATTTTCCAGGTTTTTCTCGTGGCCGATGGACAGGTTCCCAGATACATTACCTCGCATTCTTATTTGGCCACCCTGTACAAGTGTCTTTTTTGGCATATTTCTTTCAAAATATAAAAAAATCTGCCTACCCTGTACCAGGTACTAATTGTAATCTGACCCAGTCAATTTAACAGGGACTAGTGTGTTTAATAGAATCAGTTTTGTTTCATAGAAACAAACCTCTTCAGAAGCGAAAATCTATGGAAATGAACTGCCAGATAAATTTAATGGTAAGATGAAAGACAGTCTTTAGTGGTTTATCCCTTGTGGTTATACCAGAAGTAGGCTCACACTTCCAATTTTTTTTTTAATACTTATGCGCATTTGGAGAAAATTTGATATACGAGACTATATGCACAAATAGAGCAGTTTCATAAAATAAATTGCGTTTTGTAACTATGAGTTCATTAATTTCAGGATTTCTGTAAATAAAGCACAGGGATTATCTAATAATATGCTAATTGAATTCCGTTTGTCTGTGGGTTTCAGATCACTGGAACAGTGTAGAGGTTATTGCGGTGTTTTTTTTTATTGAATAGGTTTCAACACAGTGTCGAATAAGTTTCCGTTTCTACGCAAACGCGTCCCCACTTTGATATTTACTAATATATTGTGGTGTGCAATGACGTTCGGTCAACTACACCACCCACAGCACACCTGTCCAGCTAGCTCAAAATAAATCAAAACTGAAACTTACAATTTTACAATCCCTCCTCGTACACATTTGGCATCTGCTATAGGAGAAATTCCAATATTGATTTAAATTTTCTCAATTTGAGAGACTCCGTGGCCTTGATCAACTTCCTTTATTAAACAGCTATTGATTAGCACCTGAAACAAATATTCGACACGAATGAAAAAAAACTGACATGAAAATTCTATCCGGGTCGCACAGTGGATTTGAATAAACACACAATTAATTGATTGACAATGATAAATATTTATTACGAAACACAATGAAAAGAAATTAAATCAAAATCCCTGAAAGAAAGAAATACAAAGCTTGTTTGAACATATACCCCGCACGCAAGCGGTCGACAAATAAAATAAGAAATCCTTTTTCAAGGATAGTGACAGTTAATTTTAAAAGAACACTTGAACACACAAATTTTGAGTTAAGTAGGATGAATTGTCCTCACTAATCTTTTCATTTCTTAACTCTGCAACTTCTAATATTCCTTTAATTTGGAAGAGTATTTTTTAGCGCGTTTTTAAGAATTAAAAAAAATGTGCTCTTGGTTGCGTTTTGTCCGTCCGCCCGGATCTACTTCTGCCGTTTCGAAGTACTTCTAGGGGAATGGTCCTAGAGTCTTGGAATTTTTTGCAGTAGGTAGCCTATACCTTGAAGGTGCGCCAGACGGCCATCAAATTTCGCTGTCTAAAATTAATTTTATCTCATTGTATTCTAATTAAAGGTCTCAACGAAAGGAACCGTTTTCTACCTACTACTGTCCTTCTTTCTGTCCTCTTATCAAACGGGGTGGAGGAGGAGGGGGGAAGTGGAACTAGTTTTATCCTTCATACTCTACTGTACTTCGTACTATAATGAAAGGTCTCACCGAAAGGAATTAATTTCTACCAACCAAACCCCTCCTCCTCGACCTGTTATCGTGATCGGGTATATTCGCTTATATACCTCAAGAACGCATTGTCGGAAGAGGGTACTCACAAAGGTACAAAATAAGTAATAGTCGTTGCACCATCGATTGGCTAAAGCGTAGTTTTCTGATGTACCCTACCGACAGGTGTGTGCTCTATAATTTCCATTTGTTTTGACGGGCATGTGATGAATTGCGTTTGTCAGAAGCACATAATATTTAAATGTTATAAAAATTGCCCTATAAATAAGGGAATTAGTTCTACACTTGCGCAGAGCGATATCATAGTATGTCTACTAGATTCACTTCTATAATAAGTTAAACTTTTTTTCGTAATACGGGGTTCGAGTGTTGAGATCTCAAACCATCAGACGCACGGACGAAATTCACGCGAGAGTGCGCTATATACCAAAAATTTAATTATTGTGGAAGATGTAGAATTTACAAATTTCTTTGCAGTATCACGGAGAAATCAGTGGCGTACGACATCTGTGAAAAAATACAGCAAGATTTAATTTTGGACTAGCATGGGCACATTTTTTATCATTTAACCGTCATTGTAACGAATTTTGAGATTCCAGTGCTGGACTGCTCTCTGCACTTAGTGTGCGGTCACTCGTAATTTAATTTTATGCTTTTGCTGTCCCCGTCTTTTTGGTTAAGTAAGTTGAGCAAAAATCTTTCGTTGTACCTACGTAGATTTCGTCTAAAAAACAGCAAAATGTCTCGATTGGCACGAGCAACATGTGCGTGAGCTTTTGACCCTCTTTAGAAGGCATGAGAGAAAGCTTTGGATAGTAATGTTTTCAAATGTAACACAAATTAAAGAAGTTTTTCTCAAATTGCTGCACAAGAGGACCTATAAACAATATAATACAAAATAAAAAAACCTGGAAATCTAGAAGTGAAATAGTTTGTTTCATATTCCCCAACTTTCTGATCCGAAAAGTCTTTGATATTTGGCAACATTCACAAAATACAGAATCGAATGCAAAAAAGCTCTCAAAACTAACCCATATCGAATGTGCACTTTAGCTAAAAAATGTTGTTGGTGGACTATAATCTGCAGTAGATGACTTTCCCTGTCTAATTCATTTTTTAGCGTAACCCGACGGTGGGCGATAAATTCGCTAGTCGTGCGGGCCAAAAGGGAATCTGTTCACAAAAGTGGCCCTATGAGGATTTACCATTTACGGAGACAGGTTTAGTGCCCGACATCGTCTTTAATCCCCACGGATTTCCATCTCGCATGACGATTGCTATGATGATCGAGCTTATGGCGGGTAAATCGGCCGCGCTGCATGGCTTGGTGCACGACGCCTCTCCCTTTAAATTTGATGAGGACAACACCGCCATCGATTATTTTGGTCGGCTACTCGAAGCTGGTAACGTATTCTGATAGTTAGGGCGATGCTACGCACAACGACGACGTCTTCACATATGCCGGGTGGCCCAATAAGACTGTTCCTCGGCCATATCTCGAGAACCGTTCGTCATATGACTTAGGGGTAAAAAAAATTATTGGGTAAATCGGTCATGAAGAATCGCTGGAAAATATTTTCAAGTTCTAAAAATGACCACCAGAGGGCGTAACTACCATCTTGAATTTTAAAATTGCATTTTCTTTAAATTTCGCTTAATTGGCCATGGCGGTATAAGAAATAAAAAGGCCAATGACCAAGATGTCGACGCCTCGAAGGAAAAAAAATAAAATAAAATAAAAATTTTTTTTTTACATTTTTAAAGAGAACCACTTTATCTAAAATTTTCGTAAAAACAAAAACTCAACTATTTCAAAAACAAAGATGGTGTGGGGCGTTCAATTGTTTTTGCAATAACCTTCTTTAACTTTGGTATGGTCGAAAAGAGCATTCCTTGGGCAATGAGAATCAACCAAAATATAGTTAATTTAATTGAATCCTTCTCCGACGGGGGGCTAGTTTTGACACTATGACCCAAAATCCTAAAAAAAATCAAAAAAACCAAATGGAATAAAGAAAAAGTAGCCAAATAACATCCAAAGAGGCCAGTGAAAACCGTTTTTCAAAATTTCATTCCTAACTTCAAATATTGGGAAAATGAGATTATAACCGATTTACCCAATAATTTTTTTTACCTGTAAGTCATACGACGAACGGTTCCCGAGATATGGCCGAGGAACACTTTTATTGGGTGTACCGGGTGTACATGCACGCCTGGTGGTAAAAAAAAAGCGGCGTTTCATGTGCTGTGTGTCATATGCGTGATTGAAAACATAGGTGGAGGCGACATGAGCGGCTGTGTGTGGCATCGCCGTTAGCGTTTTACTTAAATTTGGCGCACAGGTGGGTATAATTACTTTGGTACGGAAACCATGTACTCTGGAATTGATGGACGAGAAATGACGGTTCAAATATTTTTTGGTATTGTTCATTACCAACGTTTGCGACATATGGTATCCGATAAATGGCAGGTCCGTTCGACTGGAGCTACCGATATTCTAACTAGGCAGCCTGTTGGAGGTCGTAAACGCGGAGGTGGAGTACGATTTGGTGAAATGGAGCGCGATTCTTTAATTAGCCACGGTACGTCGTTCTTACTGCAGGACAGGTTATTGCATTGCTCTGACAGAACTACGGTAAGCTTAAAATAGGCACATTGGCAATTTTTGAGGATTGTGTTACGCAGGCGCTGATTTGTACGTCATGTGGGACGTTATTGGGGCCAATGCATATGGTTACACAGGTGGCAGACAAACCGAATATGTCTGAAACGAAAGAAATGTGTAGACTGTGCGGACATGGTGAAAGCATTACCGAAATACAAATTCCTTATATTTTCAAATACTTTGTTACACAGTTAGCTAGCGTTAATATAAACATTAAAATCCACTGTACACAAACGTAACGAGCTTGTGAAGAGTAATTACAAGAAAAAATTAATTAATTGTAATGTTACATAATTTAATTAAATTAGTCAGTGCGAACTGCACGTCATGAGATAATAGGGTTACTCTCCTTATTATGTAAATTTCGAAAAAGAATATCGAATTACAGGAGATGAACCCGATCTGGATTTGGCTAATTTACCCTTCTCCATAGAAAAACGAGTCGCTTCCTTTCGACAAATTATAATAACAAAATTGTAGAACGTCTCGCGTGCTAAAAATGAAAGAACTTATAGGCGTCGGCATGGTTATTGTGAAATAGGCGATAAGGCCATACACCATATCGGACGCAACTAAAAACTACGCGGCAAAATTAGCACCAAAATTCTTGACCCATTCACTATATCCAAGAAGATAGGATAATTAACGTATGAACTTACCAATAATGAAGGAAAATCAAATTCCAAGTTCCCGGAACTTGCCATTTTATTTTTTCATGTATACACTTTTGACACCTTTTAATGGTTCTCATGTGATTCTTATTCTTAATTTAAAAGATTGGTTTGAATTTGATGCTTATAATCAATCATTTTAAATTGTATGATGTCAAAACTACTAGGGCTATTACTAGTAAACTTTTTTTGTTATTTGAGATCTAAAAGATGCCTACCTCTTCTCTTGTCATTTAATTGATTAAGAGTCGCAGGAAATTTATTTAATAAATAGTTATGCCAGCTGTCTTCATTTTCCATAACTCAATTTAAGGAGATTTGGCAATGGTGCCAGAGCAGAAATATTTTTATTTTTGCGTCCTATGTAAAGTCTTGTGAGAATAGATGCAGATTGTGAACCGCCTAGTAAGCCTATCAACAGAAACTGAATGGGAACTTTTCACATCCGCTTTTGATGGAATTTCTCACAGGCCTCAATTTGTTTGCCTTTTACACGGTAGTATGATTTAGAGATCTTGAGGCAAGTGAAGGAGATGCTCTAATTTACAATTCTAGACTCTTTTCCTCTGATACCAAAGATCTTAAAGAAAATTAAAGCCAATAAAGCTAAGGGAATTGTGTTAGTGCCTCTTTGGCTTGAAATTAACCTGTATCAGGGAGGCCTTGAAGATGAAATAATTTCCTTTGACCGATTTGGATATTTGCCACTCGTCTATTTTTAAAAATACACAATATGTGAGTGATGAATTTTGTTTAAAGAACAATCTTGGTGTTCATATAGCAGTTGTTTATCCTGTCGTTCGCTTAAATTTGAAAGGATGGTGTCCTTGCTCACGTATCGAGTACTATGATTTGGGCACTCACCATCCTATTCAGAGAATTATTATTAACATTATTAATTGTAGAGTTAGAATGACGCTTACATTACAAACATTGTGTTTTTTTTTCAGCTGAATTCAAATCTGTAATTATAAAACAAAACAACATCGCATGTTTCAGGTAATAATAAAAATGTGATTTTTTAATATGGAACACTCTGTATACTAAGTTCTTAATACACCATAGGTAAAATACTTCAAATTTTTCAATTATTCTCATTTCGATCTAGTTATCCACAAAAATGATAAAGTTGACTTCATAAACGTCAATATAACAAGACTGTAGATTAAAAAAATAATGTATTCAATTGGCCCTGTAATGGTGGGGAAGGCCTCAAATTCTCAAAAATGTACTGAAGAATACGGAAACGTTTTTGAACACATTCTTTAGTATAGGTATGGTATGTATTGGAACGTTTAAGTGATTTTTATATTATTAATTTTCGCCTGTCATTCTTGTTTCGTTAACCTACTCTACTATTAAACCCTATTTCCAGTTATTGTTTTTAACACTATTATGTATTTTTATCATTTTCATGGATGACTAGATTAAAATGAAAATAATTGAAAAATTTTGCATATTTCAAGTATTTGTAGAGATTTTAATATAATGTAGTAATATACAGGATGTTCCATATAAAAAGTCACATTTTTGTAATTATCTTAAAAAATGGGATGTTGTTTTTTTACATATTTAGATTCATTAGAAATAAATACACAATTTCGGTAATTTAACCGTCTTTCTAACTTTCTATTAACAAAGCAATAATGCCGACTTAATTTGAAACAGACTGTATATATTACCAAAATAAAGTGATTTACCTAGTAGAAATGGGAAATAAAGCGAAACGATCCGCTGACCGTATTCACGGCGCAATCCGCCGTCTGTTCAGGGAAGTGTTTTTCAAGGCTGGGACAAAGGGGGACTGAACTACAGAGTTGATTTGAAGTTTCGACGTTTATGCCGCATATTTTACCCGGATCTTCAAAAACCGGATTGAACCTATCCGCTACACCACTGTGACGTAAACATACAGTGTGGCAAGTTAACGGCGGGCGGGACATTGGGAAATAACATGGCAAAATACATTTTCGGCAATGGGGGTTTACAGTATAGTTGAATTCCGTAGTTCTAATTTAATAAGCCGAGCTGAAACCATAAAACATTTTTTTGGACAGTAAAACTTTATTTAAAAATAGAGATTGATTAGCAAAAAAATTATGAACATGTGCGGTTTTAAGGGTTTATTCAAAACGATATGATTGTGGCGGGCTCTGTGACATAATAAGCCCGACCAGTCAGCTCCTAGAACCATTCGGATGACATAAAGAATTGGCAATACTATAGGAGAATGTCATTTGTAACTTGCGTCACCTGTCACAGGCACTTGTCGTTTACTTTCGCGTTAGATGCAGTTAAACATGCCTCTTAAAACGTCACTCTCGTACAGGGTGCGGCAGGGAAACTTGCTGATTTGAAAGGTCAATAAAAGAAAAAGTATTTCACATATTGATTTAATTCTTTTTTAACGTATTGTACAAATCCTGAATTTTTCTTTTAATTCGTTTTAAAAATGACATCAGCAAATGGCGGCCCTCATTAGCGATACACTGATCGACCCACGTATGGAAGTTTCGCTCCACTCTTTCGAGCATATCGACGGGAATATTGGCGATGGTTTGGCGAATGTTGTCCTTCAGGTGTTGCAGGGTTCGTGGTTTGTCATTGTAAACAATGGATTTGAGATATCCCCATAGAAAAAATCTCAACATTTTCTGGGGTTCTGGCAGTCCGTCGACCTCCAGGCCCTTTTTTTTTACCACACTGCCACTTTGCCTGAATGCACGCACCCACGAAACGATTGATTGCCGGCCAGGAAGGGGACCCGCGGGATGAATATTAATTTGAGTTCGGAAGGCACGTTGGGTGGCGATCACCGAAAGGCCGTTGGAGAAGTAGGCCTCGATGGCGAACGCACGCTCCACCTTTGTCCAACGCATGATGACAACTGACTTAAGCTGTCACAAAAATTCAGGGCGCCCTCTTTCGAATGGGGCTCTCCCTATCCTTTTCTGACCACATTGGCGCCACATTCAGATCAGCAAGTTTCCCTGCCGCACCCTATACAAGGTTGCTGGCTCACTTCTACGTGATTGGTTGTAGGTTTGTGACGTATTTAGACTGAAGCGTTTCAAATTCGAACTAAAAATCCCGACTTATAATAATCCCGACTTATTTCTCGAGATTAAGTATAATCCCGACTTATATCTCGGGATTACATAATTTGAACTACCTTGTCCGTTCTACGCTTTCGTACAACACAATCCTGCTGTTGTGGTTTAAAAAGCTGGAACTTTCGAGGTGAGGCTCAGCCTAGCTTGCCTCATTCAGCCACGACTGCCCAAAATAAATTTTGAATGTTGTTTATAAATTCCTATAATAACGTCGGCGGTATCCGAAAATGTTACGGTAGAAGTGCAGCGATAGACCTCCCGTGGTACATATGTGTATAATTAGTTGCCTCCCGTCACAATTTAATTTAAAAATACATAACCGCGCCTGCGCCGTTCCGCTACTCTGAAGAGGTCCATGTGATCGATCGATTCCAAGAATAATTTGCCCTTCAAAGGACACTTCAATCGTGGCAGCCGCTCCTGTTGGTCGTCTTCGTTTTTTCTTCCATTAAAAAAAGTAGGTAAGTTCCGATCTACGATCGACTTTGTTCAAAAGCGATTGACCTTAGCAATTAGAATAGCCTTAAGCCTAGCTCATTTAATTATCGTAATTATCCACGCTTCATTAAACCGGCGATCTTTTCGCAATTAATCTCGCCTTTTATTTGTAATTGCCAGGAACATTATGATCAAATTGTATCTGATAATTTTGACCTTATTGACCTTGTGACAAGTTCCAAGTGATAATGGCATTACTTCATCATAGATTGTATCAGCATGTCGAAGATTGGAATAAACGGATTCGGACGTATCGGCCGTCTTGTCCTTCGCGCCGCCGTCGAGAAGGGCGCCCAGGTGGTCGCCGTCAACGATCCCTTCATCGGGCTCGACTACATGGTCTACCTCTTCAAATACGATTCGACTCACGGACGTTACAAGGGTGACGTACATGCCGCAGAAGGATGTCTGGTAGTTAACGGACAGAAGATTGCCGTTTTCCAAGAACGCGATCCAAAAACCATTCCATGGGGTAAAGCCGGAGCAGAGTACGTTGTAGAGTCCACCGGTGTTTTCACAACCATCGAGAAGGCATCTGCCCACTTGGAAGGTGGTGCAAAGAAAGTCATTATCTCCGCCCCCTCTGCTGATGCACCTATGTTCGTCGTCGGTGTCAACCTTGACGCTTACGATCCCAGCTACAAGGTAATATCGACATGTGCGAAGTTTACGCACTCACGGTTTTCTCTTAGGTCATCTCAAATGCTTCCTGCACCACCAACTGTTTGGCCCCACTCGCTAAAGTCATCCACGATAACTTCGAAATCGTGGAAGGTTTAATGACCACAGTACATGCAGTTACAGCCACACAGAAGACCGTCGACGGACCCTCAGGAAAATTATGGCGCGACGGACGTGGTGCCGGCCAAAACATCATCCCCGCGTCGACCGGTGCTGCCAAGGCAGTAGGAAAAGTTATTCCAGCCCTCAACGGAAAGCTGACCGGTATGGCTTTCCGTGTGCCAGTTCCCAACGTTTCGGTCGTCGACTTGACCGTTCGTCTAGGCAAGGCGGCAACTTACGATGAAATCAAGGCAAAGGTCAAGGCCGCTTCCCAAGGACCTTTGAAGGGTATCTTAGGATACACCGATGAAGAAGTTGTCTCCTCCGACTTCATTGGGGACGTACACTCCTCAATCTTCGACGCATCGGCCGGTATCCAATTGACACCAAACTTTGTCAAGCTCATCTCCTGGTACGATAACGAATGCGGCTACTCCAACAGGGTTGTCGACTTAATTAAGTACATTCAAACTAAAGATGCTTAAATGTTTACAGCACGGCGTTACAACTAAAGCTTTAGCGGTTAGGTGTTTGTGATTTTGTTAGGCCCTACTGCCTGAATACACTATTTAAAGTAACTCAATGTTTGATTAACGAACGTTAATGTATTATTATTTTATAATTCATTTGTTCCATGAAATAAACGTTGAAAAAAGTCATTTGTTTTTTGATACTTGAAACGCTTAATCGAAGTCTGCCATTTTTAAAACCAGGTGCCAAATTAATGATAGAGCAGCTTCCTAGCTCAAGCCAAAAAGCTGGCTTCACAAGCTTTTTTTGACAATTGTTACGATGTCAAAAACTGATATTAAAAAAACAGTTTTTGATAATCTTTTATGCGTAAACTACCAAAATTAAAACGTTTTGTCGAAAAAAAATCCGATTTCTTATTTTGCTTTACGGATGCGTAATGCAAAATTGAAACAAAATGTCCCAAAAGTGAACAAAGGTGTTAGAATGATCGAAATGAGTACCTTCTCAATGATGGCATAACCGTAACCAGCTTTATTTGGTATTAGTGGAAGTTATTAAGAGAAATAATTCCCTAAAATGGGATACTTTACATATGTGTTGTACTAATAGTGCCCATTATCAACAACATATCCAAAATCAGCACTATGGCCGCCATCTTGGAAAATGGATTTTCACTTTTTTTCACCATATTTCACTTACCGATAGAAATATAAAATAACAAAAATTACAGAACATAACAAAATACATCTTTTCATTTCTCATAACTCTAACAGTTATCGATAACAATATGCTCAAACGTCAAGAAAATGAAAATGGGCCCACCATATTTCAAGATGGCGGCCGCAGAACAGCATGCACAAGCGTTAATTTTTGATTTGTTGTTACTGGCTACTATACAGGGTGGTGACTTGCGTATAACGCATCATGGCTCCCCAAATTATGTTAGAGCAAAAATGTATTAGTTTTTTGTAAAAAAAATTTTTTTACGCTAATCAACCGTATTAGTATTCAATTTTTTTCATATAAAGACGGAAAATTGGGAAAATAAAACCCCCATCTTTTTCAATAATCTGCGATGCCATGGAATAGTGTAGTGTACGGTCTAAATTAGCATCGAACTTGGCGCTTATGTACACTACAACGTTCATAATCGTTTACAGAATATAGCCTATCAATGCTATCAGCGTTTCAAAAATACTGAGAAAAAATGGTGACGCCAAGCTTTGACACATACTGTATATAAAATTAAAACGGAAACAATTGGTGCAAATGACATAACCTAACCTTAAAATTCTTTTTCCGCTAAGTTTCGTAAGCATTGCCGTCTTTCCGAGGTTGTGTACCAAATAATTAATAAAAATCACGAAAATGGCATTCGGAGACTTAAAATCTGATAAAGGAGTGGCCGCCCTCGACGATTTCTTAAAGGATCACAGCTACATTAGCGGGTAAAATAAATGCAACTTTAATTACGAAAGGGTAGGCACACACGATTTTTGCAGATATCAACCTACTCAAGCGGACATTCAGACATTTCAATCCCTCGGAAAAGCGCCCAACGCAAAATACAGCCACGCTCTAAGATGGTACAACCACATCAACTCGTTCGCGCCTGCTGAACGAACCAGCTTCCCCGGCGGCGCTTGCCCCATGAAGACGGCGGCACCCACCACCGCCCCCGGCAAGGCAGAGGATGACGATGATGTCGATCTATTTGCATCCGACGACGAGAACGATGCAGAGGCGGAAAAGATACGCGAGGAACGTCTGAAGGCTTACGCCGATAAGAAATCGAAGAAACCTGCACTCATAGCCAAGTCTAGTATAGTTCTTGATGTCAAACCTTGGGACGACGAGACGGACATGAAAGAGATGGAGAAACGTGTCCGCACTATCGAAATGGACGGTTTGGTTTGGGGTGCTTCTAAGTTGGTGCCGGTCGGTTATGGTATCCACAAGTTGCAAATAATGAGCGTTGTTGAGGACGACAAGGTCTCCGTTGATTTAATGGTGGAAGAAATTGAGAAATTTGAGGATTTCGTTCAATCTGTCGATATTGCTGCGTTCAATAAGATTTAAAAGCTTTGTCACATTAAAGATTTTTTCAAATTTTTTTTATTTTATGTTGAATGTCGCTAGATATTTGCTTATCATTGGGAAGTCCCCTAATCAGGGTTGTGCAGTATGCTACACTGTTCTTTCCTATTTAGGAAGACATATGATTAGGGGTCGGTTAATTGAAGGTTTGGACCCTAGGCTCTCTACTGCCGTACTAAGGGTCCCTGGTTGAAATAGGACCTCAAACTGTACGTCGAATTGCACATGTAATGGTAACAAATAAAGCTATTCTGAAAGAATGGCATGAAGAATACTGTTCAGAACGCCACCTCTACAATATGGGCCTCGAAGTAATGCATTTTGCAAGGGTTCTCTCCTCTGCATAGACTGTGGGGCATATAACAGGGGAAGGTGCAGGTTCCTTGGCAGAATAAAGATGCACCCGGGAATGCTAAAAGTAGCTGCTCCCCGAAGGATTTTAGATTCCTTCAAAGATGTTGACATACTAAGGGTGTGAGACTAACTTGAAGGTGCAATAGGCCACGGTGCAGGGACCTGATAGGAGATTATATCTGAAAATAATCCACTTGACAATTGGGACCAGAAAAAGATCAAAGGGGACCAAACTGACCAGTACCTATGTCAGTAAGTAATTTATTATTAATGTGGCAGTACCTACACAAATGAAGTAACAATAAAAACAAAATTTTGCCAAGTAAGTATATCTCATTCCAGGTCCCCTCCGAGACATTTTGACTCCCTAGACTACACTGTATTGTGTCAATTCCAAAAGACAAAAGTAATTAATTCCAATTTCTCATAGTCCTGTATAATTTGAAACCATCAAACTGTCTGTAAAGATTCCTGGGTGCAGTTTGTGATGGAACCCGGAAACTGTACTCCGGTAAGACTTTAGGAGTATAAAAATCGCTCAAGACTGGCTCCTGATCTTTAATCACCTGATAATCGCGCGAAATCTGAGGTAAAACTTGCGGTTGTCGCTTAGTGCACAGTGGCATTAAATTCTTGTACAGCTTCTGATGGTGCGGGTGGTTCAGTTGTTTCGTCGCCTGAAAACTTACAGTTAGGCATACAACTTTGAGCCTACTGTGATCGTTACCCGTTCGTCCAACAGGTTCTTTGCTATTTTGAGATCGGTGGAACTTTTGAGATGTTTGGGTCTGATGTTTTCGACCGATTCCATTTCCCTCACGAATTTTAAGGCTGTGTTCAGTTCCGGTTCGTCGAAGCACACTTTCGGGTTTTCGATTTCCGGGGCAGCGTCGTTACTGATGGCACATTTTAATTTAATGGTCTCCGCGGGCTTTTTCGTCAACTTCTTTGGTTGCTTGTCCATTATTCAAAATTATTGCGGAGGTTATGTATACAACAGCGCGCGCGCCTGTTATCATCTGACATTCACCTAAGTCTAAACGTGACTCTCAATGTTCAAAAACCTCCGATACCAAATTTCGGCGAAATCAGATTTTTTTGTCGCACCCCCAAGTAGGGAAACCCATTCAAAGACGTGCCACCCATCTTTGTAACTCTTATGGTTGCTGAAATGCTGAGAAAAAAATTAAAGAAGAAATTCAATTCTTTGAGGGTAGCTCCCAAAGGAAACACGTTGGAACCTCGGTTTATATGGATAAAGGGCTTGTCTTGATCCCCCTCTATCTCCCAATTATTTTTACATGCGGTCATGTAACATCCTGTATAATTGGCATATAAAAGAAATAGACAAATGAAAAATAAAACAATATTATGACAGTTCATTTTGAAAAAAGAGCCAACTTTTTAAAAAAATCACGCATGCGCCTTGACAGGGAGTCACGTTTAGACTTACGCGCTAGTGTTCGGCGATCGATATATTTGGACTACTTAACTGTCATTGTCAAACGTTATGTTTTCCTCAAACAACACAAATGGCAACAGAATTTCCAAATAATAATAAAGGTAAGCGTTCACGATTTGATTGTATATGAAATAGTAGCGTTGGCGTTGGTCCTGTTTTGCAGATATTTTTTTTAGCTTGTAGACATTTGAACTAATTTTTCCCCTTTTATTGTAGTACATTTTATCCCCCTTTAATTTACTAGAATAATTAACGTACAAGATTACTATTAAAATTGGGGTTGCATCGCAATTCGAAATATGCGAACACGGTCCGGAGGCCGGAGCTGTTAAGGGTAGGTCATGCACATCGATCATGTCTCCTCTCTAATCAGGTTGGCGCCTATGACTCATTCACAAATTAGAGGGTGCAATTTTAAACACAGAGGGATTGGCCATTGGAAGAAGTTAATCCCCTATAAGACAAGAACCCATAGAACTGAAATGCCTTCATTTACGCTTTTATTTCATCTTTAATTTATATTTAAAAAATCGTTAACCATAGGCGGCGCGTTGGGGGTTTACACCGTACATTTGCATAAGAACTAAAATCGTAAATGATTAATATCTATATTTTCTAACTAAATCCAGTTTCCGTGTAGGCGTATATGTATAGTTTTCTAAACATATTGATCCTTTCTTTTGAACACTAATAAGACATTGGTGAACTAACATATTGATTTCGTGTCACGTGAACAAAGGCGCATGCGCGCCGCAGTAGGAAAAACCATTTTGGGACGTCATAGAGAAAATGAACGTAGTTGGGTGTTTTTGATATTAACAATGTCGCGATGTACCGTAGGTACTCACTTCAGTTCGGGTCGTTTTAATTTTTAGTTTCTTTGTAACGGCGTTATCTACGACGCGTATCCGACCATTGCAGAACAGTCAACACCCAGCTTTTTGTTAAAGGTAAGAGCCTTTTCTAATTTTTCCCAGTTTCTATTTGTGCATGCGGGGGTTGTTAAATAAGGCCGTGGAAACCTAGAATCTTAACGACTGAACTTGTGGGACAAGCTGATTAATTTTTACGGCATATTTTATTACGCGACGTTTCGATCAATAAAGTAAACCCGAGGTATTATAAGAACTCGAGCAGGTGTTGTGTGCACCAGGTGCTGTAGACAATACATTTGGGACTTACTGACAAGGCAAAAATCGCGCCGCACCACCTCTCTCGGAATCACTTGACGTAATGGGTTTCAAAAATTAAACATCCGGAAAAATTCTTTTTCATCTCCTCAGAGATGTCTAAAATATTTACACACCTGCTCAAGAAACGCGCAATAAATTTTATAAAAGACACGTCCCCTTTTCCCGAAACTCCTGCTGGAAAAACCAGCTCGATGATTTCACAATTTCAAAATGGCCTGAAACGGAAGCCCTGAAAAAAGGTCCGTGGGATGAAAATAAATTGATTTCGTCGATTGAGTAACAAGTGTTGGCGAAGCAATTATGTAACATCAAGAGCTGAGGACGCCTACGTCTCCCCTTTTTTTAGAGCGAATTATTAACGAACGTCGCCTGGATGCTGTATACGTAATTTAATAACATTGAATGTAAATTGCTGGACGGCTTATCGAAATCAAGAATCGATATCTATTTCTGTATTTAGTGGAAATAAACTCACGCACAAAATTAACGAAGAGCCTTCTTTCAATTTTGAGTTTACACCTGATTCGGTCGTTTTGAGAGGAGTAGATGGATGTATAGTTTGGGTGCCACTAAATTGAGGTAGTTACAGACTGAGGATTTTGCATATTCAATTTTTTACTCAACTCGAACTGTAATACTAATAGCTAAAGTCCTTACACAAGCACACTCAAATGCATATTAATTAATGGATAGAGATACGATGTTGGTTACACTGAGGCAAAGGTGCTAAATTTGAGCACTTAACTATTTTTTTACAAAAGTAAAAATGGACAAGACCTTACTAGACTACCTTTCTTGAATCGCAAAGAATTGGAATCTGATATTGCTTTTACGATAGTGTTATATTTTTCAATCTTCAATCAAGTCCAATAGTAAAAATGAGTGATTTATGGTGAGTTCACAATAATTAACTACACTGTCATTAGATCATTAAGAAATAGCCAATAGAAACTAAGGTTTATTGTGCGTCGCTAACCAACGAAACCATACCTTAGTTTCTATTGGCTATTTCTTAATGATGTAATGATAGCGAACAAATGATGACTACTACCACTAGGTAGCGAATCTCATATTTTGTTGGCCGTCTTTGGAAACACGGTTGATGTGTTTACTAATGTATATTTTTGAATAGTTTTATTATTGTTACAGGAAAAATATATAACGGCACAAAATTTGAAAAAGATAAATATAAATCAAACGATTTCACGCGTGGATCTTTGAAATTGATAGCTAATGAAAGTTCGACAGTTTAGTTGGCAATCGAAACTACTAACGAAACAAAATTCGTCAATCGTTTCATTTTTCAGCGTAATACTGACTCGTATTTTAACCAATCACAGTGAAGGACAAAAACTTTCTTAAAATGAATATAGTATAATTACCTATCTTTCTTTTACCTATATCACAATCCGAAACCCATTTATTAATGTGTACCCAACAAGTATTCGAGTGGCCATATCGTTGTGCTTTATTGTTGTATGCTATTAAAAATCATAGGTATGTGTATGTATAGTTCTTTACTAAGACAAGAGTATTATACTCGCCAATGCTTGAGGATCCACAAAGCTTATACTCTGATTTCATTTTTAGATTGTATTTTTTATTTATTGGCTTTTTCATACATACCGCCCAATTATATTAGCTTTGTCGAACCTCGATGGCTGTTCCACTGGAAGACGCGCTTTCGTTGGCTAGTCGTGGCCAATTCTTTTGCCATCGGTTTACCTAATTATTTGAGTAACCGTAAACTTGAACTGCCAATCAAAGGTGTTAATTCATCATGCGAGGCCTAGGAATTCGTATCGATTTTCCCTCGGATTTTTCTTTTCAACAGTTGGTTCAATTTGGAAATTGAACGAGAAGGGGATATCGACTATAGTATTGCTGTATAAATGAAGGCAACTATTTTATTGTAACCTATTACATTAAAGGTGTTGCAAATTTATATTTTATCAACTAATTACTAAGGGAGACTTCCTAAGGATTCGCTCATTTATTTTAACTTGTTTGAAAAATAAAAAAATAAATGAAATTGTGTAATTTTTTTGTGTGGACATTGAGGAATGTAATTTTTTCCCTGTGTAAATTCAGCCAAAATTGTTTAAGGATTTTAAACGGAGTGTGACACAAAACAATGTTGGATTTTAGGCTATTTGAAGGGTTAGAGTATTTTTTTAAATTTACAATCTCGAGCAAGTCGAAAGCGAGCTCGGCATAGCTAGAGAACGCCGCCCGTAGATTTATCCCTCTAGGTCTACGGGAAGATGTTAAATTTTGAAATTTTTTTAAATTATTTGACCTTTTATTAAATTTTAAATTTTTTAAATGTTTTTTCTAATTTTTTTAAATCACTAATCTCGTTTGAATATTATCTCTAGTGTGTTGAAAAGAGAAATGCTAGTTCTATAGGGGGGTTTATTACAAAAGTTTCTTTATAACGTTTGTTGAATTAATCTGCAGTTTTCAAAATAAGTATACTGGGTCAGGGAAAAAGTTTTTTTTTAACAGAGCATTCTCCTTTCAAACATTTGCCACACCGGAGATGAATTCAAAAAAGATTCAAGTGATTCAAAAAATAAAATTTTTCTTGAATTTTTTTGAATGACTATTGAATTTCTTTAGCATTCAAAAGAGAATTTAATAGGCTATCCTTTAAATTAAAGATGTTCTGTTTAAAAAAAATATTATTTGGAAAACGGAAGATTATTGAAATATTCATGTTCGAGAAACATTTTTCTGCGTTTCTTTTAACTAATAAAATAGGGTCATTCTAGAATTGACTTTTTTAACAGTTCCCCGGTATCTCATAAGTGAGAGAACATTTTTAAATTTTGATTATGAATTGCTTTAGCTTACTTATATTGTTAAAAAGAGAATTTAAAATTCTATGTTTTTAAAATTGAAGTATACAGGGTGCTCAATTTAAATAAAATACTTGAAGGGATAGAACATAAACAATAATTGACGTCACAATCGAGGGTGATTTAATGAATGATCCCAAAAATATTGCAAATAGGACACTGTTATACATATACACGGTGTCCATTTTTCGAGTGCCACTATGGGGATCTCGCTTACCTGAAGAGATAGAGAGTTGGTTAAATGGGGGAAAAGTTGCGAATTTTCGTGCTGAATAATAATCTGAAAAGAAATTAAAAATATCTTTAGTAGTTTTGAAAATATCGCAAAAAAACATTATTCAGACACTTTTTAATTTTTCGGGAAGAGTGCTTTGGAAAACAAAACGTTCTTTTATTGTGACAGTTTGATGCATATGTCCGGTTGCAGCATTGGCATCAGGGAACTAGATGTGTTGAGAAAATTCGATTTTCATATGAACAGAATTGAACCTTCGTTTTGCAAGAAAATTATAATTCAAATTAGAACAAAATGCATAAGAATAAATAATATTTTAGCAATAAAACTAGCACAAACGTAAATTAGACTACTTGAAATAAGTCAACCTTTTGTTCACAACAAAAGAACGTTTTGTTTTTCTAAAGCACTCTTCGCAGAAAATTAAAATTGTAATTTTAGGAAAAATGTGTTACTGAACCACCATGTGTGATATATTGTCGTAAAGAGAAAAAAGACGTAATCTCAAAATGTCAAAATCCGAAACGGCGCCCATAAGAAAAATTAAAGTTGCCACGTGTTTCTCCGTCATCTTAAAAGTTATTGAAAACGGGATGCCATATTTGAAATCTCCATTAAAAAGTGTCTAAATAATCTAGAACGATTAGTTTACTATGAAAAAATCAAAAACGAAAATCAGAAATTTTCTTTTTTTTTGTGATATTTTCAAAACTATTGAAGATATTTTAAATTTCTTTTCAGATTATTATTCAACACGAAAATTCGCAACTTTGCCCTCATTTAACCAAATGTCTATCTCTTAAGATAAGCGAGATCCCCATAGTGGCACTCGAAAAATAGACACCGTGTACAGATATCCAATGTCAACAGTTAAATTTAAATCAATTTTTATTAAAAGGGGATCAACACGTAGACAGAGAAAATATTAATGTCACAACAGTTTTCCGCAGAAAATAGCGGATCTATAATCGTTAAATGAATATCAAGCAAATGTAATAATTACAATTCGATTGTACCTACTTATTGAAACCCAGTATGTAATCAAACTATATCAAGGAGTCGTTGAATTCAGAAGGGCGCGTTCTGCCTAATCTGTAAGTAACAAATGTAACACAAACAAACGGATAAAAGGGGTAGTGAATAGCGCGGCACATCAAATATTGCGTAAGCAAAAAACAATATATCTCTTACGGTATGACAAAAGTCAGTAAAAGTAATGGTCTATAAAAGGAAAACATTATTTGCATCTCGATTTGCATGAAATGCGAAACCAGAAATTTCACAGCGGGGAAAAAATACAACTCGTAGGCAAATGAAATGTAGAAGGGGTAGCTTTAAGTGCAGAAACGGACAAAGCGTGAACTTTAGCAACAAGAGAATGAATGAAGATAAAAGAAATTTTAACACTAACGGCCTCTAACGGCAAAAACAAAGAACTATTATAACAAGAAACCTATAACGACGAAGCGGAATGCAAATTATTTTCAAAACGGAAGATTATTGATTGAAATAATAATAAAGAAACATTCTTCTGTGTCTCTGTTAACTAATAAAATAGAGTCATTCTGGAATTGGCAATTTTTTAAATTTTCCCCCGCATCTCTTAAACGAGCGAATATTTTCAAGTTTTGACTCTGAATTGCTTTAGTGGTAAAGAGAGAATTTAATATGCTAATTTTTTTAAATTAAACCTATACAGGGTGTTCTATTAAAAAAAATTAGATTCAGCCAATTCCATCGTATTGGAACAAAGTGGCGGAAGAAATGTACGTACGAATACCTACACCTGATCGGTCGAAACGAAAGGGATTTCTAGCGCATTTTTTAACAATTAAAAAAATGTGCAATTGTTTGCGTTTTGTCCGTCCGTCCGGACCCACTTCTGCCGCTGCGAACTACTTCTAGGGGAATGGTCCTAGAGTCCTGGAATTGTTTACAGTAGATAGCTTATACCTTGAAGGTGTGTCAGACGGCCATCAAATTTCGCTGTCTAAAAGGGGGACCCCCCCACGAATTATTTCCTGAGATGCTGTTTTTGAAAGTAAAACGTGCATAACTTTTACATACGACAACCAATTAATCTCAGATTTTGCGTATAAAAAAAGGGGGGGGGGGGTAAACATATGTTCTATCCTTCATGGTATTCTAATGAAAGGTCTCAACGAAAGGAACCGTTTTCTACGAACTGCCCTTCTTTCTATCCTATCAAAGTACGGGGCGGAGGAGGAGGGGGGGAGTGGAACTAGTTTTATCCTTCATGGTACTCTAATGAAAGGTCTTAACGCAAGGAATTAATTTCTACCAACCATAGCGCTCCTCCTCGACCTTATCGTGATCGGGTATATTCCCTTATACCTCAAGAACGGATTGGCGGAAGAGAGTACTCGCAAAGGACGATTGAGAGGTCTGCAAGAAAATATATCCATTGGTGATGTCAAAACAAAAACTGTTTCGGTTAAAAAAATGCGCTTTATCTGCATGAGTTGTGCACAATTTATACTTGTTGTTCAACGATATGGGAACGTTGGAATTGCGTGTAAACGCAGGAGTTCTTAATGTTATCACGGCGGTCTTAAATTTGGTTCTAATACATCTAATAATTTACTTTGTTCCAGAATAAAAAAATAACGAATACAAAATGTCGTCGGTGAAAGTAGCCGTTCGAGTTCGGCCGTTTAATAACCGCGAGGTATCGCGCGAATGCAAATGTATCATCGACATGGGAGGAAATACAACAAGTAAGTTTTACCATTTAATACTTAACTTTTTTGTCACACCGTTATTTAATCAACAGCAATAGCAAACCCGAAAGCTCCACCCGGTACAAAAGATGCTCAAAAAAGTTTTAATTTCGACTACTCCTATTGGTCGCATAACGTAAGTATAAAATTGTCCACTCTCTTCCTCTCATCGTTACCGTTCTACAGGAATATGATCCCGAATTTTCATCCCAACTTGTGGTGTACAGAGATATCGGAGAAGAGATGCTGCAGCACGCCTTCGACGGTTACAACGTGTGCATATTCGCCTACGGGCAAACCGGGGCGGGTAAATCGTACACCATGATGGGAAGGCAGGAGGAAGGTCAGGAGGGAATCATTCCTCAAATTTGCAAAGATTTATTTTATAAAATACGCGATAGCGACGAAGAAATTAAGTATTCCGTTGAGGTTAGTTACATGGAAATTTATTGCGAGAGAGTGCGCGATTTGTTAAATCCGAAAAATAAGGGCAACTTGAGGGTGCGTGAGCATCCGCTGTTAGGGCCGTACGTTGAAGATTTAAGCAAACTGGCTGTCACTAGTTATCAGGATATACACAATTTGATCGACGAAGGGAACAAGGCTAGGACCGTAGCCGCTACCAATATGAACGAGACGAGTTCGCGTTCGCACGCAGTTTTTACGATCTTCTTCACTCAACAAAGGTAGGTAACTCTCCTACAAGTCGCCGCCTAAGTTACCCACATTCCAGATACGACGCCACCACAGATCTATCGACGGAAAAGGTTTCCAAAATATCTCTAGTTGATCTTGCCGGATCCGAACGAGCGGATTCGACCGGCGCCAAAGGAACGCGACTAAAAGAGGGCGCCAACATAAACAAGAGTCTTACGACTCTGGGAAAAGTAATATCGGCTCTGGCGGAAATGGTAACGTATATCTGAATTCTGTCGAATCATTTCTAAAAGCGAACTCTTTACCGCTTTCCCGAAATTTGCAGTCGGTAAGTATGACGAGGGCATTAATTCTTGTTCAATTGCAATCGGTCTCGTGAAGGTAATGAAGAGCAAGAAATCGAAGAAGGCCGACTTTATTCCGTACAGAGACTCGGTTCTTACGTGGCTGCTGCGCGAGAATCTTGGCGGTAATAGTAAAACGGCAATGATCGCCGCGATTTCGCCCGCAGATATCAACTACGACGAGACGCTTTCGACGCTAAGGTAGGTAAAGCCATGCGAAAAAAATCAATCGGTAGAAGTACGGTAAATACGTAAGAAGACTCCATCACACTATAAGGGTTTGTCAACAACCTGTATTGTATCACAAGCCCAGAAATAGTTGTAAAGACTCGATTTTAATTTACAATGAAAAATCTTACATGAAAACTATGTGAAACACTTAGAACAAAATCCCTGAAAGACATAATAGCTTGTTTGGATATATTACCCCGCACGCCGGTGGTCGACATATATAAAGAATCTGATCGTGCAAGGTTTGCGATATACCACACACAAACGCTGACAGTCTCGCGGGAAACTTCAGTTGTTCTTGATAACACTGAATCGTTAACAAACAAAACTGGCTTGATGAACAAGATTAAACATAAACGATTCTATTAAAGAAAATGTATCGCGTTATTGTTGACGTGCGGAATAAGAATGAACAAAATACGGTACCGCAACGGTTAAGCGATTCTAGGTCGTATCGCCTACGTCAAAGAATGTCAATTAAGGTGAATTTCGCTAGCATCCAGCTTTGTTTACAGTAATGTTGTTTACGCCTACGGCCTACCTGATGCAATTAAACTGCAGTTCTAAAAATTTTATCGAATCGGATGCTTAATACCTGAGCCCGATACAAATTCATCCGATTCGATAAAATTTTTTGAACTGCAGTTTAATTGCATCAGGTAGGCGTAAACAACATTACTGCAAAGCTGGATGCAAGCGAAATTCACCTTAATTAATATTCTTTGCCGTAGGCGATACGACCTAGAATCGCTTAACCGTTGCGGTACCGTATTTTGTTCATTCTTATTCTGCACGTCAACAATAACGCGATGCAGTTTGTTTATGTTTAATCGACGACGTGAGGTAAAAAAAAGTTAACTCTGCATTTAGTGGGGTTAATTACATATCGGAATAGTAATAACGGATCGACTATATTTAGATGCATGGCTTTTAACCGTCGCGAAATCAGCAGCAGCAGAATTTACTCGTCGTACTTCGTATTTAAGGAAGCACCACTTCCACCATCAAATTAAACGCCTTTCTCCAGAATTTTCAAATCAATCGCCAATCAACGACGGAACGCGCCAAACGTCTCCACTTCTCCAAGTCTCGCATTTCTTCGTAGCATCTGCATCTCCGTTATTTCCTTGAAATTAATGAACTTTTACCTCCTTATCACAAACGAATAAATAATGTTTTATAAAGTACCCAAACTTGACCAGATGTATTACTTCTAGCACCTTATCTCAATTGAATAAATTCTAAAATTATAAAATTTTAAAAGAAGTTCTAAGAAAAACAAACACAGAAATACAAATTCAAATAAAGCACACCAACTTTGTGCTTAATCGTAAATAACCCACCCAATTTGCACATAAAATATTTAAAAATTTTCACATACGGGGTGTGCGAAGCAAATTGCCCTGCACGCAGACGTTCGATAATTATATTAAAAAAATCTTAAAAATGACTTAGTTTTTGTTTCTCTTTTAAACAATCCAAATAATCTGGTCGTCAATGATTTGCGATATTCAAGCGCACTTATTAAAAACGCAAAAACACTCTGGCAGCTTGAGGAAACTTCACTTTGTCTTGACTGGACTTAATAACTCGAACTAGCTTGGTAAATAAAATGAAAAAGAATCTCGAATTAAAAGTCACATGGCCGTAACTTAGCGTGTAACAAATTTACACGCTCTTTTCACCGTCGCGAACTAGCAACCCAATTTGACCTTGTTTCGCGTATTTAAGGAAACACCACTTCCGGTATTTACCCAAAATGTGTCAATTACAATTAGACTAGATACGCTGGTCGCAAGGGAATGCGTCCGCACTTACGCCAAAAATAATGCGCACATCGTTAACTACCTGCGTTTCATGTTATCAGCACCAGAACATGTGGTTTAATTAAATTACATCCGATAACGCTCATATATAGTCCCGACCGTACCGTAAACAGTAAACACATTTTATAAAAATACGCAAAGTTGACCATATGTTTCATATGCGAGTCTGTACGGCCTTCTTCAAACTACGTTCGCACTCATTTCGTGCCTTATTTACGCCTATTGGAGCCCTTTCGACGCCTCTTGTTTGTGGTGTGTCTTCTCGACTTTTCATTGGACATCTCTCGGCAACTCCTTGAGCGTTTTCGACGCACCGTTCTCCGTCTCTCATCTTTCACGTCCTCCTTACATCTCGTTTATGTCTCATATACGTATACACTTTGAGTCTTCTTAACGCCTCCTCTTCGCCACGCCCATTTCAAGTGTCTACTTAGGCTCCCTCTCACCTTCTGCACCTCATCTCCTTCACGCCGTGTTTACATCTCACTTCCGTCACGTTTTCTTTCTCACTTCCGTCACGTTTTCTTTACGACTTTTTCAGATCTCTCTTGAGACGTCCCATAGACACGTGCTTGATGATTATTTTCCACGCCTTTTTGCGTCTCCTTCGAATCTACTTCATGTCCCTTTTTAGTTTTTCCAGCTTCGCGCTCATTTTACCCCTACTCTAGGTCTTCTTAGATCCTTACCGACGTATGTTTCGAAGATCATCGGTGCCTTCTTCGACCCTTTGAGCTTTTTCAACGAACGCTTCTACTTCTCTCGTGCCTCCTTCAGGTTTTTATGTCTACTTTGAAACTTCTTTAAGCCCCTAGACGCCACCTACGAGCCTTCCTCGCGCCTATTTCGAACCTTCTTGGCTCCTACCTCGATCTCTCTCGGCGCCCCTTTCTCGCTTTCGTAATTCCTGCTTCACGAATCTTTTTAGAGGTCGAAAACCTCTCCTTCGAGCTTCAAATCTTTTCTTCGCATCTTATTCGCACCTTCTTTAGGCCTACTTGGGCCATATCAACGCCTCTTTCGATTATCCTTGAGGTCCGTTTCGAATCTCCACGGTGCTTTTTCGAGTCCAGTCGACGCTCGGTTCGAGATTTCTCGGCGACTCTTTCGAGCATATTCGACCCTTCCTCCGACTCTTCTTCACCTCTTTTTCGAACCTTCGTTCGAATCTCCTTGTAGCATTCTGCGCGCCTCGTTTGAGCGCTTTCGTCGAACCCTTCTCCGCCTCTCCTTACATTTTTTTCACGTTTCCTCTACATCTTCTTCAGGTCTCCTTTACGTCTCATAGACACTTGCTTCGCGATTCTTATATACCGTTCTAACGTCTCCTTCAAGTCTTCTTTACGTCTGCTTTGAGCCTTCTTCGGGAGTTTTTGGCACCCATTTCGACGGTTCCTACTAACCGTCTTGTCGCCCTTTTTTAGTCTTCTTCGCTCCATTTTCACGCTCCTCTCGCGTCTTTTAGATATTCTGTTTGAGCGGTCTCAAATACTCTTCAGCCTTCACGGCGTCACGTTTCCTCCTTCCTTCATCCTCCTTTGACGCCTTCTGCGAGCCTTTTGACGCCTGATGTTTTTAGATTTTTGACGGCTCTCCTACGAACTTTAAAATTTTCTCACACTTTCTCCACGCTTTTTCACGTCCCATATACGTCTGCGTCCTGGCCTTCTGGTAACCTTGTTCAGGCTTCGTTCGATACACCAGCTAGTGTTCTCTCGCTTGCTTCGAGATTCAAACCTATTCCATATCCTTTACGTCCTCGTAACACTGGTTTACGTCTTTTCAGGCTTCCTTGATGATGTTTTCACACTTTCTCTTCTGTAAACTCCCTTCATACTCCTCATACGCACGACGCACCTCCGTCATGTCACATACATACATTCCTCACGCTTTCTTCAAGTCTTCCTCCGAGCCTTCTGCATACCGTTGATACCTTCTTCGAGCCTTCTATAACCTTCTTCGAACCTCTTCGGGCCCTCTTCACGCCACTCCTCACTTCTTCTTTGAACATTCTTTAGGTCTCCTTCGCGTTTTCTTCAGGCTTCCGTCGTGCCCTTTTCATTCTTTTTGCGAGTCGTTTCAAAGCTTTCACGACACCTCCTTAATTTTAATCGCCTCGTTTTCCTCTTAACATTTTTCACGGATGCTGCGAGCATTCTCGATCTCTCCTTCGTGCCCTTTTGTCGCCTACTTCAAGCTTCAAGTGTTCGCCACATCTGTATCATACCTTTTTTACGCTTACACGCTAAGTCTCCTTCGAACCTTCCTCATGTCTCTTTTTAGCGTTCATCGCATGTCTTCTTCAATTCTTTTTCACATTTTGAGCTTTGTTCGCCAATTTTTTGAATCTTCTTGACGCGTCTTTTACGCCTTTTCCGAGCCTTCGAGTGTTCTTGATGCTTGTTTCAACTTTTCACGCCTCCTTAACGTCTTCCTCATCTGTTCTGCAGGTATCCTGAGGTCCACTTCGCGTCTCAAACGCGCCTACCGTATAACTTCCACGTTTATTTTGGGTTCCTTCAAGTCTTGCTCCTTTTGAGTCTTTTTGATGTTTCCTGCCCTCTGAACGCCTGGCCTCAGTCTTTCTTTGCACCTCCTTCGTATGTGATCATAGGGTCCAGAAAACTTGGAGGAAAAGAAACCCAAGAACTTATATAAAAATTACTTCTTACGTATTTACAGTCCTCCTGCCAGAGCTGATTGCGATTCCGTTTCATACTGATTTGTCATGCTTTAACGCATACTCGCGTTTTAGATACGCCGACCGTGCGAAACAGATCGTATGCAAGGCCGTCATCAACGAGGATGCGAACGCGAAACTTATTAGAGAACTCAAGGAGGAGATTCAGAAACTGCGAGAGTTGCTCAAGGCCGAGGGAATCGAAGTTCACGAAGGTAAGTTTGTGGAAGTCCCCCATGAATTGGCTAAAAAAAGGAGGGAACTTACTAAATTAAAAGACAGGCCCAATTAAGACAGTAAAAAAACGGCTGACTCATACTTTATTATCTACTTGTAATGCCGCATAGGTCCTGATGGTAAAGTAATTTATGAGAAACGAGAGGTTCCTAGTAAGTATTTGCTTACTAATGGCTTAAGGCACTTTGAATGTCGACCATATCTCAGTTACTTTAGAATCGTGTCACAAGCTTTTTGTATTCACATTATATGGGCTGTCGTCTGCAGATTTGTGTCGTTTTAGAGACTGTATAAGTTGGATGCGGGTTACGCATCACTTTGTTTTACTTTTTTTGTTACGCGGGTCATCGACGGCGCGCTGAACAGCTTCTACTACATTGATTAAGATCGAGTAACTGCTTATGCGTGCTTACATCATCTCTTGGTATCTCTTGGAGTTGTCTTGTTAGTAGCTTAGCTTTCAATTGCGATTTGGAGAATTGCGCCTGATGTCGTTTACAATTTAGGAACGGAAATTAGCCGAAATAATAAGGATAGTGAGAGGATCCGCACCGTCTCCACGTCGTTGGCCGAAGAGGCCGTCGATCAACTTCAAGCCAGCGAAAAGCTGATAGCAGGTTGGTGGGGTGGAAATGTGTGCGTCGTAATTGTGCGTAATTTGCAGAGCTGAACGAGACGTGGGAGGAGAAATTGAAGCGAACGGAGGCCATTCGCGTACAACGCGAGGCTGTATTTGCCGAGATGGGTGTTGCCGTTAAAGAGGACGGCGATACAGTCGGCGTGTTTTCTCCAAAGAAAACCCCTCATTTAGTGAACTTAAATGAGGATCCTTCAATGTCTGAATGTCTTATATACTATATTAAGGTATGGCCATAATTCTTGGTTCGGTACCTAACTAACTGTACTATTGCGCAGGACGGTATTACTCGGGTGGGTTCGTCCGAAGCGAACTTGCCGCAAGACGTACAACTGTTCGGATCACACATAAAACCGGAGCACTGCATATTCGAGAACAGAGAAGGACAAATCACTCTCGTTCCGTGCTCGGGCGCCACCACGTACGTGAACGGCAGAGAGATTTTGGAACCGGTCGTCTTGAAAACGGGCTCCAGAGTGATATTGGGCAAAAATCACGTCTTCCGATTCACCCAGCCGGACGCTGCCAGAGAACGCAAGGAGAAGAACAGTTCGGCGACCGAGAACGAGAATAACGTCGATTGGAACTTCGCCCAGATCGAACTGCTGGAGAAGCAAGGTATCGACCTGAAGGCGGAGATGGAGAAGCGTCTGTTAAAGATGGAGGAAGACTTTCGCAAGGAAAAGGAGACCGCGGATCAGCTCTTCGAAGAGCAGAGAAAGGTGAGAGGGACTCTGGTAATTGCTAAATTAACGCCGTTGGTTTAGAGCTACGAGGCACGTATCGATGCCTTGCAAAAGCAAGTCGAAGAGCAGAGTATGACGATGTCGATGTACAGTTCGTATACACCCGAAGATTTCAATAACGAGGACGATATTTTCGGTAATTTTTGTTGTTGTATAATTTCGAGGGCGTGTACGTGCACGAGTTTAATTTTTACGCGAGCACTTTTTCAGTGAACCCTCTATTTGACGCAGAATGCAACTGGGCCGAACGCGAGTACGAGCTGGCTGCGATGGCCTGGCGAAAATGGAAGCATCACCAGTTCACGTCGCTGCGAGACGATCTGTGGGGTAACGCTATATTCCTCAAGGAAGCGAACGCGATATCGGTAGAGCTGAAGAAGAAGGTGAGTTATTGTCCCGAATCCGATTCTGTTTGTATACGCTGTCCGTCCGTCCGTCTGCACGTTATCTCTTTCTAAAAGTGCAATTATTCCTTATGAACCTTAGATGTGGCTAGGTTAAGAGTGCCAAGTCTAAGCGTGGTTGTTTTCTAAACTCACCGAAAGTCATCGTGGTTGTTGTCTAAACTCAATGTCACTGAAGGTCATCGTGGTTCTTGTCTCAACTAAACGGTAGGATTGTTTCCTGAACTAATGCCGCTGAAGGTCAAACGTCGACACGAGTTCTGTACGCTGCCTTCAAGGTCGACGCCATTACTCCATCGTAATGTGTGCTCAATCTCGCTGAAGATCAAACTTGAAGGTGCAATAGATGGCAGAATTGAAGGTGAAATATAAGGTACATTTGAAGGTGAAATAGAGGTCAGATTTGAAAGAAAATACAGGACAGATTTGAAGGTGAAATTGAGAGCAGAATTGAAAGTGAAATAGAGCGCAGAATGGAAGGTGAAATAGAGGGCAGATTTGAAGGTGAAATAGAGGACAGAATTGGAGGTGAAATTGAGAACAGATTTGAAGGTGAAATAGAGGTCAGATTTGAGAGAAAATACAGAACAGATTTGAAGGTGAAATTGAGAGTAGAATTGAAGGTGAAATAGAGGGCAGATTTGAAAGTGAAAGAGAGGGCTGATTTGAAGGTAAAATTGAGAGCAGAATTGAAAGTGAAATAGAGGACAGATTTGAAGGTGAAATAGAGGTCAGATTTTAGAGAAAATGCAGGACAGATTTGAAGGTGAAATTGAGAGCAGAACTGAAAGTGAAATATAGGGCAGATTTGAAGGTGAAATAGAGGGTATATTTGAAGGTGAAATAGAGGTTAGATTTTAGAGAAAATACAGGACAGCTTTGAAGGTGAAATTGAGAGCAGAATTGAAAGTGAAATAGAGCGCAGAATGGAAGGTGAAATAAAGGGCAGATTTGAAAGTGAAATTGAGAACAGAATTGAAGGTGAAATAGAGGACAGATTTGAAGGTGAAATAAATGGCAGAATTGAAGGTGAAATCGAGGGTATAATTGAAGGTGAAAACAAATATAGAAAACGAGTTCATGGGTATAGTTATAGCATGTGCAAAACCAAATTTTGAGCCTGGTGTTAGTTTTGCTTTTATTTAAAGTGTATATGTATGAAATTTAATTTAATTGTTTCCTTAATTAACAAAATTGGCACTACACATCATGCACAAAACCAAATTTGGAAACTGGTGCTACATTTGCTTTTAAACTTTATTAAAATCCCTCCATAAGTAAGGAAGTTGGTACTGCGCACCCGATGAATTACATACTGACTGTCAGTCAAAGTTTTCTTGGATGGGTCATACGATCGGTTTCGGCGGACCTCCACACCCGCGCACCTACATACCGCCTATCAGTAAATATGTTCTTGAAAGGGAGATACGCTCGGTTTCAGCGGCTGCGCCGCCTCACCTCGTCCACTCGATAAATTACATACCGCCTATCAGTCAATGTTTACTTGGCTGGTACATACGCTCGGTTCCGGCGGCTGCGCCGCCTCACCTCGCGCCCCCAGTGAATTACATACCACCTATCAGTCAATGCTTCGGTGGGACATACACAATCTAATTTTTCGTTATGTTATCGTCTTAAAACTTGTTTGAAATATTGAAAACGAACAATAAAGCGGAAATACGTCTGCGCAGGTACAAAAAACTCAGCGTTTTACAACGACCAAGTGTCTATACAGACGGACGGACGCACGAAATTCATCCACGCTAAAAAAACTGCTATTCTTCTAGAATAAGTTAGTATAATTGATCATATAGTATTTATCTAAGAAGGTTTCGTATTTAGTGTTGTACTAATTCAATTATTTCAAAAATTTCAATAAACTTACAACAACCATGTTCTTGGCACTTCTTGGTACCTCGTTCAAACAATTCGAACCCTTAAACATATGCGAGGCACGTGAAAATGCTGGAAATATATACAATATATAAGTATACCTACTAAACAGAGGTTGTTACAGGTACAGTTTCAATTTACCCTGTTAACCGACACCTTATACTCACCGCTTCCTCCCGATTTGCGACCAATAATCGACTACGATCAAGACGAAGATTGCGCAATCGCGCGAACGATAGTGGCCGTGGAGGTTCAGGACACGAAGAACGGCGCAACTCACTATTGGAGCTTGGATAAGCTGCGGTAGGTGGAGTGTTGTTTATTTTAGTATATTTTTTTAATTCCAAATCAGTCAACGGTTGGAGTTGATGCGGTTGGTATACAACGAAGAGGTGGACACGCCCAGCCCTTTAAGCGTGGAAGATGCAGTTCCGTTACTGCGCTGCCTCACGCAGTGCCCACCCGCGCCGTCACGCTTCTCACTCACGACACTTTTACCATCGAGGTTGGTGCCACATTTCGCCACCATCCCCCCCATACACCCGCATGATTCGTAAGCACGCGCAGTTTCTTTACGTGCTTCTTCTTGTTTCGCACTGTGTAGGTACTTGATTTTATACATCGTCGAATACCGCTTATTACTTTGTGGTGGCACCAACCTCTTTGAGTTTTAAATGTTGCCATTTGTAATGCTACTAAATAATTTAGGCAAAGATTGGAGCTGATGAGGGAAATGTATCATAACGAGGCCGAACTTTCGCCGACATCGCCCGACTACAACGTGGAGTCGCTGACCGGAGGGGATCCGTTTTACGATCGTTTCCCCTGGTTCCGAATGGTCGGCAGGGGTTTTGTTTATCTCAGTAATCTGTTGTATCCCGTCACGCTTGTACATAAAGTCGCGATCGTTAGCGAGAAGGGGGACGTGCGGGGCTATCTACGAGTCGCTGTTCAGGCTGTGATCGACGAAGACAATTCTGACCAAGTGGGTGTGAGACAGAGCGCTCGTATTGCCTTCGAATCTTCCAAAGGTAGCTATACCGCGCACGTGCCTTACAATATTCTCACTCGACGCATTTCAGCGATTATGGATAGAAATTCGCATAATTTAGAGGAACGCATCATAGAAGGTCACAACATAATAGACCCGATCAAAATCGATGAGCTAATTGAATGTGATACAGATTCTGGAAAAGGAGACAGTTCGGTCTCGTCCGATTTTAAAGATGAGGACGTGCCCGATCACTTAACCATTGGAAAAGAGTTCACTTTTCGCGTTACGGTCTTGCAGGCGATCGGTGTGTCGACGGAATATGCAGACATCTTCTGCCAGTTTAAGTATGTATAGCTTCGCGGCGGGTGACGTAGATACACCCCTGTTTTTCAGCTTTTTGCACCGACATGACGAGGCGTTCTCAACTGAACCTGTTAAAAACACGGGAAAAGGCACTCCCTTAGGCTTCTACCATGTTCAAAATGTAAGGACTATTGGTTGTATACAATCTCTGTCGCTGGGGTAGAATTGTTGACTTGATATCGGTTTAAGTTCTTTCAAATGTAAACGTCCCCAATGCAACTGCAGATTCATTTTCTGATGGTCCAATACGACATCATAAATGCTTATTTTAACACATTAAAGGAAATTCATAAATTATCAAGTTCAGCAATGGCTTTCAGCTGTCAGACTATGAAATGCAGGAATAACACGATAGTACGAATATAATGCCGAAAAACCGAAAGTTACGATATTCCGTTGTCGAGATCTCGATCGATTTATAAAAGGCGCTTGAACAGCGTGAAACAATAAGCTCCTTTTATGCTTTTCAAAGGGCGGTATCTCAGTTGCCCTTGATAAAATCGATCGTTGAAGTCAATGATTCTGTCCTCCATGCATTCTAAACCCCATTTGGGCATTGGGCACCTAAAAATTATATAATTGACTTGTATCTTTCGTAGATCACGGTGTCAACAACCAAATCCTTTATTGAATACATAAAAACACACCCGATTGTATTCGAAGTGTTCGGCCACTATCAGCAACACCCATTGCATAAGGACGCGAAATTGGAGGGCTCGGTACGACAGCCACCGCGCCGAATGCTTCCACCCTCAATTCCGATTTCTCAACCGGTGCGGTCTAGTAAGTTCGGCGCCTTACCCTCCCCGTGCACTGCGCACATCCACGCAAAGGTGGACGTCCTGGTCTGGTTCGAGATATGCGAGTTGGCACCTAATGGCGAATACGTACCGGCGGTTGTCGAACACAGTGACGATCTACCATGTCGCGGATTATTTTTGTTACACCAGGTAAAAACGTTGACAAAAGTACGGTAACCGCAAAGACACTTTCCAGGGTATACAAAGACGCATTCGCATCACGATTGTGCACGACCAATCGGCCGAGCTGCGATGGCGAGACGTTCGCGAGTTAGTCGTCGGACGAATACGAAACAGCCCCGAATCGGACGAAGACGAGGACAATGACAATTCTGTACTATCTCTGGCCCTCTTCCCCGGCGAGTATCTCGAAATACCCGGCGACGATCGCACGATGTTCATGTTCGAGGCGGCCTGGGACAGTTCCCTACACAACTCCCCACTTCTCAATCGCGTCACGTCCCCCGGAGAGCAAATATTTATGACAATTTCCGCATACTTAGAGGTAGCCAATTGTACTGATCGCGCGCAGGTTTTATACGCCTTTTTCAGCTCGAGAACTGCGGACGACCGACGATCATCACTAAGGATCTCAGCATGGTGATATACGGGCGCGACGCGCGCACCGGTCCCCGATCTCTGAAGCACCTCTTCTCGGGCAACTACCGAAACGCGGAGGCGAACCGACTGACCGGAATTTACGAGTTATTGCTGCGGCGCGCCAGTGAAGCAGGTAGTCCAGGTAGTTCCCTAGATTAGTATCCTTCCTTTCGCCTGTCTCTTCTTCACCCCTGAATATGCATGAACCTATTCTTCGCTACAGTAGTAATAGTAAGTAAACGTGGTGCATGCTAATGTAAGGACAATCGCAAATCCCAAAAAAACTGAAAGCTCATTGGCGGGGTAGAATAACTATTGAGTCAGGATCTCAACTCTGCAGTTTGAAATTCAAATCCATTGAAATTTAGAAATTTAGAAAACTCGAAAAATTCGCAAAGAATCATCCCAACTTAAAGAAACTAAAGATATTCTAAGGATTAAAAAATTATAACATTTAGAAAACAAAAATGATAAAATAACGAATTCAGTAAAACTTGACAAATTTAAAAACACTGAACGAGCAGATTAGGGAGTAGAGGAGCAGCACAGGTTCGGGGTCACTTTTGGTCAAAATCTCATGTTATGTCTTATGGGAAATTTTAAGGTTCATTCTGGTCATTTTTGTATTATTTGTACATGCACAGTAAACGCACGAATCTCGAGCGCCACCAGAGAGATGCGGCTTTGCCCCTGGTCAAGGACGCGGAGCGGTCAATGGAAGTACTCGGCAATCAAAACAACTAAGTAATTTTAGAAGATAATTGATAATTCATTCAGTCCAATACAAAAAAATAAAAAAATCAGAAAATTAAGACTATGAAACAAACATTAATTTAAAAAAAACGAAAAATTCTTAATGGTTTTCTCGCGGGTTTTCTGAAAAATGCGAAGATTAGTGTAAATCGGTGTAAATTCATAATAAAAATAAAAATTAAAAAAACAAAAAAAGTAAAGGAAATTAAACATTTGGAAACATTAAAAGAATTCAGTAAATTTACAATTCAAAAAATTCAGATACTGGGAAGACGGCTGGACGGGATTGGATGAAATTTTTTTTCTGTGGGTCCCGAGATTTAGATTCAGAATTGGGCCCGATAGGATTTTTTTAAACTTTTTTTCGTTGATGTCGCACTGCTATTTCGCGTAACGATCTGTTCTTATGTGTACATTTACATTCTATACGCTGGGTTCCCGTTATCATAGATCCGTCAGTATAGAAATATAGAGCGTACGAAGAAAATCTATTATCTGTTATAAAAATGGAAAAAATTAAGAAAAATAAAATTCATAGAACTTCAGAAAATTTCCAAATATATTTTGAAAGGTTTGGAAAATTTGCTCAGCTAATTTTGAAAATGGCGCAAATAACAAACAAATAAGAATTTAAGTCGATATTATGATTAAATGATCACAAAAAATTCGATATGTCGATCACGGTATGCAAGTCTGCAAATTCGATTCTAAAAATTCCGTGGCTACGGGTGGTGGGAATACGCTATTTAAGTTGAGTTCCATTACAATCAATAAGCATTATTGCAAGTTCCGTAATATCGAATTAAATCGTTATTTTTTTTCTATTTGTGACGTTTTTCAATTAACTACATGCGAAATTAGATCACTCACTAGTAGGTGGGGGACACTCTGTAACCCGAAGGTCCAATCTTCAAATGAGTAGGTATACAGGGTGGTGACTTGCGTAACGCATCATACGGATTTCAATGTAAAATTCATAACATGCGATTATTGGCTCCCCAAATGATTTTAGAGCAAAAATGTATTAAGGTTTTTTGTAGAAACAATTTTTTACGCCAATCAACTGTATTAGTTAGGAAAATTGGAAAAATAAAACTCGCATCTTTTTTAATAATCTGCGATGCCATGGAATTTTCTAAAACAAAAAGATATCCAGTTATCAATTAGCAGCAGTTCGAAATGGATTTTATGATCGACTTGGTTACTGTCTTGCACTTAATGGTGACATTCATTTTTCTACAAAAAATCTCAATACATGTTTGCTCTAAAATAATTTGGGGAGCCAATAATGGCATGTTATGAATTTTACATTGAAATCCCTATGACGCGTTACGCAAGTCACCACCCTGTATATCAGATCCTATAAAATTTTCTTTGGTCTAAATTTTAGGTTAGGAACAAGATATCAAGATGCGGTTTTCACGAGCTTGTTTAGGCATCATTTAGGTAGTTACTTTTTCATGAAAAAAAAATCGAACCAATGCATTTAATTTTTTTGAGAAAATTAACCATTTCTGTCGGAATGACCAAAAAAGCCCTCAAGCGGCGATATGTGAAACTAACAAAACTTCAAATATAATATTTGTAGCCGAAGAATAACTTTTTTCAATTAACCCGAGTTTGTTAAAATCGGCTCAGCCGTTTCGAAGATACAGGGTGTTCTTTACGGAAACCTTTGAATACCCCCCCCCCTCCACTTCATTTTTAGAGATACAGCAATAATATTGTCAAACAAAAAAAGTTCAGATTATCGTTGACTTCAAAGACAGGGTATTTTTTTTGTTAGGTTACTATAGCGGAATTCACAGAAACATCACTTTTTTAGATTCCAGATTCACGCCCCCTAGCGGCCATTTCAGAAACTTAAAAATATTTTCCAGGTTTTTCTCGTGGCCGTTTTAGCATAACTTTTTTTACCGCAAGCCTCTTCGATGGATAGGTTTTCACTTCTCAGATACAGTACCTCGCATTCTTAGTTGGCCACCCTGTACACAACAAATTTCGTGGAATTCTCTCCATTTTCGTTGTCCGGCCAAGAACTGCAGTGGAACTTTTTTTTTCGAATTTTCAAAAACTAATTCCAGATTCGTCATTTTCATGTTCAAAAACCCCCAAATACCAAATTTCGTCGAAATTAGATTTTTTTTCGCACCTCCAAGTAGGGGTGCGCCCCTTCGTGGTGGAATTTTGAAAATTTTGTTTTCAACATCGGATAGGGCATACCCGAAAACCTATCCAAAGACCCATCTTTGAAACTCATATGGTTGCTGAGAAAAAAATGAAAGAAGAAATCCAAATTTCACCACTTCTTTGGGGGTAGCTCCCAAACAAAACACGTTGGACCCTCGGTTTATTTGGAAAAAGCGCTTGTCTTGATCCACTCTATCGCCCAATTTTTATTACATGCGGTCATGTAACACCCTGTATAGTCCAGAAAAATCTTATCTTTCTATACAAACACTTAGGCTAAGTAAGGGGAATTCGTCAATGATCTTTGGGTGTAACATTCTAATCCATTAAGACTCCTACGAAATTTTGGAGATATATATCTGTAACGTCGAAGTGATTGTTTCTATATACAGGGTGTCCCTAAAAGGTCTGTACAACGCGCTACCAGGGGTTCTTGGTATCAAAATAGGACGATTTAACCCAACTTACCTCTATCCAAAAGTGCTTCGGTAAGGCGCTATCTACCGCCAAAGATTTAAAAAAAAAATCGTTATCTTTATTTTATCGGAAAATGGTTTTGCCGATTAAAATGAAATTCGGGATGTGAATGTCTAATGTAAAAAGGGTCTTTGTGATATCATCGTTTTGATTGTAGTTGCTATGTAGGTGGTAAAATACTGACCATCCACATCTGAAGAGGTCTAAAACTTTTTAACTACTATTTTGACGGTTCTGAATTTTTAGACACTGATAGACAGTTTACTTGCAAGCATTTTTTGTCTCTTGATGAATATCGCTATCTGTGGTTTACGAAAAAAAAAAAATTTAGGCATAATGAATGGCATGCACCATACATGCGATTGTTCCTCAAAAAATCAGTTTTATTTTTTATTTATTTATTTAGTAGTTTAAATTAATACATTACATTGATTTACTCTGTTGTGTTCGTTTATTCTACGTTACATGCACTACGGTTTCATAGCCTACTTCTTGCTTGCACTTATGGTTTTTGAGGAACAATCGCATGTATGGTGCATGCCATTCATCATGCCTAAATTTTTTTTTTTCGTAAACCATCACAGATAGCGATATTCATCAAGAGACAAAAAATGCTTGCAAGTAAACTGTCTATCAGTGTCTAAAAATTCAGAACCGTCAAAATAGTAGTTAAAAAGTTTTAGACCTCTTCAGATGTGGATGGTCAGTATTTTACCACCTACATAGCAACTACAATCAAAACGATGATATCACAAAGACCCTTTTTGACATTAGACATTCACATCCCGAATTTCATTTTAATCGGCAAAACCATTTTCCGATAAAATAAAGATAACGATTTTTTTTTTTAATCTTTGGCGGTAGATAGCGCCTTACCGAAGCACTTTTGGATAGAGGTAAGTTGGGTTAAATCGTCCTATTTTGATACCAAGAATCCCTGGTAGCGCGTTGTACAGACCTTTTAGGGACACCCTGTATAGGTATACAAGGTGGTCAAATGCCAGATATTTTTATTGACACTAAATAACTGCACCACCTCTCTAATGCCTTTCTTAGCATGATTTACACATTTCCCAAGGATGTGAACTGTATCTGACCTTAATCCGCAGGTGTGCAACGCCGTCAGCGAAGGGTTTTGGATACCAGTTCGACGTACGTTCGCGGTGAAGAAAACTTGCACGGTTGGAGGCCGCGCGGCGATTCGTTAATTTTCGATCACCAATGGGAATTGGAGAAGTTGACGCGTCTCGAGGAGGTGGAGCGAGTGCGTCACACTTTGCTTTTACGCGAACGTCTAGGTCTAGATCGCACCAGTAACCAGATAAAGACCCAACCCGAATACACAAAAAGCGAAAAGGAAGTCTGCAATATGGTAGCTAAGAATAGTAATATTAACGTATCCTGTAAGTAGCACGTCGATTTTGTACATAACATCTACATTCCAACTTTTTAGCGAACATAGATAACTGCGAATATACGGACCGGGAAAGAAATCTTTTGAATAAATGCGCGAAACTAATTCAAGGCAAATGTCGCGATTCAAGTAGTGCAAAGGACAGCGACTATACCAGTCCCTCCGAGGAGGTTACCGATTTGAGTACAAGTATGATATCGAGTATGGTTTCCGGCAGCTCCATTGAACTCTGCTCGCCTGAACGGGCAGCGCTACCGGGTGAATGTGCGCCCTTCCCACCGGCCCCCGTTTCGCCGCAGGGTCCCAGAGATCCCGAACTCGTATTGTACGTCCCAGACATGGAAGAAATTAGAATTTCGCCAGTAATCGCCAGAAAAGGGTACCTAAACGTACTGGAACACAAAACGCACGGCTGGAAAAAACGCTGGGTGGTACGTTACGTCATTGTATTTAAAATGTAACGGTAATGCCACGGAATAGGAAAATATGCTGCGTAATCATTTTCGCTTGTTCGCATGGTAGATATCGAGATGCGAACTTGTTTAGGCATCATTTAGCTACTTTTTCATGAAAAAATAATCGAACCAACGCATTTAATTCTTTTGAGAAAATTCCATTTCTGTCGGAATGTCGAAAAAAGCCCTCAAGCGGTGATATGTGAAACTAACAAAACTTAATACTTGTAGCTAAAGATTAGCTCTTTTGAACTAACCCGAGTTTGTTTAAATCGGCTCAGCCGTTTCGAAGTACAGGTTGTTCTTTACGGAAACCTTTGGGTATTCACCCCCACCACTTCATTTCTAGAGATACAGGAAAAATTGTCAAACAAAAAAGGTTCAGATTATCGTCGACTTCAAAGACCGGACATTTTTTTGTTAGGTTAATATAGCGGAATTCACAGAAACATCACTTTTTTAGATTCCAGTAAAGTCACTAGATATAGAAAGTACCGCAATCATCCGCCATTTTTGGGCAAATTTGCTGCCAACTTAAAAAAATTTACAAATAAAATCTGAATAGCTGTAATTTTTTATAACCTAACTTCATAGTACTGTCATGTTTTATAAAAATATATACAGATATCTCCAAACAGGTGGAACAATCCCTAACATTAAAGTTACTAGATTCTGGTAACTTCCGCCATTTTTGGGCAAAAATCATGCGTTCTCTCTCTAACACACGAGCCCAATGGATTGCGGTACTTTCTATATTTAGTGACTTTAGATTCCAGATTGCAGTTACGCCCCCTAGCGGCCATTTCAGAAACTTGAAAATATTTTCCAGGTTTTTCTCGTGGCCGTTTTAGTAAAAACTTTTTTACTGCAAGCCTCTACAATGGACAGGTTCCCAGATACAGTACCTCGCATTCTTATTTGGCCACCCTGTACATACCTACACTTTTACACATAACTATAACTTGTGACATTATTAAAAGTCAAAGGTTGGGGCATCAACAGTTATTTTAATTTGCACTGGTTCTCCATTGTCGTGGATGTCCATTTCGACTACCCAAACAACACAAGTACCTTCATTGCAAATACATAGTACGTACAGCGCTGGATTTACGGACGTAAATTAAATCTACAGTTTATGTAAGGACATTCCACATACATACATGGTACATTATTTTTGCACTACTTTGTACATTCTAGGTACGTACGTACATTAGACATACTGTTATGTATCTATAATGTACTTACTTTTGCTCACGTACATTATACATATTTTATGTACATACATAGTACACCACCATGCTCAGAAAAGCCCCGGAAAATATGCGAACTAATTTTGAAATAATTCAGGCTGGCCAATAGAAAGTCTGCAAAATGACGCGATACATTCCGCGCCATAAGTATTAATTATACCCTTTGACAGTTGACGCTTCACGTTATTTTATTTTACACTTTGCTTCTTGTATTCGCTTTATTTTACGTTTTCAGTCTCCAGTTTTATACAAACCCGTCTTTTTCAATACGCATATTGCTTGGATCTACGATCTGATAAGGTATGTAATTCCCTTAAAGCGTTTTTAAATTTTGCATCAGAATGTACGGTCTAAATTTCTAGCGCCCTCGGACACGCCCTGTCAGGGACTTTCTGAGCGTGGTGCCACTGTACGTACTTTTATGTACCCGCCCGCCACTGACCACAATGAATCCCCAAAATAATGAACTTCCTATATTTGGATTATTTAATCTGTCGGACAAATAAAGGCTTATTATTATTAATAATATCAAATTCATAAATAAACGACAAAGTGCAAACTGACTCGTTCTATCTACCTTCAAGTTGATGTTTTATTTCCCAATAAATGGATTAGGGTAGAGGTCGGCAACCTATTGAAACGGAAGAGCCAAATGTTATAATTTAAAACATTAACCAGTTTTTAAAGAGCCACTAAAAATTTTCTATTCAATATTATATCTAGTATTTGGTTATATACAGGGTCCTGCAACAGTGCAAATATTTAAAAAATCTTTTGGGCAGATGTCAACTATAGATAGTTGCGCATCTACAGAAATTATTTTTGAATGTACAGGGCGTTTTATTTTTATGGTGTCAATAAATAACCCATTTTTTGAAAATAAAACACCCTGTATATTTTCACTTGTTTCAATGTCATTTCATAACCTTTAGATTCAGTTTTTGGTTTCTTGTTAACGTTGTCATCTTATTAATTTTTTCCGAATAATTCCCCGTAAGCAAGCCTCATGAATCATAGCCCCCTTGATTTTGAAGTTACGAAATACATTTTATCAATAATAAATGTTAATCAGAGTAAAGGGCAACACTTTGATAATAAGAAAGTCGGATTTAGTGATACAGGGCGTTTACAAGGAAATGGTAAAATTTCCAAACTTCGGAGTGCCATAAACTATTGTTTTTCAAATGGAACTACTACTATTTTTATATTGTCCTGTGATTAAACCTGGCAGTTTTTATATAGGTAATTCAATACTTTTCACAAAAGTACCTACCCATTAATGAATTACATAGGTTTATACACCGCAGTAGGCTGTGATAATAAAAAACAAAAGAATGCCAGAAAGTACAAGTGTCACAAATTAATTAAAAAGATGACCTTAAGTTTTTTAGATAAATGCGGAGAGCCGTACCTTTATATAAAAAGAGCCGCAGGATGCCGACCCCTGGACTAGGTCACAAAACGTTGTATCACCTTTTTTATGCCAATAAGTAATGAGTCACGCGTACCGTCCCAGCCACAGAAATTAGAAAACTAAAGTAAGGAAAGCCGGTCTTGGGATCTGAAAGATCAGAGGGCGTGCGCATATCATGATCACGTGCAAAATTATCAGTTGACCGAAATTGCCGGCGTACTATGTACGTAGTTTTATAGTTTGTGATCATATACAAATGTACGTACATCAGACGTACGTATTTGTTCCATGGACGTACGTACGTAAAATGGGCACAAAAATGTACGTACAGTCGAAATACGTGCACCAGATTTCTTTTATCGAACTAGCAAAACAATCACGAAACCTGTTCACCAAATCTACAAGGTATCTCGTTATATGTGGCCACATCTTTCGTTAGATCAGGCATCGGCTGGATGTCATTGGGGTTGGAGGTATCATTTGCATCGTCGAGTACAGGCGTTCCATCATCTGGTTCATTAATTGCGTTTGAGTCATTATGAAGGACATCAGGTGAGTAAACTCAGAGTGACCATTCGTTTGGATGGGTTATGTCGCATTTTGTCGAAAATCGCTGACGGCTCACGCACATGAATCCGGGTATAACAAAATAGTAATCACGGACGGACTATATCACTTGTAACGCTCAGTGTTGTAATCAATTTCATTAAAGTTTATCATTGAAATATATTATATCCCACTTCTGATTTTGTAGGCGATGGCCTACACTGGTCTGATGGCCGTTAACTATGAACTATGAATTTAAAAAAAACCTTCACATTTTTTGTAGTGGGAAAACAGGAGGTCATTGTGATTTCTTAGATTGGGTAGAAATCTGCTGCGGCTTTATCTCTTACACAACTGAATTGCATATTGGCAGACTCCCATAAAGAATTAACGCAACTATTGCGTGGCAGTACTGTTAACATTTTAAAAACTACGGTCACCTACAATGAACGAATTGCTTGTAACTCCCAATCTCTCATCTTCTAGGCGGTGCGTCGGCCCTACGTTTTCATTTTTCGCGACGATAAGGATCCAGTGGAACGCGCCCTAATCAATTTGGCAACCGCTCAAGTCGAATATTCAGAGGACCAGTCCGCCATGGTGCGACTGCCGAACACGTTCAGCGTCGTCAGCAAGCACAGAGGTTACCTACTGCAGACACTCAACGAACGGGAGGTTCACGACTGGCTGTACGCAATAAACCCATTACTAGCGGGACAGATTCGATCCAAGTCGGCACGACGAAATCCGTCTAACAACAAATCCGATCAGCTTAGTCAGTACAGCATCGAAGGGAAGGAGGTTAATTCGAAATGAGATATAATCACAATGGAGTCTGTCCTCGTCTACTAAAATTCTGCAGGTTACGTTTCTCGTTTAAGTTAATTGAATTTGTACTTTTGTAATTGGACACTTGACGCATTCCGACAGGCTCCATTGCATGATGTAGATAATTAGGGAATTTTTATTCTAGTCAGTTTCGTTTCAAATTACACGCTTGGTTGACAAGTTTGAATCGATCTCAATGTAACTTTGAATTACAAATTTAAGATAGCTGTCCCCTCCCCTCCGTGAACGCTTAACACATTTTAAAATACCTAAATAAATGAGAAAAATTTTCCCCGGTTTCCTCTCCATCTTTGGTCTCGAAATTCGCCAACTGTAGATGTAAATTCCACATTACAAGCGATAAGGCCTTAGAGTTTTGTGCTTTTAATTTTTAAAAACGCTTGAAACCTTCATTTCGGTACGATTAAATTCAAATGCACAAGGTGTGCCATAGAGAATGTATTTAAAGCACTTGTAGTTTGATTTTAGAGAAAAGGCGGGTTTTCGAAACAGGAAAATTTACGGGAACGACGATTAATCGTGTGTAGATTACGTGACGCACAACACTTCATTAGCGGAAATGTGGAATTGATATTAAAGCGATTTGTACAGATTATTTATTTTTTTGTTAACGACCTACGTGCAATTCTTTCTTCGAGTATTACTTCTTCGTTGCAGTTGATTAGATGCGCTTGTTAACTTTGATAGTTTTATTTTTATAGTTACCTAATTCTTCTCGACACCTTCGCTACGCTTAACTATAGCTATGAATGTAAAGAAAAATATGTATTATGTACTAATAATAATTAATATGTAGTTATAAAATCTATTATAGGTAAAGTACCTATTTGTATTTTGATTTTTTTTGGGAAAAACTGTACGATAAAATTATGAATCACAGTTATTTCCAAACAAAACTATTATATATATGTTAAAACAAATTGTGTAAGCATTATATTGAATAAAGTGTATAAAACATCAATTATGGTTATCTCTACACTCTTTATTGATCTGTAGCGTGTGAATTTGATATATTTTCTGGTAGTTTGCCCATATTTCTAAATATAGTTTTAATAGCGCAATTTCTCCCTTCTGCTTTTTCTCCAGGCTGTAATCTTTGAGAAATATTCATTTTTCAATTGATCTAAGACAGTCAATTTTTTTAAAAGTATATGTACCTATACAGGATGGGCCATTGGTGTGTGGCTGGAAGATTGTGGGTTTTTTAACGCGCATATGTAAAATTCATAGTGCGGGAATGTCGAGGGGAATGTTGAAGGACCCTTAAGACTACAATGTAAAAACATTTTCAACGAAATTGCAATTGTTATACAGGGTGATTTATATCGAAGTTACATTTTTTTAAATGGAACCCTCTGTAAATTATTACATATTTCGATTCCTTAGTCAATTTTAGTATGACTATGTATTACGCATGATATATAAAATGAGTCGTTTAGCCACAATACGTCGTTTTTTCAAAAAGTATATGTCCAGTAAAAATTGAATATCGCCGTTATCATAAAACTTAGAAGGCCGTGACTTTGCAGTGGCACTAATCATGAAATGTACTAACTTACGTTGAACGGCTAAAGTTAAACTTCTTTTGTATTAAAAGAAATCACTCCGTCAATTTTCAAAATTTCAACCTAAGGTAACTTGATTATTTTAAATAGAACTCCAAAATTTTTTTTATTGCTTGAAATGTAGGTAGTATTTTTTACCTCATATCGTTATATGAGCATGTCCATTTAAAAAAATGTAACTTTGATATAAATCACCCTGTATAACAATTGCAATTTTGTTTTAAAAATATGTTTAGGTTGTAGTGTTCCCCCACTATGAATTTTAAATATGCGCATTAATAATCCCACAATCTTCCACCCACACACTAATGGCCCACCCTGTATATTTAAGAAAAATTCCCTGCATAATCACAATAGCGTTATTTTTCTCACTTCTGCCAGCTCCCCAGCCTAAAATTACTGGCATCATTCACTAAATGTCCCAGCTGGTGTAACAGGTAGTTGCATTACAATAGTTGAAGACTCCTCGTATTAAATAACTAGTACAAATGTTCCTAATACAATTAATTTTACCCACGGCTAGCTGTGCAATTAAATTGCACTACTCCTTACCTTGCGGAAGTTTGACCTTTTATATAATTTTATCTGAATACCAAAACTACAACGCTGTTATTTGACTAGACAAAAATAAATAACAATGTGAAATGAATTGATTGAATATATTGACAAAGGAACGTCGATCCAATTCCATTCTCTTTTACTTTTTCCTGGCCTTAAAACATTAATTCGATTCAACAAAATACAACCCCTATCTCGTATCAGTTCTAAGTTTGTCGCTTATCTAAATTATTTCTTTTACACAAAATATTTATGCAAATCTTACAACTAGCCGAAACTAGCAACACTGTCGAGCCCGCGCCTATCGCCAGACCTACTCACGTCCACGTTTCCTATGAAGAGAAAAAATTTTAAAACTGTAAAGCGATTCTCCAAGCGCGAAGCGATCCAAAATGACATTTATTTACATTTGTTCATCATTTTCCATGCCATAGAATATGCTTTAGGCTATACAACATCTGAGTCAACACACCTTTAAGATGCAAGCGACTTCCCGAATAAGACCGTGTTAACGTTGAACGAAAAGTTTCGTCCACTTTCGTAAGGGGCTTCATAAGGACAGGAGACAAAATAACAATCAAAAATAAAAACTTTTACCAATTAGCCAAGGGGAGCAACGCGCACTACTTCATTTTATTTCAGATGTAAGTGTTGCGTAACTGTAGGGGTAGGTTACCACACAACTGCAGGAAAATGTTCGTTTGAAATTTTATTTGAGAGGCCAAGAACGTAAGTGAGACGGGAAGAAATCAACTCAATCTATCACACTTGTAGGACGGAGTTTTCTGACCAAAATCCCGCTCGCCCGCATTTATTTCAAAATATGACGCAAACAGAAAAAATATAGATCATTTGTAGAGAACTAAACTGCCTTAGTTTAAAGTTTTATCTAGTCAGATGTTATTAGTTAATGCAAAAACAAGTTTACATTGTGAAGAAGTTTTGATGTGTGTTAGAATACATTCGTGTAATTTTTCATTGTGTCAATTTAAAATGCAGGTAGTTTTATTTTTCTGTCAGAATTTTTGAATTTCTTTTTATTTTAATATTATTTTCGATTTTAGCCAAAACTTAAGTAGTGATTTCATTAGAATTTACGGAAAATTTGATTGCGGCCATCGGCTCTTTCAAATTTATCAGAGTTTTAAGTCAATGTTAGAATTTTATTGTTGTGTCGGAACCCAGTTGTGCCGGTGAAAAGTTTAAAAAGGAAAAAGAAATTGTGTAATTTGAGCTAGCTGAGTAGCGTCTGTTGAATTCTCTAGTGAACGCATACCATTGCATAGATTTATTTATTTGGCGCCCAACGTGGGGCCGCAGCATTATTATTTGGCGCCCAACGTGGGGCCACAGCAGTATATTTCCCATTCTTAAGCTTTCCGACTGTTGACAACTCCACTTGGTGATCTTTTGCCGTTGCGGGATTGCTAACTGACCAGATTATGCAGTCATGACGAAAATTTTTAACCCGTCGCTCGATCCTATATTCTCATGAATTTTTTGCGAAAAAATATTGGATCCCGTAATAGTGAAGAGCATAATATTACCGATGACTTACCGCTGAATGTGCTCGACGTCTTAAATCAGTCGATCGATTTTCTTCTTTTTCACATATTTTCATCCACTCTTCCGTCCTGTCCGGATATACTCAAGGTCGTAAAATTTTAATTAAGTGAAGTCACGTTTTCGAGAAGCTAATAGGTAGGATTCTCAAATTTGTCATCAAGACCAAGATCCTCTCAAATTCTTGTAAAGCTTTCTTTCATTAAAAATCACCATTCCTCTTTAAATTCTCCTTCAATTCCCTGCATACTCCACTTAAGTGTCTCTCCATTCCCTCATAAGTTGCTCTAAGTCAATCTTTATTTTAATAACTTTACAATGATAGGGTGATAGAAAATCCACTCTTCGAGATCGAAGCGAATTATATTACATGGGATTATTATTAACATTTGAGATGTGTCAATTATAGGAACTAAAAAGTATCATTTTAGTATAGCCACTATTACAGAGATGTCGCTTTAAAGAAACAAGAAAATATTCAAAATTAACAATATTACCTACTATATATACACAAACAACAAAGTGTTAACCTTACGCATTTAATGGGTAACACATTTAGCTATACACTATTGAACAGCAGCTGTAAAACCACTTTTCACTCACATCCAGGCCTAGCTAGTAATATAATGTGTACGTTTTCCTCCCCCATTTGCCCAGCAACTTCATCGCAGGAAAACTGTTTGGAATTTAATTCATAATAATACTGATGATCAAACCACCAGTTGGGAACCATCGGTCTAGAGGGGGTAAGTTTCCAAATTTATCCCACTGCACAGACCTTCATACTGGAGCGATGGCATGCAGAGCACAGTTCATGATAGTCAAACGCTATTTCAGTGTGTTGAAGAAGGAAAGGAGAAGACATATTGACCACATATTTTTTGAGGGGAGGGGAACGTCAATATAATAATCAAATAACGTTACATCTTAATTTTGGTTTACAATTGCTTTATTTAAATGTCAAAAAATCATTACTAAAAAAAATACTTGTGCTAATATCGTACTCTAACTTACAAAGTCAATTGAAAGATACCAAAACAGAAACTAACTAATTAGATTGAATATTCTACACTAAAAGATAATAATATACATTGCTTAAACCTACATCTTAAAAGTAACATCAAAATAACCTACAATTATCATTAGAATATATTCAAATTTTCAAGTTGGAATACGAGTAAGTATGTGTATTTACATACATTTCTTCTCCACGCCACTATTCAAACAGTAATACATTATCGTACTATTAGAAACACAAATTACACGACACCGCTGACGAAAAGAGCCTGTAGCCAACTCAAAGGGACCACAGACATGAAAGGGAGAAAAAAATAAATAAATACCTGCCACTAAAAAGCTCGACGTGATCGATCGAGATTGAACGTCAAAAAATTTACATGTCTGGCGGTGTTGAGCCAGAAACGGTCTTTATATTTTTGTGTCTCTTCATTTGTCCTGTTGGGCTGTAGGGATGTCGAACTGATGAGTATGAACTACAAGAATAACTTGTTTAGCTTCCGTGTAAATGTGCAACAAGTAAATATTAAGACAACAAAGCACACATGATTATTCCAAACAATTTTGGATTAATGGGTGCATCGGTTAATGAAAGAAAGCTGCAAATGAGCAAAGGAATAGTGCAATTACAATTAATATTTAGTTGTTATTAATGTACCTGAAAGCGGTGGAGTCTAAGGCTTGTACGAGCAAGAATTACTGCCGATTGTAGTTCTTACTCGATGCTCTGTAGGAAAGATAATCTGCCCAAAACTAAAATTGATTGATAAGAATATACGTCAGAAAATTTGCGCTCACTAAGTTTTAATTTACATTCTGAGTCAATGATGGAGGGGGTTTGGTCAATATTACCATACCGCACTGCCCAACATTTGTCATGTTTTGTATTTGTTATTTCAACTTCCCGCACTTTTTTTCTATTGTGGTACATAATCAAAATATAGACCCTCTAATTAATCTGTACTTTTCCACAGACCCTCTTAGGAACATCAAATTAATACTGTAGGTACTCGAGCAAATTCCAAACACATACTTGGTAATATTTGCAGTAATTAAAGTTGACTTGTCTTAATCAGACTTCATGACGCATGGGGAGATTTGCTCGGGACATACATAGCCGCGAAGTATATAACATAATAAAATAATGAGTACTTACTCTTATTACATTGATAAATGAGCTTCAACGATTTATGTTTAAATTTTTCTAATGTTTTCGTGTAAACCTGTAATATACATGAAAATTCTCAATTGTTAGAATGTGCTGGCGCTTGATTGTGAAATGTTTAATGAATTATGCAGTTCTCACCGAGGCAGTTGCAGAATACAATTTAGTTTTTAAAATAAATGAAGACCGAAGACATTGTTATTATTGCATAAAGAAGCATATTTCTCTATCGATGAAATTTATGTAGTGATCATTATACACTGTGTCCAAGATAAAGATGTCTATCATGGGGAACTCCGAAACCATGTCAGAATTCGTTTTTATTATAAAGCTAGAAACATATTTGCAAAATTGCATATTATACATTCAAATATTTTTAATGCAGACATCTAGGTTTCCATGACTAAGAAAAGATGGCAGTATTGTTTAAAACGACAATTTCAAGGTTATCTGTATTATTTATTATTATATTGTATTACTTATTTGTTTCATTCACTAAGTGTTCACGTTCTTTGTTTTTTGTGTGTTATTTGAAGTTAAAAATATTTGGAACTAATACAAATTGATAGATAACCAAAAAATTGACATGTTAAACAATACTGCCATCTTTTGTTTGCCAAGGAAACCTAGATGTCTTCAATAAAAATATTTTAATGTATAAAATGCACTCTTGCAAATAATATTTAATATAAACAAATGATAAACCAAAATTTAGAAAATTTTACGCGCTTTCAAAAACTCCAAAATATACAGGGTGTTTTTTTGGGAGCTTTAGTTAAAAGTTTCTGGGAAAGTAAAATAGGTAGGTTTTTGAAAATTTGTACTTAGGAGTTACTCTGAAGGCCGAATCGATGTAAAATATTTTCAAAATGGCCGCACTTCCGGAAACACCGGAAGTAGATAGTAACTTCGTTATTTTAAATGGCAACCCCTATTTTTTATTGCATTTTTCGATTCTATGTGAAATTTCAGTTCTTTTGATACCCATATGTCGATATCTGCCATTTATGGTTTTTAAGTTATTTTGACTTTAAGAAAAAAAAATGGCGGATGCAGATGGTACCTTGATAATTGATTACTTGAAAACGGTTGTAGTCATGGCAACCTATTTTTATCAGTGAATAGAGAATGAATAGGGCTTTCTTTTAGTGCACTTAAAACAAAGTTAAGTTGCATACAACCGCACCTATGGAGATCCAAATTTAAGAAACTTCAAAGTCTATAAACTCAGTTTTTTTAAATGGAATGACCATGTTCTTAATATTGCATGAGATAGAGAATCGAAATTGGCATATTTTGATATTACATGTTCCTATAGCTATCTTTAACAGTTTCTGATTTATTCCCATTCCATTGAATTGATCTCGGAATTGATGCCATTTTTTTCGCATTTTCTTTTTAGTAGTTGGCCATGATTTTATAACAATCGAATTTTAAACAAATCAAGGAATGGATTCTTTAATACCATTGATTCTAGTTCTAGTCTAAATAATTCATTAATAAATAACTCATTTATTAAGGATATAGGACGGAAAATTTTTGAAAAATCTAAACAGAGTCGTTCAACTGAATTTCTTAAACAAGTCTGGAAATTAAGAGAGGTAATGTGATATCTGTTCTAGCAACAATTCCATACCAAAAATGTTTCAACGAAGTTTTTTATATTTTGCATTGAATTTAATATGTTAATCTTGCATTTGCAATTCAATTCATTTTCTTAAATATTCTCTTGTAGAGCTTTGTATCACTTGTGCTTCAACGGTTTGTAGTGCATTAGGGGTACAAAATTTCCAAAATTCATACAATTTCGTTCCAGTTTTTGAATGAATGTACGGAAAGCACGCGCCGCGATTCTGCCCATTTCACCATAAATAACAATTAAATTCCAAAATAGGTGAAACCACTGCGAGTCATTTTTCGATTTTTGAAAAACTTATGTTAACCTATAACAGTGGGTGATGGATTAGTGTCACTAGATTTGTTTAAAATTCAATTGTTATAGAATCATGGCCGACTACTAAAAAGAAAATCCGAAAAAAATAGTGTCAATTCAATAAAATGGGAATAAGTCAGAAACTGTTAAAGATAGCTATAGGAACATGTATAGTCAAAATATGCCAATTTCGATTCTCTATCTCATGCAATATTAAGAACATGGTCATTCCATTTAAAAAAACGGAGTTTATAGACTTTGAAGTTTCTTAAATTTGGATCTCCATAGGGGCGGTTGTATGCAACTTAACTTTGTTTTAAGTGCACTAAAAGAAAGCCCTATTCATTCTCTATTCACTGATAAAAATAGGTTGCCATGACTACAACCGTTTTCAAGTAATCAATTATCAAGGTACCATCTGCATCCGCCATTTTTTTTCTTAAAGTCAAAATAACTTAAAAACCATAAATGGCAGATATCGACATATGGGTATCAAAAGAACTGAAATTTCACGTAGAATCCAAAAATGCAATAAAAAATAGGGGTTGCCATTTAAAATAACGAAGTTACTATCTACTTCCGGTGTTTCCGGAAGTGCGGCCATTTTGAAAATATTTTACATCGATTCGGCCTTCAGAGTAACTCCTAAGTACAAATTTTCAAAAACCTACCTATTTTACTTTCCCAGAAACTTTTAACTAAAGCTCCCAAAAAAACACCCTGTATAGGGTGGCCCGTGTGAAAAATATAGTTTAGGTCCTGTATAAAAACTGTGTATGGCGATGGATTCTACATCAAAAGTGCTGTAAAAAATATTTTTGCCAAAATCGATTATCTTTAATAATAAGAAAGTAATGGGGCATTATAATAAAAATCGACTAAATTCGAGAAACGCTCCCTAGCGGCCAAACGATTACAGCTAGATAGCTGAATTCTATTTGCACTAGAGATTTTTTAAAATTTAGTTCCAGACACCTACGTGTATTTTTTTCTATCTCTGAAAATAAAGGATGTTTCCATAAGAAAATGTCCAATTTAAATCAGCCATATACATTACTCTTAAAGATGAATTTTCTTCAATGAGAAAACTTATGTAGATTATTAATTTATAGCTTATGCCATTGGGCGTCCTCTTCCGGCAATTGTATAAAGCAAACGGTAATATGTGAATGTGAATACTTGTTGACATTGAGCTTAACACACAGAGTGTGCTAAAGTCAATGATATAAAATAAAATTATAGATATAGAGCAATAATAAATACGCATTTAGCTTCGTTGAATTACGGTATAGTTCATCTGTCGTGCCCAGTTGGAGAAGAAAAACGAAAAGAAGTATATTTTTAGTCTCCGTTTTCAAACTTGACTTAACATCTCTGTAACAGTGAATACAAATTTGAGGTATGTTTATATTTTATATGATTTTGACGGTTATAATGTTGTGATAAAATGATGTAATATCTACTTAATAACAGATGGAGGTATCGAAAATACGGGAGGAATCGGACCAACTTTTAGATAAAGAGTACAAAAAACTCCTTCTGCTATTTACACAGATTACTAGATTTAAAGAAATCTTTACACATAAACGTTCAAAAGGAAGGAATGAAGGATTAAACAAAAAAAAACAAAAGAATGTGACACTGTAGTAGGTCCTGACTCAGGTGCCAAGGCGCCTTATGACGAGTGAGACGATAGGAACGTCCATTTCGTTTACTTTTATTAGAAGACACTACAAACTACAACCAAAAGTTTCGATTAAATTATTCAACAAATAAGGAATATTGCGCATGCGTAGTTTTGGAATTTGTGCGATGGATAAAAACTGTTATGCATTAACCTCGCACTTAATCTTTCGTTTTTGAGTAAGTCAAATTCCAGTCAGCAGCCCACAATATTATTTAGACTTGCCGTGTTGGCGTTATTTACTGTACACGTCGAGATCAAGACGCTTGTATTCGTGCCATTCGATCATTTAATGAAGAGATATTTTGCAAATTATCAGAAACCGTGTGCGGATGCACATCCCAAAAGAAATCAGTAGTTGCCCGCCTTAACGTGTTACTGCAGTAACATTGTTTATTTATTGTTAGTAGTTAGTGGTATCTATGAAGATAGCGATTGCGAGCAATCCACCAGGTCACCACAACTGGTTTATAAATATGTAGGTTTGTGATGGAGTTGGTGGATACTGGAGACAGCGAGTAAAAGGGCTGCTGCGATGGTAAAAGACTGTGTACATCTGTTTCCAAATATCTAAATAATTTTAAGATTTCTTATTTTACTTGTCGACCGCCTGGTGCGGGGTAATATGTCCAAACAAGATCGAAAAATATAGAAAAAACTTTATGATTTCTATCCATTTCCTGATGCTGTAAGATTGTTACGATTCGTTTCTAAATCCATGTGGTTCTATATTTTATGTCACAATAGACTGAAAAATGTTTGAGTAAGTACCTACCTATTCCAACTTCGGTGAATTAGAATACTTTCCCAATTCAAATATTTCCAACTTAGACCATATACAGGGTCATTCTTGACGAGCGTCAGTTAGAAAGAAATAGAGAACCTTTGAAAATGAAACTAAACTGATAAATCCTTTAAGGGTTTTGGCACATGATGAATTGAACTAAAATATTTTCAAGATTGCGCCACTTCCGGAAATACCTGAAGTAGCCATCAACTTTGTTATTTTAAATAGGGACTCCATATTTTTTCTACATTTTCGAATTCTAAAAATTGCAGGAATAATGGTATGTTTCAAATAAAAATACAAAAAAGAAAGCCCGTGGTAGACTCTCTGAAGAACAAGATATAACTGTACTGGCTTACTTTGCTGCAAATCCAACTGCATCGCTTAAATGATATTCAAAGAGACTTAATTTTTTATCAATTTGTTACAAGAAGTAATTAAAACACGGAATATCTCGGAAACCGTTTGAAGCAGCCTTTGACATTTTGTATCAAATTAAAGGTCTAGGAAAAAGGAAAACAACAGTGAAGGAAAAAATTGGGGGTGTCATTTGAAAAAATAGGGTTATGGATATTTAAAAATTTAAAAGTTGAGAGCTGTGAAAAAGTGGTGTAGTCTCACGTTTTAGACAGTTACGCATACCATAAGAAAATTCAATCTTTCCTTAATAAAGCAGTGAAACCTGTTTTGCAATATCTCTCACCGTTTTCGAATAATAAGTTTTTAAAATTACCCCTGCAAATTCAATTTTTGACATAAAAACTTGAGTATCGACAAAGCCTTTGGAGCAAAGGGTGAACTATGCCATTGTATTGTTGTACTCCAAATTCGACGTGGAAGTCGAAAATGTAGAGAAAATAGGGGGAGTTAAAATAACAAAGTTGATGGCTACTTCCGGTATTTGCGGAAGTGGCGCCATCTTGAAAATATTTTAGTACAATTCATCATGTGCCAAAACCCTTAAAGGACGTATCAGTTTAGTTTCATTTTCAGAGGTTCTTTCTAACTGACGCTTGTCACGAATGACCCTGTATACATAACACATTTATTAACATCCAAAATCACCTCGAAAATCACCAAGGATTTAAAGTGTGCCCAATGTGCTTTTGTCACCAAAAATAGATCCGGTCTTAAAGAACAGCTTTTTAACATCTAACATTTGTCCCAGGATGGACCCTGGCAAAAATTTAAAATGTGACCGGTGTGATTTTGTCACCAAGTACAAATTCAATTTTAAAAGACATTTGTTAATACACCAGACCAGTAATAAATGCAAATGCGCCTGGTATGAACTACAACATCGTAAACCCCTTTATGTTCTAAGGAAATAACACGCCACACGCCAGTGAAATGCAGAGAATCAAATCAGTGCACATGAGCTGTATTCTGCTGTTGGCTCTCTCTCACACATGTTGGAACAGATTTACTGACTGTAGGCTACCGTATGTACCTACTGTGTTTTTGACACTTAGTGAACACCTGCTGTTATTTTTTTGTTAATTTTTGACGTTCTGTTCATTTAAAGGCATCTAAATTTAAAGAGCAATAAATTTTTCCGTGTTATTTTCTAATTTAACAGCACACATGTGTAAGGTAACAAGAAAAAGAAAAAAATAAGCTTTCTAATGACGTATCACGTGACCTATGTTCTTATTAAAAAAAATCAAGATGGCGGTCCCACTCAAGAATCATGTGTCAAACAACATTTTTTAACATCCAAATATGTGAAATAATTTCAAATTGAGAAGTTCTAACGGTTTGAGCGTTAGAGCTTTGGTTCCATTTTTAATAGCGACCCTGTATACCGAAATCTATAGTTAAACTTACCTGCGAAGTAAGGTATCACACCCTTCTCTAAATTTAATGAATACACAAGTGATGATCAGGGAAAGAGGGGCATAAAACTAGTTGATCAACTTTTCTTTTTATCATTAAAACTTGTGGTAATATCACAGAGAGGGCGGACTAGGTAGTAAATAATACATAACTTCGGACTGGATATCATGATCAAGTTCAGTGTCGAAAACTGACGGAAATGCATTCAACCTGCTCTAAAGAATGAACAAAAAATGCGGGACATGTGCAATGTCCCAAGATGTACCTATTGATGGAATTAGCATCACTTTTATTAACCCATTCGCATGCCTACGTACGGTCATTGACAAAAGTAATGATCGCCTAATAACTAAATTATGCAGCATAAGCAACCAACATGCCTATCACATCCATCGGACTCCGTCCGTTTCTTCAAAGAGGGGATACCTTCATTTCTTGGTTCGCATTTCCAAGTTGCACAATATATTGAAATGTTGGTTGCGTATGGTGCAAGATTTACCTAATCGACGATCACTACTTTTGTCAAAGACTGTACATTTAACACATAAGTAAAACGAAAACCAATAAAAGTCGATCGTTTTTTGTCTAGGAGACTCTATCACACCCTTATTACTATGGTGCAGAGTTTGCATAATTGTGGACTATTAAGAGCTGACGACTCATTTAAAGTTTTCTTCAAATAGAATTATAAACTGACTTCTCCACTGCATAAAATTGTATAAACATGTGATATGAGAAAAAATAAAAGCAAATCAAATCAAAAAATCTGATTTAAAAAAAATTACTACAAACAAAGGAAAAAAGTATTACATTTTAATATTGACATTGAAAAACCGTTACAGTTACAAATATTTCAAGACGAAATACACTTTGTACGTACCAGTATAAAACATGTATTCTGACTGCCTCCGTATATGATACAATCGTAGATAATGTTAGTTACTACAATGTAGTCACAGTATGATAGCTTTAGCGACAGTAAATGAGCGAGTATAAATTCAAAATGATAACTTTCCATACCTTGCGTTAGGCGAAGAAAGAGCATTAGACCTAATACCGCGTCTGCTCGAAACCAGTGGAGTTGCAACAACATGTCTATCTCTAGACCGTCGGCTACTACATGCAAAAACATCTAAGTATAAGCTATACTGACAACAATTCGGTGCGCTAAACACTCAACAACAGCATAAATTAACCTTACCTAGAGCCGGCGGTAATGGCAGGAACTCCGCTATGCTCGCGAACCGGATAGCCGTGTCTATTACGCACCATGGGACCGTTAGTAATGCGTGGAATTTCAGGACGACTGCGATGAGTGCGTGTTTCCCATTCCCTATTGAAATCTTCGGCCTCCTCTTCTTCTAAATTAATAAAATCTTGACGTTCCTCACGATCACCCGAATGGACATTTTGTTCGCGTTCGATTATGTGAGCCCTCTCCCCGATGTGGTGCCCGATTGACATCTTCTTCGTACCCGAACGTGAATCGGTAACTGTATTTTGTGTCTCGCGTACCCCACCTGGCGCAGTGCGAGTGCTTGAAGTTGCCTTGTAAACGTGTGGACGACCGTCAGGACCCGAAGTCATGCTGACAACTGTACTAGACGTAGAACTATAGCAGTGAGGATCTCCCATCGAGTCTAACGAATTGCTAATTAATCTATTAATGTTAGGCATCCCCATAAAGCCGCCACCGAAGGGAAGAAGGGAATTTTGTGAGGCCGCCCGACCGCCGAACGTAAGCGCGGGGGCACCAAATTCCCTCAGACCCATATGGTCGAAAGGGTCGCCGAATAATGAATTCATCATATTGTTCATATGGCGCATCGTTCGCATGTGAGAACTGAAAACAAATAGAAAGCAGCATGGCGCTGGAACGGTAATGCATTTTTAATTAATTACCCAAAGAAAGGATCGTTCTCCATGTCGCCCATTAACGAACCAAATAAGGACATTACGCAATAAACTTAAACGGTCAAATTCGCTTCGAAAGTTCTTCTCAATTAGACAAAAATTAAAAAGGTAACAGAGTTTCACAAAATTGCACTTTTGACGTACCAAAACTTCTCATATAGTTCGACCACAAGGCACAGAGGGCGTATAATTAATTGACAGTGAACAGCGTTGCCACGTTGAATATTAGGCACACATCAGAAAGCAAATGTAGGCGCTTTCTTTCGACTACTTCGCAATCATGATTTCGAGATCGTGATTCGTAGGATCACGTTTTACGAAAGAACGCGCGAATTTAAATCAAAGTATGGTAAAGTTTACGAAGTAGACATTTGCATTCGAATTAGGTATTTTTTGTTTGGATTATGAAAATAATTTAAATACAAGTGGAAGTACTTGCACGATTATGCTCCTCTTCAGTTACGAACATTGACTATCCCCTAACATTTGAGCAAAAATATCCTTGCATTTATAGGTTAGGAATTCGTGATCATAAAACTTTTATGTTCAGTTTGTTCACGATTTTAGCAATCATGATTATAAGATCACACTTCGAAAGAACGTGATTTGACAATCCAAACGCGTTTGGATCACCGAAAGAAAGCACCTTGTAAGTACACAACTTGACATGCGTCGCAGGCGTCCTTGTATGATTTTGTTTATTGTCATTTATAAACTAATAGTTTTTATACCTATATGAATATATATGAAAAATATATGTAATTCTTCAGTGTAGAGCTGTAAAGTTCCTTGTATACCTGTTAAGTTCCGGGGAATGCTCTGTGCACCTTATATACCTACCTCTATATTGCTATAACGACACGCATAAGTAATTTTAGTTTGTGTATTTATTTATGTTAATGGGAAAGGCCACGAACAGTTCGCGTTTTTGTGTAATTGCGTGACCCAGTTAAATGTGCGAAATTATGGCTATTATTTAATTTAAGACATTTCAAGCTGATAACATTTGAAGATGTGTTCTATGCGTAAAATTTCTCTATTTTTGAGATTATTTGTTAGGGACTATCTTTGTATAAAATGCACAGGTGGCTGTTCCCTCCACACGCTAATCGGATGAACAATGAATGACACGTGATCGGATGTCTGAGGCACGGCCCTCTTACGGTAAGCATTTGTAAACAACGCCATGACCTGAAAGTACAGCAGTAAAGGAACGGAAAATAAAACCTAGAATAAAACACTATAAACGCGTAATAGTATAATTTTTATATTGATGATGAGTTCTGGGAGAACACGGCATACCTCTGGCTTTAAATGCATTCCAGAATTCTGTCTAAATTTGTAGGATTTGGCATTTTGATTCGTACTTTTAATCAATTACAATAAACTTTCTTTTGCTTTTTAAATTTTAAGTGTGTTATTTGCGTTCCACCTTGCCGATATTAAGCTTGAGTACGAGTGAGTGCAATTGTTGAATGCGAGGTTTGTAATACTAGGCAATAGTTTTATATGCATAAAAGAGTCGTAATTTCTATCAACATGTTCAGTAGTTTATAATCAAATATGACAGCTAAATTAGAAATAGTAGATGCACTATTAAGAATGCTGGCTTAATTTTTTTGGTGAAAGTAACAATCTCACATTTAGAAATATTTAGCTTTAAAAGTGATTTCGAACGCACCAGTTGTGTATAACAAAAAATAAAAGTGGTCCAAGGTTAGACCCTTAAGAAACATTATCTAGATTAATGTTAGCATTACAATATTCCCCAAAAAAACAAAATTGATGTTGTGCATGCAAACTTCAAATGTAAACGGAATATCTATTTAAGAACCGTTATAAATTTAGTTATCGTTAAGTCTTAGTTCCTGTGAACATTAATAATTCATTTTATATAAATAAATCACCCAATTACATTTACGTTACAATATAATAGTATTATTAGCCGAGTGCAGTTATAGGATTATTTAAATGCACATCGTGAATCGGATCGGTAAGAATCGGAGTAGGCGGGACGAAATTTTAAATGTCGACGTAAAAACGGCAACACAGCAAACGTCACCCATTAGACGGGTGAAATTTGGACGAGGTGAGCAGGCTGAGCACGTACGACACTCGTGGAGTCGTGGGCTAGTATTTCTAAACGTAACACTTTGAAATGGGGTTTTAAATCGACGGTTTTTCTTCTCTAACTACACGACAAGAAAATTGCGTAAACAAATTTAGAATGGAGACGAGCGAAAAAGGCAATCAACACGAAAGTATCCCTCTAAGGAACGGAACAGGGGATGCGAATTCAAAAATCAAATCAACGAAGGGTAGATCTGGACTTATGAAACTGTCGAGCTACATACTGGCCTTACGTCCGTGGTCTCTAAGTGCGAGCCTTATGCCAACTTTGCTAGGATCGACGTTAGCGTACAAGTATCCGGGAGGAACTGACTTTAACTACATTACCTTAATTTTGACTGTGTTTATTAGTGTGTCTGTGCACGGTGCGGGAAATTTGGTTAACACGTACTTTGATTTCGTGAAGGGTATCGACGATCGTAAATCGGACGATCGGACCTTAGTCGATCACATCTTAACCAAGGATGAAGTGGTCACGTTGGGTGCTTTGTTGTATTTCGCGGGTTGTGTAGGTTTCATACTGTTAACTGCACTCTCGCCCGCAAAAATGGAGCACTTGGCATTGGTGTACTTCGGAGGATTGTCATCTAGCTTTCTATATACGGGTGGAATAGGTCTTAAGTACATCGCCTTGGGCGACATCTTGATACTGATCATTTTTGGACCGATTTCAGTTCTGTTCGCGTTCATGTCGCAAACCGGTCGGCTGGAATGGGCCACAATTTACTATGCGGTGCCGCTGGCTTTGAACACCGAAGCGATCTTACATAGTAACAATACGAGAGACATGGAGGTTGATAGGAAAGCGGGCATCGTAACGTTAGCCATTCTTATCGGACATACATGCTCGCATGTATTATACGCCGCGTTGCTTTTTACACCGTATGTAATGTTTATCATTATGACCATTAAGTATTCGAAATGGTTTATACTGCCGTTAGTAACGCTTCCTCAGGCTTTCAAGATTGAGAAGCAATTTCGGACCAAGGACATAGCCGATATACCGAAAAAGACGGCGAAGCTTAATCTGTTTTTTGGTATTTTATGCGTGATGTCGTGCAGTATCGCGCCGAACATGCCTTATTTTGTTAAAAGATAAATGTAGTGTCATTTTAGGTTTATCAATTTACGAGAGTTAATTGCATCTCACGCATGCTTTATCATAGATATACGTTTTGTTGAATATTTATCTACCTATTTATTTTACGAGAGTATGCATGTGGATCTTTGAACTTTGAAATTGACATGTTAAGTACACATATTACGATAACCAGTGAATTACGGAATCGCTAATGTGATATTTGGAGTGTGTGAATCTTTATTTCTGTTACAGAGGCTAATTTTTTTTGTTCCATTGTGCAATTAACGACTGATTTAATCCAGTAGATAAGTTTTTTTCGTTTAATATCGAGTGAGAATTATACTTAATGACAATAAATGCTAAGTCTGTCTTTGATATTAAGATTATTTATATTCCACAAAAATAGGTATTGCATTTTGGGTTACAAGTTTGTAATACTTCTTTTGTGCATTAGTGTTAAATAAATGTTGCTTTTAGATGTGACAATATTGTATTATACATATCTGTAGTTATTAAGTATTTCACGTTTGTACCTCTCATTAAAATTATTTAACATATCGCCTCATTGAGTAAGAAGCAATTTATGTTGTTCTTTCCAAGAACTGACATTTCATAATATGTGCCTATTCTTTAGGATGATTATGGTACTTTCTCCTTTTTATTACATAAAACATCTTGTTACCACATGTAAGCATTAAGAAAGTTAATTTGGACGAGCAGAGCGTGATTTCTAAAGTAAATGTTTAAGACTTGCCCTCTGTATGAAAAAAAATAGAAAAGCTGATCTCTCATACATAGTTCAAAGTTATGGGATATGTACCTACGTAAATCATCTCACAATTCAGACGCATTAAATAAAGTTATCACTATTGCCTTAATTACATTACAGATAGGGCATGTGGCTATGTATTAGGCTTAATATGGGAAGTCGTAAATTCATTAGCATACATATCCTTATTATAATGAGCGTTTATCTTTAAATGTTAATTTGTATTGTTTTCAACAAATGTGATATGATATAAATGTCATTTAAAGTTTCTTAAAATTCGAGTAAAAAAAATGATTCTCTGGATTGTGAGGGAAGATAAAGAGTAGTACTTCTCTGAATCTTTAAAAGTTATGTTTTTATTTAGGAGACGTCAAAGACTATTACAAGCCATAATATAATGCGGTATTTTGATCAATTCAGAAAGAATAAACCGATACAACGAAATATCGAAGGATCTCAGTATTACAATTAACTTTAATCTTACAAAATAGATTTTATACTTAACAAAAGTACATCAAATTCATTTCTTGGGCATTTAGATAATGCTCTTAATCTTGTTCCCACGATCTCAGTGCAAGAATAACGATTTTGACATGTTTTGATCAAAATCCACGTGGTCGCAAAAAATGCATCAAATTCATGTCTTGGGCATTGAGTTAATGCCCCTAGTCTTTTTCCCAACGATCTTGGTGCATAAGTAACGATTTTGACATGTTTTGATCAAAATCCACGTGGTCGTCAAAAATGCATCAAATTCATGTCTTGGGCATTGAGATAATGCTCCTAGTCGTTTTCCCAACGATCTTGGTGCATAAATAACGATTTTGACATGTTTTGATCAAAATCCACGTGGTCGCCAAAAATGCATCAAATTCATGTCTTGGGCATTGAGATAATGCCCCTAGTCGTTTTCTCAACGATCTTGGTGCATAAATAACGATGTTTTGATCAAAATCCATGTGGCCTCAGAAAAATAATTTAACATCTTTGAATCACACACATGCGGTTATCAAATGTGAACGTGATATACTCTTTCATCACCACGATGCGTTTTAAAGCTTGTACAACCTCAAATTCATGTGTAAAGAATAATTTTGAGTACTTAGGCACAATTTAATCTAAAACTTTTGACCTACCACAGAGAAGAGTTATATTGAATTCGTACAGATCTAAGAGTCAAAGGGAATAATCTAGTGAAAGTCCGAACTCGATACATGACCTAGGGAATAAAATATGTAGATTTCTATTATATTGAACCCGCAGTTTTTCCTGTTCCCGATTCACTCGAAGTCCTATAACCTTTGGCCCTGTTGAACCAGCTTCCTGAAAATCAATAGCGCCCGTCCTTAATGTCCAAAGTACCCGTACACCAAATTTCAACACAATCGGCCACTTTTAAAAAAAGTTAGATTGCACACGGACGGACGACAATACAAAAATATAAAGGATCTGAGGATCCTTAATAACCAAATCGCAATATCAAATATTATTATTTTGGTTACCTATATAATAATGGTAACACGATCGAATGTTTGGGAAAAGTGAGGACTAACGTTAAAAATGGCCTATATTGTCCTTCCCTGGAAATTTTACAACATTCAGTTGAAGGTTTAAAGCGTTTTTATTTAAGAATTTCCCTTCTTTAAACATTTTGTGTTGGAATTTTATATTTTCTTTACATTGTAAAGTAATTTAACTACGTCGTTTATTTATTTACAATTAATTTACACCAGTCTTAAAGTGGATTAAGTTAAGACGCCCTTTATCGCCGATGACTGGCGCCTCGATGTCTATATCGGGATTTCTGGAATATTCGCTACACTGCCCCCCTCTTAACACGGACGACGGTTGTAGCGGAGACACCGTCCCAGTAGGCAACTCTTATCCAATATAGCGCCAACTTTGGCAATATACTTGCACGACGACCCTCTCGTGCATCTTCCATTCCTAAAGAAAAAGAATTTCACCGTCTCTGATGAATCAGTGCCCTGATGGAGTACCACCTCCAGCAGAATGCGCACGGTGCAGCAGTCCAACTTATCACATTCAATCTTCGGGATTGCCAGCTTTGTAACGCCATGGATTTGTAGTTGCTGTTTTAAGTATATATTGTAGTATGTACCACAAAATGTACCTACTTATTCAAAAAATCTTTGTAACTAGGTTTCCCAGTAAACACAGAGACTTCTCAAGGATATAATTGATACGCCCCAACTAGCAGTAAATGGGCGCAACTATAATGTAAAATTGCCATACATATTATCCTCATCTCACTCGCCGAAACTTCCCGCACCCCACCGCCCACAGTGGGAGGGTTGAGCGAGTATGATGGTACATGTGCAACTCTGATGCCAGTAACATGAAAGATACTACAACTGTGGAAATCGACTACTTTATACGAAATCATCTCGGCCTGAATAAGCCTCATCTAAATTAATCAAGTTACGCCCCTTAATATTTCTCACACATTGAAAGCAGTGGACTCTAGATATGACTTCCATATTTTCTAAAAAGGCAAAAGTTTCTGTGGTTAGTGAAATTATAATAGATTATGTTAGTGTATTTAGGGTGCTACTGTATGTAATATGCGGTCCCGCGGGATCCCGGTATTTGCGGGATGCCGCAAAAATTTAAATGTATTGGGAAATACGCAATTTATTAGTGCGGTTAACCGAATATTCACGGAGAAAACACATCGTATTTTTTGGAAAGGACGTGTCACATCCGCCTTCGTTTCTTATCGTCAGTGACTAAACTTTTGGGGTGCCTCCATGTTTATCTGGATTTCTAGAATATTCACTACAGTATTTCCATACAGCCACTATACAGGGTGTCAATTTTAAAACTTGCAGTCGGCCATATTTTCCAAACTAAAGAAGATATTGAAAATCGCGCAAAACCGTTTCGGGGGTATCGAGGGGGAACCAGAAGGACGTTATGAGTGCCCTCCCAGCCCCCCCCCCCTCTTCAAAAATTCTAAATGGCAACCCCATACTTGTGACACATCGTTGACTTACAGTACAGCTGAGCGTGTGGAAATAATATTCATTTATAGCCCCGAAAATCGATCATCTTTTAGATCAGCTACAACGTTTAATGAGACATCCCGGCAGAAATGTAAACCATGCCTATGTTCAAGATTGGGTCGCTAAATTCGAAGAAACGGGATCTGTTATCAATAAAAAAAGAAACCAACCAAGATTGTTTAATGAAGCAGCTCAGGTTGAAGTTCTTGCCATAAATCCCTCAATGTTAAATTATTAAATTTTTGTTAAATTGTCTTAATGAATATTGACTTTATTGGTACCACTGGAAAGTATTTTTCCGTAGCTTTCCAACGATGTGTCACAAGTATGGGGTTGCCATTTAGGATTTTTGAAGAGGGGGGGGGGCTGGGGGGTCACTCATAACGTCATTCTGGTTCCCCCTCGATACCCCCGAAACGGTTTTGCGCGATTTTCAATATTTTCTTTAGTTTGGAAAATATGGCCGACTGCAAGTTTTAAAATTGACACCCCGTATAGTATCCAGAATATTACAAAAATAAGAACATTTTAAAGTGTATAACAAAAACGCAATAAGGAGAATCTCTCACCCTGCAGCTTTTATGTTGTTTTTAAACAGAAATCTGCTAAAAGCGAGGAGTATATATAGTCCAAGAGCTGGTGACAGAATTTAGAGAAAGTGTTTTGCCCACGCTGAAATTATAAAAAAAACAACACCATTAATATAGGTGCATGTGGAAATGTGAGTCTGGCAGACGTCTTGCGGTTATTTCACTATTCCGCAGCCTATTAGATTTGCATGAAATAGGGTCAAAAAAGATCCTAAAGGCGCCTTATACATATAACTTCCGACTTGTCAGCGAAAATTCACTTCTCGTCCTTGGTAAACAATATATACCATTAGGCAAGTTGAAATATTTTTATCTTGTAGCTTTAGTATAATAGATAAATAACACTCCCAGACTAATTTTTGGGTTATAAAGTATGACCAGACCCCCATGAATTTATTGAAATAAATATACCCAAAAAATATACTGTAGGAATCCTAACATTTTTCTGGGCTATTCAATAAGCAATTTTAAAAATACAATGTCAATTGTTTTTTCAACCCCCAGATTTTAAATAAGTGCGACAAAAAATACTCACTTGCGGTTACAAGTACGAGAGATACTTTTATCCATACCTGCTGGCATCTTATGGAACTCCTCGCTCCTTGGCGTGTAATTGGTCGCCGTAGGATCACGTGGCCATTGATTAATTACTGTGAAGCTCGCATATTCAACGTACAGCAAAGAAATAGAAAGATTCCACACTAAGGGCCAATTGCCCCGTCAAAATTAAGTATCCCTTAAAGTTAAGCATAACTTAAATAGTTAAACACCATAGCAATGATTGTTTATAGTCCAGTCATATTAGTGTTTCACCTCGGAATGAAAGATAATAAGCTATAAACTTGTGTAAACCTTTATTTTGTTATTCTGAAAGTTGTCTCAAAAGTCACATAAAATCTCGTGTCCGCGTCTTAAGATATTCAAGGTCAAAGGCCTCAAAAATCGTTTTTTTGCAAATATCTCATTTCCTATGGTTTTAATACCATTTGTACTTATTATACAAAGTGTAGGGAATAAAATTATCTACAACTTTTACCCCAAACATTTTTCTATATACTCAACGGTTTTTGAGATAAAGAACGGTGAGAGCGCGGCGCATAGTGACCGTAAGTCCAGGTAGATAATACGCCGTATAAAGATTATAAATCATTAAAAAATATATAATTATAAATAATTGTCATTGTTTATTAATTAACCATGATAATATAGTGATGTTCTATAATCTATTGCATTGCATTCATTTACTTGCAGTTTAAGTTCAATTTTTTCATAATCTTGTAATTAGCAATATTTGAGTATTAATTTTCTTCATCATCACCGTCGAAAATTTGCAATTCAATATTATTATCGTTGTCAAGGACATTTGTTTCCAGATCTTCGAGAATTTCGGGGTCAAATGCACTCTCTTCATCGAGATCACTTTGATAGGGTGAAGCGTTAAGGCACGCTGCTTGTCCATTACACTGGCCGCAAGCTGTAGAACATTGCAACCCCGATTTCCTGCATCCACAGCGTGAACCACAACCATTTTTGCAGTTGCAAAATATTGTGTTCAGCAATTCATCTGGACTTACGGTTGACCTGGAATTACACTGTAAACCACTAAGCGCCGCGCGCTCACCGTCCATTATCTCAAAAACAGTTGAGTATATAGAAAAATGTTTGGGGTAAAAGTTGTAGATAATTTTATTCCCTACACTTTGTATAATAAGTACAAATGGTATTAAAACCATAGGAAATGAGATATTTGCAAAAAAACGATTTTTGAGGCCTTTGACCTTGAATATCTTAAGACGCGGACACGAGATTTTAGGTGACTTTTGAGACAACTTTCAGAATGACAAAATAAAGGTTTACAGAAGTTTGCAGCTTATTATCTCTCATTCCGAGGTTGGCCTTATTTTTTACCTTAAATGACTGGACTATTAAGCAAGGCGTAATTTTGTTGGTGCAACTGGGGCTAAGTATACAAATGTGTTTTTTAAAATAAATTATGAAACCCAGCGCGAGTATGTTATCTCTTGACGCTTTTGGTACAGAGAATATATTTTTTTTTAGCGAATTTTGAGGTTATACACAACACTGTGTTGTAAAGTTAGATTAATAATAATATATCAATTACAGTGGTCGCTTGCGCGGAGTCTCGCTCCGCACCATTGATTTTTTTTGTAATTACGCGACTATTTAGACTCCCACTATCCGCTCCATAAGTGTTGAATGTATCCAAAGGGCCACTTGGTAAATGAAAATAAACTTACTTTTTATGCTATTTTAAACTGTTATTAGAGTTAATTTATTTATTTTTGGTATGTACATTAGGTATTATAGACTTTCAAAAATGTAAAAAGCGTATATTTTTTGTAAATTTTTTTATAGTAATAATAATAATTATTATTTCTAAAGATACATAATTCTTCCTCTTCTACCTTACGGTGTCAATGTACTTTTACTTTTTTTTCAATTATATATGTATATATAATTATAATTATTATTCAAAAAAAGAAAGAAAGATGTAAGTATTCCAAAACATTCAAATGAAGGACGAAGTTCAGTACTACAGCATTGCCGAAGTCTGCCCTCCCAATGAACCCTGTAGGGCCATATTTAACCCCTGCAGAGCACGAGTCCGCAGCGATTACTCGTGTCGCAAAAAATATAGCGACCACTTTAGGGTTAATGGTCAAGTTCATTATGGCAATCTTTCCAAACTTCTAAAAAGAAAATTGGCTCTCAGCATTGTCTATAACTAATAATTCTTTTGCTATTTTTTAATGTTTTGTCTTGTGCTGCTTGTTTGCTCTATTTGGTATGTACCTGTTAAATTGTTCCTGGGACGCAATTACCTTCAAATCCGCTGTAGACATTTTTCTTTGTTAATTGATTTCGTATTCTAAAAAAAGGGAGCTGTAATGTGCATTTGTATTGCGTTGAATATTTTTATATTTAGTACACACTTTCCTTATAGTGCAATTCTGGTATTTAAATGTAAACAATTAACTATTGCAATGTCAATGCAATTGGCATTAGAAGACGTGTTCGCCCCCACAACGGACAGTGAGGCCTGATACAATGCAAGTGGCTCGCCTGAAATAGTCTTATATTTATCATTACACTAATAGTTGCGTAGCAAATTACGTAAATTAATGATCCAAATTTTTTTATTTGGAAGCTAAGTCTCCAAGTCATAAAAATTGAGTTTTGTTATACGTTCGTTAAATGTGCCATTTCGCTGATCATATTCAAACAGCGAAGTATCATTTCGTTGCTAGGGACAGAAATTTTACTTCCTTTTGATTTCTATGCCTGTGTTGACTAGCCTTTTATTCCAGCATAGGTACTAATAAACTCACTTCTCTTCCTTGGTAAACAATACACTATTTTTGTACACTCAATTTTTTACTCACATCACCCAGTCATACCACACATATTACTGGGTTTAGCAAGTCTACGAGTTGCAAGTAATTCAATGACACGTTTGTCTCCATTAAAAAAAGTGAGAATTTGTCTCCAATTTGTAAAATTCTCCTTCTTAGGGGTACTTCGAACCCCCAATACCAATTCTTAACCGCCATTGTGCCACCCCTTACAGTCATTTCTGCAAACGCCCATGCTCACTATTATATACTGTGGTGTCCAAGATAAGGATGTCTATAATGCGGATCTCAGAAACCGTAGAAGATACAACGAAGGTCAAATTAGAGAAAAGATGCGCAATTACTTTAAGAAATTCGAAAAATTCCAATTACCGAGTATATTCCAGAAAAACCAAAATTTGTCGATTTAGTTTTAATTTTTTTCTGATGTAATTTGAGCAGATCCAGAAAAATAAAAAAACCCTTCCTCACTGCTAATTTTCGAGCTCCATAGGACACTCTTCAGAGATTTTCAATACAACGTTTCGTTTCGGAGAAATCATCATCATCTTTATTTTTTGATAGAAAGGTAGTACAAACGGTCCAAATGAGAGACCTGCCACCTAATGATCCTTGTCCTAAACTAATATCAGCACTTTTACATACAGTGCCACCATGCACAACATAAACCACAGGTGTTAATATAAAATACGATTTCCCCCACTTGCCCATGTGCTTTAGCATAATAAAACTATAAAATTAATAAAGAAAAAAAACTACTACAAATTGTAATTTATTACCACCACTTAAAACATGATATCATTTCATATAAAAAGATTATCCTAATCACAAATTCATTTTGTTCAATTAGTTCTAACATACTGTACATAAAACTTTCAAATAATTAATGCTTATCGTAACGTAACGATACCACTTTCAAACCGAAAAGCGTAAGTGATAACAAGATTGAACTAGAACTTTCTCCGTTGTAAATTTTCAAGGATACGCCTCCCAGGCCACCCGCACGGTGGCACTTATTTTAACAATTTATCAACTAAACAAAACGTTTCTCTGCGCGCGCGTGAAAAACATCTGCCAGAATAGCTTTTGTATAAATTAAAAATGCAAATTCGGATATTTACAAGTGAGATCGACCATACGGTTCGAGTACGACCCGTCAGAACATCAGAAATGAAATCGTGTTCTATAAAACAATTATTATAACAGTTATGTACAGAGGGGGTCGTAATCAAATCACAAAATTTAATGGTTTGAACGGGAACGTTCCAGTTTCCATATCTTGATCCTTTCCTTTAAGTCGTTCACTGCAACAGACAATTTGTTGAGATCTATGTTGCGTGTTATTACAACAATAATTAGAGTTACTATATTGATAGAGTACCGCAATCGATTCTCCCCAACATGATGGCAAGATCCACTTGTTCTTGGTTGTCGTAGAATTTTGACACACTAAGATATGCCATTTTCAACTGCACTTTTCTCTCTCTAAAATGGCGGTTATTGTGGTACTCCCCCCCCCCCTTCAATCACTGCAAGTCTAAATAAACACCCAGATAGATTGGGTTTTCCCATAACATTTTGGGTCAGGGGTGAACTTAAAAATGTTCCTAGGTATGTCACCGGGTCCTTGGGAAAAGGTCTATAACAAGATATTTGCGAAACAATACTGGATGGCATAAAAGTCCCACCAAACTCTTACTTTGAGCTTTCAACAATCATTCCTGAGAAGTGAGAAAGAGTTATGTGCAAGGAGTGGAGGTATGTTTAGTTTGGTACTAAAAGGTGATGACAAAACATAACATTCCCCATCATCATCACTCCTCCCTTTTTGATCCAAGGTGTTTTCATAAAGCTGGGAGTTCCTATTAGAAATAACTAAATACATACAGGGTGTCAATTTTAAAACTTACAGTCGGCAATATTTTCCAAACTAAAGAAGATATTGAAAATCGCGCAAAACCGTTTCGGGGGTATCGAGGGAGAACCAGAATGACGTTATGAGTGACAACCCCCCAGCCTCACCTCTTCAAAAATCCTAAATGGCAACCCCATACTTGTGACACATCGTTGGAAAGCTACTGAAAAATGCTTTCCAGTGGTACCAATAAAGTCAATATTCATTAAAACAATTTAACAAAAATTTAATAATTAACAAAAAAAATAAAAATTAAGCCATGCCTATGTTCAAGATTTGGTCGCTATATTCTAAGAAACGGGATCTGTTATGAATAAAAAAAGAAAGCAACCGAGATTGCTTAATGAAGCAGCTCAGGTTGAAGTTCTTGGCCAATTTGCCATAAATCCCTCAATGTCAACATTTAGTTTTTTTTGTTAATTATTAAATTTTTGTTAAATTATCTTAATGAATATTGACTTTATTGGTACCACTGGAAAGCATCAGTAGCTTTCCAACGATGTACAAGTACAATGAATAAAGAATACCAGGAAGGAGAATATCAACAATAGGTATACGTGCGACCGCGATGGCTTTTGCAAATGGCGGACAGTAGTTTCCTGTTCCAGTGGCGTACCTACCTTACAGTTGTAGAAGGATACAATTATAAAGAATTTTACACGAAAACAATCTAAACCTCCATGTGTCTACTCCGCCTATGACTTTTGTTTAACTAACCTCAAACTACATTCCGATAAAAAATTTGTAAATTTACATCTACTATATAAAAATAATATTGGTATCAATACTTACACATGAAATGTAATTCCCAAAGTGTTATTTTTTTCTGTTTTGGAGCAACCACAAGCACAACAACTAACCATTCTTTTTATGTCACTGCAACAGCCACAACAAAAATGACTCATAAGTGGCTTTTGCAAATGGCCGACTTCCATAGCACTCTCTCTCGTATACAACTTGATTAATGCTCCTTCCTGGTATTCTTTATTCATTGCACAAGTATGAGGTTGCCATTTAGGGGAGCGGGGGTTAAGGGGGTGGGGGGTTGTCACTCAATGTCATTCTGGTTCCCCCTTGATACCCCCAAAACGGTTTTGCGCGATTTTCAATATCTTCTTTAGTTTGGAAAATATGGCTGACTGCAAGTTTTAAAATTGACACCCCGTATATGCTGGATTGCTCTTTAGTTTAAAAGGAAGAATCCAACATTTTTAACATTTTGAAACTCAAAAGCGTGGTTTACGGTTCAAGTGTACCGAGGATCTGAAAACCCAAATTGTTCTAAAAATCAGTCAAGATTTAGAAAAGGTGAGATTGAGAAATCCAAAGGGATTGTAGAATTTGAGGAAGCTGAATCATCAGAGGAATGTAAACCGTCCCCAACATGTAAAGTGTCTGAGGAATTGGAAGAAACTGGAAAAAAAAATCGATTTGAAAAAATTAAAATATCTGAATAATGTGAAGCTTGACAACCCAGAGGGGTTAAACCCGAATAATCTCAGTAATTCAAAGTGTCTCAAACATTCAAAGGGATTGACAGATTTGGAAAAAAAAACTGAGGAATAGAAATAAGGAGAAGAAATTCAAAATAACTGCCGGGACCAAGAGTAAAAAAAAAAAAACCTAAGCGCAAGGTGGAACAGCTTACCCCAATGGGTTGCATGATTGGTAGGTAAACTGGAATCTAGTAAGCGAACTCTAGCGCCCAGGGGAACGCTAGTTTTAAAATCACCCTTCCTGCTGTATGGCGCTCTGCGGTAGGTGACCCGTCACGCGGCTTTCATACAATTTCATAGAAAGTCTCAAAAACACCCCTCCCTCTTCTCTATAAACAATTGCAACCGTTTTTAATACATTTCCAGTCTGCTGACCTAGACTGCAACACATTACTACACCCGACTTATCAGTGAACGAAGCCATCCTGTATAGGAGAGTAATAATTACCTGGCTGTAACATGTCCTCAGTTAATGGCTGCCGATTAAACGGATCCGTACTGCTATTCAACAAATGTCTCATAATGACCGCCCTATCCATGACCTGCCCGCTCGGCAACAGCACCGGATCCGTCATCAAAGTGTCCATGAGGGGATCCTTGAATTCGTCGGGCGCGTCCGCCATCCAGTCCTCGGACTTCTGATTATCGACGCGAATCTGAGTCGCCTTGGCCGAGAACGCCTTAAACTCGTAAATTTCCGAGGGCGTTTTTATTAGCGAACGTTCCAATCGAACCACCGCATCGTCAAACAATTCCTTACGGAAAGACCGCTAAAAATAATACGTGTATATCGTGACGAAAAACTAGCGCTTGCATACCTCATCGCTGGCAACCGCGGCGGCGAATTGATCACAGTTAAGATGCAAGTAGATGTCGACGAGTTGACTTAGTAATCGTCTAGGCTCCCAACCGTACTTATCCGGATTGCGGACTTTTAAATTTTTACATTTGGGACCGCACAGCTGTTGCAAATTAAAATTGAGCATAGAAGCTAACCTATCGACTAACTCGGGCCTCAAGAAAGGCTCCTTAATATCTACAGTTAAGTAATGGAACATATCGACAGTCTCTTTTGCTAAGGTAAGATAAGAACGACATTGCCTTTCGTCGGCGCTCAGTTGGCGCATGCGATTCTGTTGCTGCTCAGGCGTCAATTTCGCCCAATTGACTTCGTCAGTGATCAACTCTTGTACTTCGTGAATTCTCTTCAAACTCTCCAACGATTCGTCCAATAAGAAGGTTGTGTCGTTCATTAGCATATTGATAAACTTAACAAATTGTGTGCCACTTCTCGATTCTTTTATTAAAGACTCTCGATGTATGGGCGAATTCCACATTCCTACAATTAAAATGTACACCTGACGGCATTAGACTCAAATTGGGTACCTTTAATAATTAAGCTGATATGATAGCGAATAGAAAATTTGTCGTAAAATTCCGAGCTAGACCCTGTGGTTTCGACGTCAGTATAAAATTTCATTAAACAACTCGGTAAAGCAGTCTGAGATATATCATGAGACATAAAACGAGAATACAACAATTCAGTTCGAGGTTGTATATTCGGATTAATTACGAAAACAACTTCAATTATTTTGGCCACTAAGTAGGGATTTTTAATGCTATTGGAGGAGCATATCGTTATCAGTATCCATGTTATTAACGAATCCTCCATGTTGTCTGCGATAATCATCGGGCAATACCTAAAACGGGGATGTTAATAATGTTTTGTCTTCCGATGCGAGAGACTTACTGCAAGGCGAATAGCAAAAATTCGGCTATGTCTTCCACGTACCATTCGGGCAGCGCGGCGAAACCCGGCGGTACGGTCGCGGTAAGAGGTAAAGCGGGTCTGGGATCGCCTGGCGATACGTTACACATCAAGCACAGTAGGAACTCGGCGACCGACGTGTAAAAGATGAGCGAACGTCTAATAAGATTGTCGTCTAACAATCCCGCGTCTGCGCAAGCTTTAGACCTAAAATATAAGTCAGTTCTAGTAGAATAGAATAAATTACAAGAGAAAATCACGCTCAAAATACCGAGAATGGTGTATAGAAGTATACCACATTTAAGAATAAGTTAGTGAGACTGAAATAATTAATCAATCTGTGTCCAAAAAGTGGAAAGTCATCATTCGTAAAACAGCGTCACGAAGTGCTATATCTGCGCCGGTCATAATCGCAAATGTTAAGCCAATCGTTCCGATAGGCGGATCCCAAAGAAAGAAATTAAGCCAAAAGCGAACCATCATCTTCATGGAACTACCGTCACGCGGCGGACGAAGATTTTCGCAGTATTGAATAAAGACGATTTATTATTATTATTATTTCCAAGGAAAAAAGCAAGGAGGTTGAAAATTTCCATGGTGGAAGATCAGCGAGCATTCTGTGCTCGGTCCGTGCAGAGCCAATAATTTCTATTTGGATTGAAAGCCGTGACCGGAACGCATCTCAAACTCCTGGTGCTCAAACATTAAAGGTATTTATTAACAATTTGTTCTATCGCGTTGTAGTTTTGCCGCTTTACATTTGTTGTATATTTGAACTATGTAAAGGAAATTTAACCACCTCTACTTGCGTTTTACATCAAGTTGGTGTTTCTGGACACTGAGTGCGGTAGAATTTAGACCGATGCCTGGAAATTTTTAATATATTAACGTATTGCAGTTCGCTTTATTTTTGTACAGGGTGTTTATCATTTTCTTTTAGCACCTAAGGGGTATTATACAGAGAGTGTATTTCATTTATAAATAAAGTTGAATATTTTCTGTGTGTTTCTGCGAATGAATTCGAACCTTTTACTTTACAAGATTGTTTCGCCTCAAACCTCCATTTACTAAAATGATGTTCTATTTCTCTGCCTCTTTTCCCCTTCTCTGCTCCCAGCAATGAAACAAGGCCAAATGACAATTGCTCGGGAAATTAAAAAAGGACCTAAAAGGACGCCATTGCAGTGACGAAGATGTTAAAGTTGCAGTTTGGACACATTTGGAGGACAAACCGAAAGGCTTAGGGAGGATACTGCCGCCACTCGGTCGGACGTTAGTGAGCGCTAACACTATCTTAATTGGTTATCAACAGTAGATTTTTCGAAATTTGTAGGCTTTTATGGAGCGTCGCCCGTTTGTTCAAAATCGAAAAAATGGATTTGTTTCTTATATTTATTCACCTGAACTAGTACAGTGCTTGTTAAGAAAATCACTCATGAGTCATGGTTGATGAATATAGAACGGCCACTGTGTGATTCCAGGCCTCGCAATCAAGCGATAAAGAAGACACCCGGTATACATTGTAACGGGTGGTCGCTTTAGAATTAGAAAGGTATTTCCATATGTACCGATTCATAGCGAACGTGAACAGAAGTATGTCTGGTGGGTGAGCGTGGTTGCCACGATCTCATGCACCTAAAAGTTTCGCTCCGTTTTGTTTAAAGCTGAGCGCGTGACAAAAATGCAGATTTACGTGTTACGGTCACTTTGACCAAATGTAACAACATTACAAGTAGATAAGCAGAGGTGGATCGGGATGAATAATGGGGTTCTAGCCAAAACGAAGCAAAAAGGAAATATAATAATAATAAACTGCATAGGCGCAACTTAATCTTTAGTAAACCTAAAAAAAGGACAGAGAATACTAACTGAAAGGGGGAACACACCAGATTAAGAAATCCTTATTCTGGTCTTGATAAGCTAAAGAAATGAAATAATTGACAGGGGTATAACTTAAACAGAATTGCCACAATCGAGGGTAATTCAATAAATGATCTCAAAATATTACAAAAACTGATCTGAAATGTCTATGATTAAATTTAACTCAATTTTTAGCAAAAGGGAACCAACTCGTAGTCTAGAAAATTATCAGTACAACAAATGTAGTAATTGCGCTTCGATTGTATTGAAAAGCAATATGTAATCAAACGTTATACCGGGTGATTCATTAGAAGTGATGATCGCTTGAATTTCGCGCGTAAGGTTTTAGTGTTTTTTGCATTATTAAATTGGCGGTTTGAATTTCGTTAGTAATTTTGTTCTGTCATGACTGTCAGTTAAGAAACCAGTGTCGCCGTTAATTGTTGTGTGCCATTTGCGTTTTTTTTTTCCATTTTGAACAATTTTTAGAGTAAAATATGTAAGAAACGTGACTGTGTCTAGTGTTAGTTTATAATTTGTGGTAAAACAGAAACAGTATTTGTAGATTATAAATAAGTAAACGATTTACTGAGAGCATGATGTGACACCACTGCAATTAAATAAATGATCATCAGTTAGTACCCACTTCAGAATTTTTTTGATTTGCGGGAAATTCAAACTGCAATCACTTCTAATGAATCACCCGGTATAAAGGAGTCCTTGAAAATGAAAATTGGATTTAAACTCGACCTTCTGAGCACAGAAGGGCCCTTTTTTGCCTTATCTGTTACAGATAACAAAACAAACAAACAAGAGGGATAGTGAATAGCGCGGTATATAAATATTGCGGTAGCAATGTCTAACGTCTGACACTATTGTAAATCGAATACTAAGACCGTAATTAATAATCAATAAGAATTAATAATTCACTTTACGTTAACTAAACAAAAGCAAAATTGTGATTGACAACAAATCGTCCGTACAAATTGGTAAAATAAAAGCATAAACATGACTAACTTCAAGAAAACTACTTTACGATGCACAAATAACAAAATTTCTATATAACAGCGTTAATACTTGGAGTTAGACAGGAACAGAACAAAACTCTGACTGAGGGACTACAAAGCCCGAAAGAAAATACGTATTAAGAATAATACTGAATCATAATTCGTACAAACCTCACACTAATTATGTGCAAATATAAATTCGCTAAGCGTATTAAATCAAGCAGCCACAACATATCAGAAATAGAGAGAAACACTGCTATATACACCGTAACAGGTGGCCGCTATTTTGATCAACATAGGAAAATTTACACATATACCACTTTATAGCGAACGTGAACTCAACTACGTCTGGCGATAAAAAGCGATAACAACGCGAGCGCGCGCTAAAATTATTTTTCGTTTGAGCATCAAGAGCGATCGCGTAAAAATACTGGTGCGTGAAACTTAAGACGAGGTTTTCAAAGAGTTAGCACGCACTATTTGGGTATGAGAATTATTTTTTTCCGCGTAATTGCGATTGTTTGAAGCTGATTTCGTAGCACATTGTGATAAACAAAATTTGGATTATTTATTCCTGTGCACAATCACTTGGAATCGAGATTCATGCAAGTTTTCATCCACTAAACCTTGGATTCATCACAAAGATAACCTTATCATCAACTGTAAAATCCTGGGGTGATAGTTAAAAAGTAAAAAAAAATGTAAACAAATTTTCCAATATGATAGTCTCACTAACTTATCTTAAAGCAATGGAGCAATTAACTAGGGAAAAGTTGTTGCCACTTCCACCTAAAGAAATGCGTTCTACATAATGATAGCTTACTTATTGAGCTTCCGAATTTGATGCTTCCACCTGCGAATAAACAAACGGTTTCGATGCGCAAACGGCGTGTCTCGCCACTGTATCTCGCCCGCTATCGTCTCGTCCAGCAGCTTCTGAATATCGCGTATTGCACGCAATCTTCGTTGGTACTTGTGCAATGTCGGTATCAAAGCGAGATGATGGCAATGTAAAGTTAGGAACCAGCACTGGGTGGGAAACTTCGCCTCCGCCCACGAATGTGTTTTTTCTACAACGATTCGAATGCACAAATGCTACACGATACCGAACTCACCTAAACCCTCAATCCAATCGGTGACCTCTTGCGAAGTGAACTTGAGTCGAGTTTGATTTTTAATGTCTATGACGGAATTGGGATGGAACGGATAGTAAAAGTCGATTTTGTCCAATTTCACTTTCACCGCCAACATCTGCAGTATACTCAAGAGGTTCAGCATGAACCCATCACCCGCCAATGTCCTGCTTGCCGCCTGAATTTGGGCGCGCTTCTCGTTTTGCTTCAACAGCGTGCTTAGATACGTCAACATGGAGTCGCGACTAGTCGAATTGGCCAGTATATCGTGGCACAATTTGTGCATTACGACCCTGGCGTGCTCCAGCACGTGCTGCAACGTGTGATTTAACGTTTTGTCGCTGGATGTGTTCCCCGAAAAGAACTTCTCGGCGACTTTCGGTTCGTCGTCGGCAAACACGGAGACCGACAAGAACGGGCCCAGAAACGAGGTCCTCGTCAGTTCGCGCCCCGGCGATTGGGTCGTGGTCTTCGGCAGAAACTGGGCCTGCTCCGTTATTAGCCGGCATAACGGCCTTATGTTGCCGGTCGGGCCGCAGCGGATCTCGACGAGTTCGCTTAAAATCTGGATAGGCTGTCGATGTTCGTTGCCGACAATGCTGGCGTATTCCATTAAATTGAAGAGATCTTGTAATAGCGGGCTAAAAATTCTAGAGAATGTGTTCGATGTGGTATAAGTTCGTAGAACTAGTTCCGAAATGAAGCCGCGCGGAAGTGTTTGTTTTAGAAGAGGATCCAGAAGGGAGGATTTCGCTTGTTTTTCGACGGGGATGATGTGACCTTGTAGGATTAAGGCGGTGTGATGTACGATTTGCGATCGTAGATCGGCTAACAGTTCGGAGAACGGTGGCACGCTCGACTTTTTCGGATGGTTGCGTTCTTCGACGGATACGCGAATATAACAGTTCATTAAGTAATTCAAGGCAACCGACTGCGGTGTCGTTTCGCCATTGCAAATTTCGTCGAGTAACGGCAGGGGTGGAGTTGGGCAGTTGAAGATTGGACTATTCGATGGACTTGCGTTTTGAGCGGGACTCGTAGAGAAAGAATTGACGCTACTCGAATCGCCTTGGTCGGCGTTTTGTACTAGTTTTTTAAAAGGGTTGTTACCGCCAGCGATGTGGAATAGTATCTCAACTAAACATTGTGAAATTAGGTCAGTTGTACTTAAAATACTGTCACTTAAGACTTCGGCAGTGTGGGGTAGGTATAAGCTTTCATCGGAATTTTCTTTGTACGCTACATTTAAGACGCGACTAATTACCGCGTGTAGTTGGTCGTCCGACATTTCCGAGGAGGATATTGTTCGCTGTCTCGATAAGTCTTTTTTGGTGTCAGATTCTTCTACCTGTAAAAGAAATAGCACTCTTGAATGCTAGTATTACCTAAGTAGCATTTCGCAGGCCCCGCCCATTTTAAATTTTAGTATTAAATTGATCTGAATCATATCATCCAAAAATATGGACAGTGTAGCGACAGTCCACTTGATCTTTTAGCAGCAAAGAAAAGCAACATTTCGGAGCAGGATCATAAAATTTTGAAAAATCTGTGAAAATAACAGAGATATACAAAATAATGATTTGTTGGCGTAGTAAGAGCTAATGGTTTTAGAGTAAGTACCTCTTCTTTCTTTTTTTAATTGTTTAGTTGAATCTTTTTTTTCTCTTCTAGTAATACATGTAGTAATGGGGTTAAGTGGAAGAGCAGACTGTGGCATTGCCGCAGTACTGAACTTCGACCTTAATTTTAATGTACTGGAATAAATATTTGTTTTTTTTAAATAATAAAGGCAATATTATTATTATTATTATATCACTGAAAAACTGAAAATGTCGAATTTCGTTTTCATTTTCCCTAGCTTTCTTATTTCTTATGGACGCTATATTGGATTTTACGGAATGAGATAGAAAAACAAGTAAAAAGGTTTTCACCCTAAGGCGCATTTTCCATAAATTGACCAATACTTCCCCAAAGGCCATACCTATGTGCGCTATGTTTTTCATTACTAGAGGTATATATGGTTAAAATTTTACAGAAATATCTTCATATATAAGGAAGTTGACGCTTACTGCGCAGTTAATATTGCGCGTCCTGCGCATACGCTTATTAATCTGATATTTACAATATGCAATACGTTTGCTTTTACTATAAGCATCTTTGGTTAAAATTTCAAAGAAATATCTCCATAAATAAGAAAGTTAGCTTTGCGCAGTCTGCGCATATCTGATTTTTACTATATGCGATATCTTTCAACAAAATATATTAATAAATAAAAAAAGTTAACAATGCGCACCCTGCGCATGCGCAGTTCAATCGTCAAGATTTTCCTTGACTCAGGTGCCAGAGCGATACGCTACCGAATGCAAAAAGAACGAACTAAATATCTTGAAAACTGTAGGAGTAGTTAAGGCCTCGGACAGACGGACGGACAGAGAAAGTGGCTGCAATAGCGCACCCAACTTCGTTGGAAAATGCGCTAAAAAATGACGTGTCATACTGTAACGAAGCACCCGTTTTCGTACACGAAAGCTACCAGCTTTATGAACACCGTGTATATGGGGGAACTCAAAACTGGTGCTTCTTTACGAAAAACTGTAGCTTTTATTTATAGCGCCGTTTTAGCCGCCGATAAGGAAACCAAGAATCGTATCTAATTGTTCCCGTAGAGATATTTCAACTATTTTTGTAGCTTCCGGAAGCTCTCCTCCTTGAGAAGACGAGAGAAAAGTAATATTTTGTGGTTCCCGGTTCGTTAATTAATTAATAGTCGACTTTGGTTGTTCAAATGTTAAGTGAAAACGAAAATTAAAGCAAGCAAGGCCGTGCAATTACGTTGATCGCCTGACCCAAACATTCAAGTTAACAATGTGCAAACTTCGTCTGATTGGGTTGTGCTTCGTATCAAATGAAGCGCGATTAATTGGCATAAATTTTAAGACTGATCTCACATTTTTATGATAACATGGGGCATACTAATTAATTAAAGTTTTATTTTTGAACGTTATCACTAAGTACGCCGGCCGGCTGGAAGATCTGGGGTCGCCTTTTCGCATTTTGGGAATTCTAGGTATATAAAGTAATGCCAATGCTCCTATATTTTAGTTTTTTCAATGTATTTATTTACCTATTTATTTTGTACAGTCTTTTTTTGTTTTGTTATATTTTATGGTGTGAAACCGGAACACAGTTCACAAAAGTAAAAAAGGAGTCCATTGATGGCAGGACTGCAACAATGATTAATTTGCAATGTAGCGCTCCTCAGGGTTCTATTTTAGGACCTCTGCTTTTTTCAATATATATTGCAAATATTATAAATAAATTAAAATAATATTGTGATTACCACTTGTATGCTGATGATACACAATTATACTATGCATTTTTTAGTTCCGAAGTTGAGAAGGCAAACTGTGACATAGAGTCATAGACAAAGATTTAAATATCTTTTTAAATTACACTGAACAACATTCATTACATATTACGCCCGGTAAATGTAGGTAAGTTATTCATTCCTAGATATAATAAGAAATAAAAAATTAGAGACGGTTCAGGAAGCGAAAAATCTCGGGTTAAGCTTAAACGTCAATTTCAATTATCAAACTCATATCAAAAATGATTGTAACTACAGAAGGGGCCTTATTTTATGAATAAAAGCAATATAGATCCGCAAACGCTTCGTGACCGATCTACAGGGTGTTAAAATTTCAAAATTTTTAAGTTTTTTCTTGATATCTCCTGGAGTTTTGAGGATATTTTGCTCAAATTTGAAATACAAGTTACAATGAAGGACTTACATCATTGGTCGTGCCACCGGTAATGCAGGGTGTTGTTTCTCAGGGATCATGTTTCATTTTCTACCCCTGCACTTTTTTTTTGACAGATTGTAAAATAAGAATTTGATTTTCTGATTTGTTTGGAAACTGTTTGGTCTCTTCCGTATTTGCGACCGTTATCGAGGAAAAAAAAATAAAAATCAATTCTCGGTATATCAATTTTTAAAATGGTCTAGTAGGCCCTGGCTTTATTTTGATAACCTCTTGTTTTTAGTAGTTTTGACAGTTCGCATTTGAAATTGTACCTTGTGTTTGCATAATGTTAAGGGTTTAATTTGTAAAGTGTACTGTAGATCGGTATCGAAGCCTTTGCGGACCTATGTTTATATGAACTTTTAGTCATAAAATGTGGCAATTAGCTCCTTCCGTATTTAGGAACACCTTGCGTACATCGGACTAAAGGTTTACTTTCTCGATTTTCAAAAATTATGCTCTGTCTGCCTCTCGCGCTATCTCATTTTTCATTTTGTAGCGCAGTGTATGGCTCCTAAGTTTCTTGAAGGCAGACTACAGATTATTCAAAACTAATGTGTAGGTACATTAAATTTAAGGAATTAAAATGTTGTAACGGACGCCTTCACTATTGTAATTAATACGAAGCGGAGAAGGTCGACGGTTTAGGAAACGGCGCGCATTACTTTAATTAAGTGTGTAATTTTTTTTGAGACGATGTCCGTTGTGCTTGTTAATGTTACTTTTGTATTTCGTTTCAAATAAATAATGTTTAACGGTCGCTTGTGACTCTTACAAAGTTCCACTGACTGTTAAGTGAAAGAGCACACGGGGCTTCTAGTCTCTCAGTGAACTCTGCCTTTTGGACGCCAAGTTCTATGTATAATTTTAGTTTTTCTTATATATTTATTGTGCCCAAATAAAGTTTTTATTATTATTAACCTCTATGCGAATTTCTGGTTCCAACAAGATGGAGCGTCACCCTATAACACCAGAAACGTTCGCCAGTTTCTCAGGAATAATTACGGTATTGTATTTTGTAGGAATTAAACGCTTAAAGGGAATTGTATGACAAGACTAGTTTTATTTATATATACACACATGCTATTTTACCCAATTAAATTATAAAATTGCATAAGTTTAAATGTAATCACAACATACAGCAAACAATTAAAGGCAATGGAGGCGTTGCTAACTGGCCACCCAGATCTTTCTCCGCTCAATTTCTTCTTTTGGAGTACTTTGAAAGATTGCGTTTATAGTGGAGGGTATGCTAGAAATGTTGAAGAGTTCCCTTCCAACATAGTCCGTGCAGTTCATTTAATAAGAGCAAGACATATTGAGCAGTTGTAATTTTCACTTATTTCATATACAGTAGAGTCTTGATAATCCGAGCTAATTGGGGCTAGTGGTACCTTGGATTACACGAAAAAAAAAACAAAAAACTATGTTTTATCATAACGAAGTCAAATTTAATGTACAGGGTGGCCAAATAAGAATGCGAGGTACTGTATCTGGGAACCTGCCCATCGTACAGGCTTGCGGTAAAAAAAATTTATTACTAAAACGCCCACGAGAAAATCCTGGAAAATATTTTTAAGTTTCTGAAATGGCCGCTAGGGCGCGTAACTGCAATCTGGAATCTAAAAAAGTGATTTTTCTGTGAATTCCGCTATATTAACCTAACAAAAAAATGTCCGGTCTTTGAAGTTGACGATAATCTCAACCTTTTTTGTTTGACAATTTTTCCTGTATCTCTAAAAATTAAGTGGTGGGGAGTATTCAAAGGTTTCCGTAAAGAACACCCTGTATTTTCGAAACGACTGAGCCGATTTTAACAAACTCGGGTAAATTGAAAAGAGTTATTCTTCGGGTACAAATATTATATTTGAAGTTTTGTTAGTTTCACATGTCGCCGCTTGAGGGTTTTTTTCGACATTCCGACAGAAATGGTTAATTTTCTAAAAAAAATTAAATGCGTTGGTTTGATTTTTTTTCATGAAAAAGTAGCTAAATGATGCCTAAACAAGCTCGCGAAAACCGCATCTCGATGTCTTGTTCCTAACCTAAAATTTAGGCCAAAGAAAATGTTATCCCCTCAAAATTTAATTTTTTTAAGCTAATTTTTCCGGAATTATTTTTAGTATATAATTTGTGGCCCTAAGGTAGATCTATTTAAAAAAGGAAGCTTTTAATGCCACCGTAAATGCTCGAAATGTTGGCCACCACGATATAAAAATAAATAAATAATATATCTCAAGATATCGAGATGCTGTTTTCGCGAGCTTGTTTATGCTACATTTAGCTATTTTTTCATGAAAAAAAAATCGAACCAAAGCATTTAATTTTTTTGAGAAAATTAACCATTTCTGTCAGAATGTCGAAAAAAGCCCTCAAGCGGTGATATGTGAAACTAACAAAACTTCAAATAGTATAATATTTGTAGTTGAAGAATAGCTCTTTTGACTAACCCGAGTTTGTTTAAATCGGCTCAGCCGTTTCGAAGATACAGGGTGTTCTTTACGGAAACCTTTGAATACCGCCCACCACTCCATTTTTAGAGATACAGGAAAAATTGTCAAACAAAAATTGTTCAGATTATCGTCAACTTCAAAGACCGGACATTTTCTTGTTAGGTTAATATAGCGGAATTCACAAAAACATAATATTTTTAAATTCCAGATTGCAGTTACGCCCCCTAGCGGTCATTTCAGAAACTTAAAAATATTTTCCAGGTTTTGCTCGTGGCCGTTTTAGTAATAATTTTTTTTACCACAAGCCTCTACGATGGATAGATTCTCAGATACAGTACCTCGCATTCTTAGTTGGCCACCCTGTACATGCCTCAAGTTAAAAATAAAAAATGGTCTTTATAGGTGCTTATGACTTGAAAAAGTAGACAATAACGCACTGATCTATTTTTAGAACTATGGCTGAGAGTTATAGTGTGTCATTGACCTTCAAACACGTCACCGGATGGCTTGGAGTGAGTAGCCCAAAATAGAGCCTGAGATTACATGAAAATAAACTAAGGTTTTGAGTTTTCTAGGTTTTTTTTCTTTTGAACCTTGGTTTACCTGGGCTCGGATTTCAAGGACTCTACTACTGTACCTATGTTGTTCGACTATAATAAAGTATCATTGAAACTACTTACTAGATTTTTATTTCATTTGAATGTATCCCAATCATAGGCATGTTAATTCGGCAAGATTTAGTTACCCGTGGATGTTTTGTTGGAAAATGAATGTAAAATCCAATATGGCGTCCATAAGAAAGTAGTTTCCTATAGCTTCTACATCTAGCGCGCTATGGAAATTCTGATAAAATCCCAAGGGTGAGCCACGAATTTGAACCACCCTGTACATATCCTGCCTTCAACTCATTAGCAATTTAGTGTTGGCATATAGCAAAACAAGTGGGATATGGTTTGAAAGAGTCCGCTGCGAATAATTTAAGTCATATCTCCAAAGTAAGTATTGCTATCCTGCTTCAAAACTGTTGCTCTACTGCAACTAACTCTCTTGATTCAAACCTATCATCCAATCAAGCAACTTCATCCATCCATCATATCAAATGCTTAAGGTCTGTTTAGAGTTTGCAAGTTTTATTGTGGGCAATAAAAATTGCGGCAATATTTAGTGCACGCATGCGCGCAAGTGTACTTTTCGATCAGCCCGGAGCGATTTTTATTGCATTGCAATTGCAATTCTGGTGACTATTTTAGGGGAATTTTTAAGCCAACATCTAGAATTACTATGGCACCAACCATGTGAAGTGTGATGAATGTGTTGACAATTTCTGTTGTTCATCTTGATTGAAATGCACAATAAATAGATAAGTGAAGAACAAGTTAAATGCAAATGACAAATCGAAGATATTTTGTACACACTTATTTAATGTTATAGGGTTGGTACTATGCAATGAAAATTGCAGACTGTAGGCGCTTTCTATCGGCTACTTCGCAATCATGATTTCAAGATCGTGATTTGTAGGATCACTTTTTACGAAAGAACGCGCGAATTTAAATCAAAGTGTGGTTAAGTTTAGGAGTACACATTTGCATTCGAATTACATGTTTTTTGTTTGGATTATGAAAATAATTTAAATATAAGTGGAAGTACTTGCACGATTATGCTCCTCTTCGGTTACAAATATTGACTAACCTAACATTTGAGCAAAAATATTCTTGCATTTATAGGTTAGGAATTCGTGATCATAAAACTTTTATGTTCAGTTTGTTCACGATTTTAGCAATCATGATTATAAGATGACACTTCGAAAGAACGTGATTTGACAATCCAAACGCGATTGGATCACCGAAAGAAAGCCCCTTGTAAACACTTGCCATTTGTTGCAATTTTTATTGTCCGCAATAAAACTTGCAAACTCTAAACAGGCCTTTAGAATACTATGACTTATGTATAGTATTCCTGTTCTTGTAGAGAACTATTCAGGGACAAAAACCTACTGACAGTACCATTGTGTATACACCTTATATACAATGACGGTACTAAGCATGTACTTATTGCAACTATTACCTAACACACAAAAAGGCTCATTTCACCACCAGTTGAAATATCCCTAAACAAGATTTTCAAGAAGGGTCCTATTTAGTGGAAGAAAATCACCCCATCTTCTTTCAGATGAGTCAGTGACTCATGATGATAACCAGATGTGTCATTTTAAAGAGCTCCACGGGTTTTATCAAATTCACCTTTTCTGGTGGAAAATTGAAAAAAACCATAAAACTTCAACATGGAGGCTACTATATTACACATTTTGCATTTTATACATTGACGAAAATAATGAAGTATACCCCACATTTTTTCCAAACAGAACATATTTGTCTCGATACAATCATAGAAATTAATCATGTAAGTACACGAGAAGGTTTCTACATACATCCTATCAATTGCCTCTTCGAACTGTTCCGACTCACATCTTTACCCTCCACAAGAAAACTTGTTTGTGTTTCTTGGTGGCAAAAGTAAAAACTCTCCATAGCTTTCTGATTATGACGAGTGTGAAGTTGGCCCCGAATGTTTTCAAAATTAAAGATTTATCAAGGACCTTATAGGGACCCTCCAGAACAATTGCAAAATTTTTTACGTGAGAGACTAACTTCACATGTGCCGTAACATCTCAATAATTTTATGAAATGACCACATGGCATTTTTTAATACTTCCTCCAGTACCTACAGAAGTGTCTCTAAAGGTATAGTGTCGATTCTCTTTTTTAGCACCGTCTACAACAGATCTGAAAATGGTTTAAAGGCGGTAATTTTCCACCTTTCCCCAGTCACATGTCACAACAAAGATAAAGGAAACAAAAGAATTACCTCCATGTTTTCAATTCCGGAATCAATATCCGTATTAGCAGTCTTATCGACACAACCGCCTGCCTCGTCCACCTCCATATGAGTTGAACTGGTCTCCGAGTCGCTTCTTTGCGGCGGATTCCGCCGATAATCTCTGGCGGTCGAACTAGAAGGCATGTCGATCGGTTTTGTGGGTATCTGAAATCTGCCTTCGCCGCTTTCGACATCCTCATTGATGTCTTTGTTTGGCTTTTCGTCGGCAGACGGCGAGGGACTCTGGATCCTTATGCTATTAAGAGGCGATTGAGATATCGGTGTCGTCGGTGGTGATGTCGAGTTGGAGGGCGAATTGTTCTCGAGGGCGGCCAATCTGGCCAACCGTCGTCTTCGTATCTAATCAGAGAATGTGGTGTTGGCAAACAAAGGTAAATGCGTGAAAGAGTAACCTAACTTACCTCCTCTTGGGTTAATTCGCTCATGCTGACATGCACTTTTGATTTAGACGGGCGAATTTCACAAAATGCTACACATAAATACGCTAAAACATAAAATGCAACGGATCAGACAGACGTCAGAGAGTCAATCACCTACAACAGCTGAGTAATTATGATATTGATATTAGACGCAAAAGTGCAACACTGCTTCTACGTTTGTCTTTTCACAGTCTAATGTGTCTACCGAACGTATTTTGAAGTTAGCGCCGTCCCTGTTCAACTCAATAATCACGGTGTCGCTGTCTCCCTTACGAAGGACGCAAAACAATGCGCGCGCATTTCCACTGGCCTTCTTCGTTTTTCGTTCGAAAAATAAATTTCGAACTTGACCGTCAAATGCTTTTTCTGAAAACGTGTGTATATTTTTGGCAAAAACATAAATATAAGATGATTTGCGAAAATAGAATCGCAAACTTTCCAATACAGTCATCAATCTGCACTGCGCGTTTTCATAATTATATTTTAATCCATAATAACACGTTTATTGATTCATTAATTAATAATTAACTTCTCCGTCAATACAAGCTATAAATTCATACCCATACTTTCATCACAATACAACAGAGAATTCTTGCACAGTCACGAAACGCACACAAAGGAAAACACTAAAGATGAGACGGGTATTTTTTATTTTTAATAGACCAAAATAAACATTTAGATCAAAACTTAAAATCCCGCCTTCTGCCTTCAGTTTAGATACAATATCGATAGGTCCCCTCCTCTCAGCCCCTACGCATATAGCCTAGGATCTCAAAGGATTTGTAGATCATACAATAAAATGAAGACGTGGGCTTAGCTAGATTCAAATGGAAAGCGAAGAAAGTTTAGCAGAAGAGGTGCGATTTAAATAAATTGTTTTGAAATCTGGCCAAATTGTGTGTGTGTGTGGAAAATCCTATGATTTGATTATTACTGAGCCAATTTAGGGTAACTGGGACCCTGACACCTCCCATTGTTGCTCACATTTGGCAATTATTTATTATTGTTGACGCGAAGGCTAGGGCATGATGCAGTCACGTCTACTCCCATCCAGTTTTTTCTGACTTCTCTGACTGGTTTTCTAGAATAGCTTCAGATCGTTACAGAACTAACAACCTTTGGGGTTTTCTTCCTTTATTATTTCGTTAGGGGTTAACTTGTCGTTACCGAAGAGGGTATGTCCACGCCTAGCGCGGCAGCATCCCAGTCATATAGGACTTGTCCTGCCGTTTTGGTAGCCTGTCCGCAGAGTGGGCATTTACTATCTACATCTACAGTGATATTCATGTAGAAGTAGACATAGCGATTTCCTATAGGAATTTTCCATGTCTATAATACTTTTACATGATAAAAAGTCTCCTGAAAGACGCCTAATTGTATGCAACCAAAGTAACTACCTACAACGAATGAGGATCTACCGGGTGATTCATTAGAAATGATCACTTGAATTTCCCGCGTAAGGTTTTAGTATTTTTTGCATTATTAGATTGACGGTTTGAATTTCGTTAGTCATTCTTTTCTGTCATGACTTTAATTGTTGTGTGCCATTTGCGGTTTATTACTTTTTCTATGTTGAACAATTTTTAGAGTTGATGCACTAAGCTGTGTCTAGTGTTAGTTTATAATTTGTGGTAAAATAGAAGCAGTATTTGTAGATTATAAATAAGTAAACGATTTACTAAAAGCATGATGATACACCACTGCAATTAAATAAAAGATCATCATCTAGTATCAACTTCATAATTTTTTTGATTTGCGGGAAATTCAAATTATCCTCACTTTTAATGAATCACCCGGTATATATGTATTTAGATATGGGATCTGCCTGTCATATTAATTAATTTGAATATTATCGCTTTGACTTTCCTATTGTAATTTCGGTTCGTGCGTGTGCAATGTATTCAACTAAAGAAAAAGTTGATATTTCCAATTGGTATAGTGCCGATAACAGTTAAAGGAGCTTAATTTTCTGTGAAGCTAAAGCAACAATATTCAAATTAATAATTAATATGACAGCCAAATCTTTATTTGTTTCAAGAAGTTATTTTGGTTGCATAAAATTAGGCGTTTTTCTGGAGACTTTTTACATGAATATCACTGTATACCGATAATGACCCCTGTACGGATCCGAAAGTCCATCTTGCCTCCTTCATCACTTTCTTCAGCTAAGCCTGAATAAATCGCCTACTTACATTGTCGCTGGCCAGATTGCACGTTCCGGTAGAAGACTGCTTGCTTCTTTTCATTTATATGACTTACTTTATGTTACCTACCTTGTTGCTAGCTCATCTACCCTCGCAATATCTCAGATAACATTGAATATTTCTGTAAGATACCAGGAATATTCAAAAAGGTGTATTTGAACATGTGAACATATCTAGAATATATAGGGTGATGACTCGCGTAACGCATCATAAGGATTTCAATGTAAAATTCATAACATGCGATTATTGGCTCCCCAAATTATTTTAGAGTAAAAATGTATTAAAGTTTTTTGTAGAAAATTTTTTTTACGCCAATCAACCGTATTAGTTTTCAATTTTTTTCATATAAATACGGAAAATTGGAAAAATAAAACCCGCATCTTTTTCAATAATCTGCGATGCCATGGAATTTCCTAAAACAAAAAGATATCCAGTTATCAATTAGCAGCAGTTCGAAATGGATTTTATGATCGAATTGGTTACTATCTTGCAGTTAATGGTGACTTATTCGAACATTTATTGTAAATTGTTATATTAGGAAAACGTTTTTAGTAATTTGATCTTTCTTTATTTTGAATTCGCTGTTCTAAATATAATACTTTTTGATAGAATTTGATTTGTTTTACAGCAGACATTCCATGGCATGACGGATATTGGCGTAGTTTTTGTATTATAAAATTCCATGACATAACAGATTATTGAAAAAGATGGGGGGTTTTATTTTTCTAATTTTCCGTCTTTATTATGCAAAAATTCAAAACTAATACGGTTGATTGACGTAAAAAAATTTTTTCTACAAAAAACCTTAATACATTTTTGCTATAAAATAGTTTGGGGAGCCAATAATCGCATGTTATGAATTTTACATTGAAATCCCTATGATGCGTTACGCAAGTCACCACCCTCTATATACGTGCCTTGTAAGATATACATACTAGGGATATGCGTATGGCAATAGCTCAGATATTCTTGAGAATAAACTTAAAGGAATATCCTTCATTTATTCTGAATACCCTTAGAACATGATGCGTATATATACCACTTGGGTCACTTGGGATATTCTGAAAATATACCTATAGAATAAAAATATTTACAGTTTATTATGAATGTGCTTTGTATATGAAGTCGACAGTGCTATTCATTTAGAAGTCGACATAGGGATTTCATCTATATCATTGAATAAAAACACTACCCAGCAAACACAATCACGTGTTATTTACGTAATTATTATGTGTCATAAATACGTAAGAGACGTAAAATAATACGTGTGAAACACGTAGTGACCACGTGACAATGTCACAGACCAGTTACGTTATAACCACACGTCCATAGACGTAATAAATGACGTCATTTTGCACGTGTGATTGATGTTGTAAATACGTAATTTTTGTTTAAATAGCACGTAACTTTTCACGTATATTATACGTTACAGATACACGTATTTTACATAAAGGTAGACATTTGATTAAAATCATTTGTAGTGCAACTTTATTTAAAACAAAAAATATAATAATAATGTTGTATCATTTACTATAGTAAAATAACACTAATAATGAACTTAGAACATATTATATGTAGGTACGTGTGTGGGGTAATAAAAATAATGATAACAAGTTGGAAACTGTGCGTTATATCTAGCTTATAGTATTATTTTCCACAGAATGAATAATAGGCATGGACATCCATACATTATTATTAGAATTGATAGGTAACAAAAGACATTTTACAAGTGAGTTTGTTCTACACCACATTTTCAAATTGTTACTTATGTCACTAACAAGAAAAATTTTTAAATGCTTTGAATCTATTGGGTAAAAATACATGGATTGGATAGAAAGGAACTCTTTGCCAATTATTGTTAATGAATTATTACACTTTAGAATATTATGAATTTGAATTACAGAATTATCAATATAACAAAAACAATTAGCTACAGAATATGAAATACATGTTAACATGAAATCTTTTATATAAACCTTTTTAAATTGTATTGCATTATTATCTATGTTGTCCAATAGTGGTCCTAAATTGTGCTCATAGAAAAATTGTAAACTAATATTGTCTTGTTCGAAACAAGTTGATGACAGTAAGTCCATTTCTAAAATTCGGTTATGTATTTCTTTTAATGGATTTACTGTAGATTTCACAAGTCGTTTTAGTTTGCCTAAAAAATTTTCGAAGGGGAATGCTGAGAAAGTATCTAAATTTCCATAGCGTTTAACGTCGTTGTAAATATGTGACAATAAATGTACATTATAAACAATAAATTGTAACCCATAAAGAACTTCACAATGCTTAACAAAAGTTTTTAGAAGTTTACTACAAAATTGTGGATTAAATTTCTGAATATGTGCATCACAAACCATTATAGTTGTTGCAGTATGCAGCAATAGAAAATTTTCATATATAGCACGATCTGTAATGCCTCGCAAAACAAGCGGACCAAGGTACAAAAGAAATGTGCGGAACTCAGTCGCTTTCCATCGGTTTAATTCCGATAATGATCTGGGTTTTCTATTGAATTCGCTTGGTATATACAACTTTAATGATTCTAAATTATTTGAAACAGTTTTAGTTATGTGACTACTAAATCTAACATTTAAAGGTCCACAAATCCAAGTGTTTAGCAATTTTCTTGTGACACCCAAGCAAATATTGTGCATATAGTCAGTAGGGAATTCCGTAACTAACCCAATTGGTAAACTCAATAGCGGAGATATTCCAATGTGATGATCTTCATCAATTTGACGAACAAACGAATCATTGGTTCTTTCAGGAGAAGTTAGCGAATTTAGAACAACCCTTCCGTTATGATATTCCCCATATACGGTGCACTTTTCGCATGATGAATAGCCAGTATGGTTTTTAATTTGCTTCAAATAAGCACGAGCGGGGGCATCACAAATAAAACTGTGAATAATTAATTCACATTTGATACCATAAAGGGTAAAACCATCAGAAAGACTATTATATTCGTTAATAAAATCTTCCAAAAAATTATTCAAAGGAGAAGGCTTTGAAGTCCCACAAAAAACTCCAACCACAAAAGGATGGCTTTTAAAATTTTTAATTTGTGCCAAAATAGGCCACAATTGAAGGTTACTACTATGATATAAAGGAATTCCGTCAACATTGAAGCTTAGAGAGAGTTTTGCATGTCTGGAAAGTAAATCAAGATGTTTGAGAAAAAAAGTTTTAAAAAAATTCAGAATGCCAAAATGGCAATATTCACCAGTAATTAATTTTCGACTTGTCATTTGTCTATGAGTTCTCAACAATGTTCGTGCATCTAGAGGTAATTCTGGATGGTAATCGGATAAAATATGAAGTAAACTAGTAACATGAGTACGTGTCACACCATTACTTGTGGCCCAATAACGAAGTCTATCAGAAAGACTTGTTACAGGAAAATCTGTAACACTATTTCCATATGTGGTGCAGATACCCTTAGTTTCATATGTAGAAGTGTTATTTGAATTATCAGTGACTAAATCTGATGCTGCTTCTTCAGGAGCCTCAGCAGAGGCAATATTAGAAATGCTACTATTAAAATCAGCAAAAGTTGATTCAGAACTTTGAAATATATTTTCATATCTATCTTCATGCAAACTAGTAATATTGATTGGCTGCACAGTATCAGATGAATGTAAAATCTGGTTAATACGATTTCTATCTCTAGCAATTCTTCTATATAATTGCCGTTGAGACACAAAAGATTTATAATTTTTGGTGATTTTATCCATTTTAATACCCCACACTTACACACTAAAAGCTTAAATAAGTAATATTTACAGTTTCTGTTTGGCTTCTTCTAATTTTACCCTTTGGGGCGCGTGCTTCAGCCACTCTTTAATTGCATTTACAATTCGTAGCTCATTATCCACCGAAGTACCCAATTTAACTGCTCCTGCAAAAAAATAAGTTCAATAACATCCTAATTTATAGATCAAACATTTACCTACTACTGCCTCCTTCAAATGCAAATTAGCAAACGCTTTTTTCTCCAACCTAGAGCCCAAGAAGCTATATTTGGAGGCCAATTGGTTACTTAAACATTTCCTCAAAATTGCATTAACTTTTGGGACAACTTCTTTGCCACCTACTTGGGACAAATATTGCATCTGTAATAATGCCCAAATCATATTAATGATTTAACCTATTATAATACATACCAAACACTTCAAATTCTCTTTATCTTCAAGGTAATTGTCTAGTATGTCCAGATCGTTTTGCGAATTGCAAGGAAGATCTGGAAAATTGTCCGGCAAAGAAGCTGGGTATGTGTTATTTTTTTTATCCAAGTGTGCCAAAAGTAGTTTATTTTGTTCTTTAATTTCTAGTAGCAACTTTATGATTTCTAAAAAAAATAATAAACATTCTAACCCTTTGCATAAAGAGTAAATGGTACTAACCATTATCTTTACGTTCAGTCACATTTACAGCTTCGCAAATTCTTTCAGCCTGCGAATTCAGATGTAATACATTTTGCCCTGGCGTCGATGAGGCGGAGGCACTTTGTCCACTTATAACAGTTAATGTACTTGAGGATCTCGAACTGGTTGGTGTGCTGCTGTAGGGTTGGTCGATTCTAGCGGGAACTACTACTGCTGGCAACTGCTTTGAATTACAACAGTCTGAATTTCCTAAATGTAATAATACACATTTTTCGAGACATTTATTCAACAGAATGGCTAATGCATACCTTCAATCGCAGGCGGTCTTGGCAATTTCTGACTATCTAATTTCTCTCGTATATTTTTTGTACTAAAAAGCACTACTTCCTCGTCTTCGTCGCTGTCACACAATCGTCTCGTAGGTTTTCTAATTCTTTTATGCGGAATTTCCTCTGCTTCACTTTGAATATCTGACGATACCTCCGCTAATTTTATTTTTCGTTTTCCTTTTTCCAAATCGTCTTAAAACAAAGAAAGTACTTAGACAAAAATTTTGTTTTTAAGATAAGGCGAGTTGCTAAACTAATCTGTGAGCGTGGGTCTAATTACAGTCTTGTCTTACTCCAATATTAGTGCAAACTCGCTTCTATCTCATCAGCTGATGAGCTCCTTGGTTAATAAAGCAACACGTCTATACATCATGGGCCAACAACACAGTGCGACTACCGAACAGCTTATCGTTTCACACATACATGCATCATAACAAAAATATATATTCAATAACTTACCACAAAAGAAAAAACATCGGTTAATACTGTACTGCACCCAACTTTCAACATGATGTTCATTTTTTCTTAATGCTTTATCGTAGAGGTCTTGAGATTGGTAAGGCGGCCAATATAAATGTTTTTTCCTTGGGGTCAACCAACTACTACAAATAAGCGCTACTGCATTGTCGTCTGCAAACTCTACACCAGCGTAAGCCATGTCTACAGAATGCACAAACAAAGAATTTTATGTCATATGAAAGTACAAATTATAGGTTAGGACATCTGATTACAATTTTACGTTACTTTTAATAAAAGACAATGGGTACGTTCAACGAACATAGCAAAAGTTAGCAGCTGATTTAATTTTGCGGTCAGCAAATGTAGTGTGTTGAACGCTTCTAAATTTGACATTTTTAATTCAAAATTCAACATAACCTTATTATACTTATATGTGTACGTGATGGATCAAATATTATTTACTTAATTTCTTGATAGCGCTAATAACCATAACCTTATATAAATACATTAATTATGAGAACGCACAATAACATAGTAATTTAAATCAAATATTACTGAAAATTCCCCATGTTGTACCACAATATTCAGAAAGCACACATATAAAACACTTTCGTTGTTCAAGGCATGTCAATTTAAAGGTTGGTACGGAATTATAGGTTACAGAGTATATAGTTCAATGGTTAAAGCAAATGTACTGTCAACAAAACTTTTAAATTGCCATGGTATCCCGCCTTTTTTACGCTGACAGCAGAAGTTAGAATTAAAAATTGATGCTGAGCATTGCGGTCAGCTAAAGTAAGCAATTGCTAACAGCGGTAGTTAGCAATGCGTTCAATAAAATTTTGCGGTCAGCAGCTAAGCCCGTTGAACGTACCCATGCTTAATTCAATTAATTAATAAATCATCTTATCCCTCAATTTCCTTTTAAAACCACGTAGCCAAGGATTATTAATACATACCAGATGAAATTTGCTCTTGGATTACGTATGGACACAGTCAAAATTCACGGTTTTTCACTGACTCTGAAGCTGAACGTTAAAATGGCGCCAATGGCGGTTCGCCCTCCGCCGTTTCGTAGCAGTATGCGCAAACGCAAGTTTCACAGACCATAATTGGTTCGTACCTACAAAACATTCGCGCGCAAAATACAATAAATTTAATATACTTTTCTCCTTTGTTTATTCAAAATGCCTAATACCTAACGACGTAAGTTGTAACGTTTAAAATACGTAACTTTTACGTACCCATAAATGACGTGTCTTCAACACGATTCCCGTACTAAAATTATTACGTACCATTCAGGTAACATGACGTAATTTACTAAAAATGTACGTGTATTTTACGTAACGTTACGTGACTGTGTTTGCTGGGTATGTTTTTATTCAATGTCTATATCTACTTTTAAATGACAAAAATGCGTCTGAAAGACGCTTAAGCTTATGCAACCGAAATAACATGCGCACGCATTTTGCATTGTCATTCTAGATTTATAGTAAAAACGACAGGAAATAGTGTGCTATTATTTCCCTTAAGTTTCGTATGGGATTGTCTAAGGGTTGCTTACTGTGCCTTATGTGGATAATATTTAACCTTCCTAATACCTGGTGATGTTTAAAACACCTAATACCGAGTGGGGTACGCGCGGAGCCCAGTCTATTTTTCATTACAAAACGGACATTATCTTGCAAATGTTGTCTACTTGTTTTGTTATTCAGAAGAATTGATATTTTGTTTTTGCATGAAAGGAAGGTGTTTGATTAACATATTTTTTTGGGAAAAAGTAAGGAAATAGGGTCATACATATTACAAATAATTTTTTGAATCATTGCCCAAGTATCTGTCTTTCCATGTGATTGGGACATATTCTTATATTCTTCTTACACTGGGAACATTGTGCTTTAACTTTTTGATCTTTGCTCCTCTGGCACAAATGGCATCTTCCGTTTTCGGTTGATCCGTCTTTTCTTGCGCTTCGTTCTTCTGGTTTTCTCGTACCTACTTTATTTCCAACTGTTTTCAGTACGGAAATGATGTTACTTTTGGTGATTTAAAGTCGAAGATTATAGCAAAACGCTAACAATGTGATTTTGAGTAATCTTTATCTCATAGGGAATTACAAAAGAGAAGTGCAATTGGCAAAATCGCTTATAATTTGAATTTTTTGACACTATATCATTATATGATGCCTGATGAGGTTATCAGAAGATAATATGAAGGAAACATTAAGGAAAACCCATTGAATGAATAATTTCAACAATATTCAACATTAAAATTTTATAGACACCTATTACCGGGTGGGATCCGATTGGACCCCAAACGTGTTTTTGGGCAGACATTCTAAAATATTGGGCTATATAGGTACTCAACATGTTTGTATTTGATGTATAAAAGAAAAAAACGGAAGCCAAATCCATAATATTCTAATTAATTAATGTGACACTATCACGGCAAAATCTTCATTTGTTGGAAGAAGTTATTTTGGTTGCATTAAATTAGGCGTGCTTCGGGAGAGTTATCATTTAAAACTAGACATAGGAAATCCCTATCTTCTAAATGAATATCTCTATTTCGGATATTATTTATTTATTTATTTATTTATTTATTTATTTATTTATTTATTTATTGATTTATTTATTTGACCTTTATTTTTGAGTGAGCGGGGTTTCAGTCAAGGTTGCTGGTTGGGCAACACACCTGTTACATCTGAAACAAAAATACAACACGCTCTGTATACATCAGTCGTGCTGTGTTTTCGATTTCGACCGTTCTGCGCAGATGCCGAAGACTATAGGAGATTTTCATAACGAAGCTAGGGGAAAAAGAGCGTTGCGGAATGAAAAAAGATGGCGACGGATCGATCACATATATATGGTCGATCACTGACCTAAATTTCTTGTGCTTAAGCTATACGAAAATGGGGGTCTCTTATGTGATTTTTCTTTGAATGAGTGGTTCAACCTGTCTCCGTGGAGTAGGTACCTAATACAATTCAATCTTTCGGTGTGTCTGTTGCTTACTTACTTACTCATGCGGATCGCAGTTCTTGGCACCTTAGCATTACGAGATATTTAGGGGACCCTCTCGTTTACATTTCCTCTATTTAAAATATGTTTTGCTTGAGGGATAATCGACTTTCACACGAATACTTGCTATTGGCGTTCTCACGTGTACTTTTCGTGTTAAATTAATTATGTTAACTGAGGCTTTGAGCAATTTTGATGTTTCCTATGCACAGACAATTTAATATTTTATTAGTTGTTTTATCTCAATTGATCGTATATGTATTTTGATGTGTTTTTGTACTGAATTGATTTATCATGTTTGCCACTGCATTTATGATGTCTTGTGAGATTTGTTTTTATGAATTTGATTAATTGCATTTTATTCAGTTACCTATATCTGGTTTTTATCGTACAATTTGGGTTGTTTTATTTATGTGTATTTTGTCTTGCATTTTGTTGCTGTAGATGATTTATTTCATGTATTTGTGTGGGCTATGCCGGGTTTTGTCCCGTAGAAGGTTTCTCTTGTTGTGTGCGTAATATATTTATTTGTTCTGGTCATTTCTTACGCACAAAAATTGTGCCTTTTATTTAATTCGCTTCCCGGTTATGTCTCACGTTCCAACACGTACGTACAAGAACCGATTAAACGACGTAGGAGTCCATTCGTGCCATCCATATCGATCCGACTGCTACCCAAAATCAAAAGTATCGCGAAACATCCATCGTTTCGACATGAATGGTAGGTGACTCTGCTCGTAGCTCTTTTCCAGAGTTGCCAACGGTAAGTATAGGGTAAGTGAATATTTTCAGTGTCGACTTGGAAGACCCCTAGGATCATTACAATACATTTACAAATATCCATACCCGAACCCAGTTTCGAACCAGGGACCCTTAGTATCGCAGCCCAGCGTCAACTCAACTGCGCCACACTCAATACCCAGTCCACGTGCCCGGACCCATATGTCCCCATGGTGGCACCGACGCTTAATGAAAGGTGGACGCCCAAATGGACCAAAAAACCCTCAGCAGAAGACGAGTGCATGGAGTTGAATAAATCCGGATGCAAAAAGTGATGCAACGAAGCACGATGCAAATACATTGCGCCCCTTTGCAACTGCAATGGGATCTGCGTTTACACAACAAACCCTAACTAATTACCTGACCCCCTCCCTCCCTCACCCAACATATAAGACGGGTTGCACAGTTATCAACGACTAAGAGATCGGTAACAAGCCGAAAACTGCATTATGTGTGGGTATCGGAAGTAGGAATGGAGTCTAGAGTGAATAACTCCCGGGGTTAATCGCTGCTCATTTTATCCCTCAACTAGCAGTTAAACATAATCTTCCCGTTTTGCTCATGGCGAGAGGCCAAATGGTCCAGTTATATATAAACCGCAAATTACGTAGCTGCTCAGCAGAACCCAAAGGGGTAGGCAACCCGCACTAATGGGGCTAAGATTATACCCCTGAGTGCCATAAAAATTTTCTTTGTGGTTAATTATGCTAGCTATAAATCAAACAAATTAGAAATTGGTCAGTTAACGCCTGAATGGGTAGGCAATCCCTACTCATATCTATCGACCACAAATATTGGACACGTGTTTTCACAGTCAAGGAACTTAGTAAAGTCGAAATAGATGGTCCAGTCATTATCAATCAACCTTTGTGTATGCAAACCCTTCCTCCAAAGGGGGTGTCAGTGGACAAATAAGCGTAGCGCCACGTCGGAAGATGAAGGGTCAAAGATCATGTGCGCCAATTTTTATAGCTTTACTCAAAGTGCGAACTTTTTTCTTAATCTTCCGGACTAGGGATTCAACCACAGAGACAGCACACCTGCCTCTTCATCGATGTTGCAAAGACTTTCCATACCGCCTGGCACAAAGGTCTACTATACAAGATGCTGGAAGGAGGAATCTCCGTGCTCATATTGCAACTGATTCAAAATTCATTTTGGCAGTAGAAAATATGAATAAGGGCTTTCAACCCCGGTACGGTAACAATCGGTTACAACTTTTCCGTAACCTTACATCCAGGTATCACAAAAGTACGAAGAAAATGATATACAGTGTGTCCCAGGGAGAACACACCATAGGGCAACAGCACTAATGTATTTTTTTCCGAAGGATCAATGGAATCCGAAGGATATGAATTTGAAGTTAGTGTTCAACGTACGTTATTGCGCTTGTTTCATGCTAGAAAGAGATTGGACTAGTACGTTAAACGATAATTTCAAAGGCTTCGTAGATGGCTCGCGAAAAAGTTTCCTTATGGTGCGTTCTACCTGGGAGTTGGAACACACTGTATATATAAGATGTGTCGTTCTAAAATTGATTCCACGTGATTCTGCAGAGGTGCTGCTTCATTCTAGGTGAAATGAATGCAAATCTATAAAGTAATACAAAGTAATTAATGAAAGCATATCTTGGTAAAGCGTGGCGTTGAAGAGGAGACATTACCTAATGGATATGACACGACAGTCGGCTCGTGTACAAATTAATTCAACTGAATAATTTATAGAAAATCGAATTTGTAATTCAAGCTCAGCATCTGCAAATCAAACGCAACATTTTACTTACAAAGTACACCTTCATCCCTTTACAAGAGTGTTTGTGAGTGGGCATAACATAAATTGATTCTCCTAATTCATAAACATTACAAAAATAGAAGGGACTTTGGTATAAATATCTATCGTCTCCAAAAACCACATACATTAAAGATGTTAGTTTTCTTAATTGTGTTTGCGATAAGTTTCTGCACGCTCCTTCGGCGATACGTGTACTGGAGTAGACGTGGTGTCAGGCAATATCCATTCTGGACGATTTGGCTAAACAATATTCTTCACTTTGTAACTCAACCGCCATTGACAGAAGCCATGCTGCGGGTTCACAAGGATTTTAAAGATGCGAGGTACTTAAAAATCACGATTTTGAGCTAGAGCCAATATTTTTTAGATATATTGGAACTTACCAGAATTTCTCTCCGAGATTGTGTATCAAAGATCCAGAGCTGATAAAGCGAGTGTTGGTGAAGGACTTTGACTACTTCGTCGATCACAACACTTTCATCCCGTACGACGGAGACTCCGTTTGGGAAAAGAGCTTATTTAATTTGAAAGGTAGAGCTCTTTGTCCACCTTTGTGGTAATTTCGGTCCCGCAGGTGACGATTGGAGACACCTACGAGGCGTTGCGAGCCCAACGTTCACCAGCAGCAAAATGAAACTGATGTTTAGCACCATACTGGAATGCGCGTCACAAGTGGTTGCCTCCTTGCAAAAAAGCGGAGAGGAGACTATCGAGTTTGATGCGAAGGAGCTTTTTGGGCGATTAACCACCGATGTTTACTTCGCAACCCACTTCGGTATTCAATGTAATTCTCTAGAAGAGCGAACTAACGAATTCTACATCATTGGCCAGAAAGCCACAAATTTTCTCGGACTCTGGTTTAAGATTAGGTTCATTATGATACAAGTTTTTCCAAAAATAGCAAAGGTAAGCTATCGATGATTTCCATCTAATATCTTGATATTGTAGGTGTTTGGTCTGCAAGTGTTTGACCGAGAAGTAAACGACTTCTTCCGTATGTTGGTAAAGAAGAATATCGAATCTAGAAAGGCGCAACGAATTGTTCGGCCGGATTTAATAGATATTATAATGAAATCTGAAAGCAATTCGCATGTCGAGTTGACGGACGAAATACTAACGGCGCTGGTTGCCACGTTTTTCGGCGGCGGATTCGATTCCGTTTCCACATTATTGATGTTTGTGTGTTACGAGCTCTCTTGTGATGCCGTCGCTCAGCGAAGGCTACAAAATGAGATTGAAGAGTACAAAGAGAACTTGACGTATAAAACCCTCATGGAAATGAGCTACTTGGACATGGTCGTGTCTGGTAAGTGCAGCAATGCCTTTTTGAGAAACGAGAGAAACTTTACTTCTAGAAACACTCCGGAAATGGCCCGTGGGATTCTTTCTGGAAAGGCGTTGCGTTAAGCCTTACATCATTCCCGCGTTGAACCAAGACGAAGTGGATGTTCACTTAAAGGAGGGTGACCAAATTTGGATACCACTCTATGCGTTGCAAAGGGACTCGAAATGGTTTAGTGATCCCGATCGTTTCGATCCCGAAAGGTTTAGCGCCAAAAATAAAAGCAACGTTAATCCATACACGTACATGCCTTTTGGGAATGGTCCGCGCCATTGCATTGGGAGCAGATACGCGCTGCTAGTGGTTAAGGTGGCCATATTTCAAATTATGCTAAACTATAACGTTAGGCTAAGTAAAAATGTGCAGCCATTTCGGCTTGCGCGTTCTTATTTTCAATTGCTTACCAAAGACAAAATGCTCTTGGAGTTTCGCCAACGAAATTAGGTCAGTTGACAAACGGATTTTGTACTGTATTTCACTTTAAAACCTCAAACACGACATACCATATCCTTATAAATATCACACAATGAATGGGCACGTTCAGCCTACTAACACCGTACATGTGTTTTCTTGTATGTATTTATTAGCAAACGTCAATATATACCTGAACCGTTCTGTTGACAAAAAATGAATATTGTGTTGCAAGAATTATTTGAAGATGATATAAACTGGAATTTTATTCCAGTGGCAGTGCTCCAATAAACATTGAACTTCCTAGGTTATGGCAGTTACGGCCAGGTAAAACACCGCCAAATGTATGGGTGCCAATTGTTACCAACTGTTGACTGTTGACCAGTCATCGTTCGTCTCAACATACTCAACAGTTGCGTCGGATGAACGTACCCAATCTTACTAAACCTGTCCCACATACGTTAATTAGCTACTAACGGTGCTATTTATTAAGAAGTAAGCAGAGGGATTTATGTGTATTGATTTTCCTATGTCTACTTTTAAGTGACAAAATCTTTTCTGAAGGGCGCCTAATTTGATGCAACCAAAATAACTTCTTAAAACAAAATAAAGATATTAATTAATTTGAAAATTGTTGCTTTGGCTTCCGTATTTTATTTTCGTTCTTGTAACATTTATTCAACTGGTGGAAAAAGTTGATATTGTCAATTGGTATAGTGCCGTATAGCGTTAAGCCAAAGCAACAACTTTCAAACTAATTAATATGACAGCCAGATCTTTATCGATTTAAAAACTTATTTTGGATGCATAATATTAGACGCCCTTCAGAAGATATTTTGTCTTTTAAAAGTAGATATAGAGAAAAACAGTACACATAAATTATTAATAAATATCACTGTATAAGAGAATTTACAGCAATGTTCTATTTCGAACTCGTTTTTTTACAATGTAAATAATCTTATGGAAACAGTAGTTTTCTTCTTGGCATGGTGTTTAGACGTAAAATGAGCTTTTTCCACTAACGAATATCAAAGAAATTACAAACTGTACTTATTACACTTTCAAAAGGCGTCTGATTTTATTATCGATGTTTAGTTTCTTGGTAGACGATTAATGGAGAAGGGTCTCTTACATATAAAAACTAGAGGCCGCCTAGCACACATTCAACATCTACGCTATTCAAAAAGAATCAAACCCTTACAAAAATTCTCCACAATATTGTATTTTTTCTCCCGACTCTCCATTTTTGAGATATTCGCACCAATTCACCCACACTCCGCACTTAGTGTGGGGGCATATTATGTAATCCTGTTTACAACTCGTGATAATTTTTGACACCTTATATTTTTTTGTTCTTAGGATGTTACTGAACACGAAAAGTCATGGTGCCAGAATGACATTTGACCTAAAGGGTCATTTTTGACCTAGACCAAATTTAAGAAGAAAAAAATCAAAAACCAGAGATAAAACTTTTTATGGAATTTATTAGTAATAGTTATTTACATAAGAGTCAGGAAAATGACACATTACTCAAGTAATGTCATTTTTCAGACGAGTTTTATATTAAATTTTACCCGAAATCGTATTTTAACATAAAACTTCAATTTTTATATAGAACTTTTGATTAAGGCCAATCTGTCAATGATGACAGGAGTCATTATAGACATTTAGCAATGTGACAGGTGCGGAAGGTAAAGTGACAAGTGCGGTTGGTAAAGTGACAGGTGTGGCCGGTAAAGTGACAGGCGGCAGGAAAAGTAGACTGGTCTCTCCGTCACGGAAACTAACACTTTCCGGACATAAAGTAGGCATGAAAATGAAGGTTTCATGACGATTTTGGGTAAATATTTTTGATCCAAAATCGTCCTGAAGCCTTCGTTTTTGCCTACTTTCTGTCAGAAAATTTTGGTTTCCATGACAAAAGCAGAGCAGACCACGATTTCTGCCGCTTAATTGTTACTTTATTGGCCGCACCTGTCAGTTTACGGGTCGCACCGTCACTTTACTGGCCGCATTTTTGACATTTCCAAATGTCTATAATAGCTCCTGTCATCACTGACAGATTGACCTTAATCAAAAGTTATATAAAAATTGAAATTAAAAACATGAAAACCAGTGAATGTTGTACCTTTGAATATTATGGTAAACATCAGATGTATATAGTTGCGTTGCTGAAATCTCATTTGGTCTTTCTAATATCAAACTTTCGACAGAATGTTATGCTTATTCACAACCTTATCTAATCTTCATCACTGTATTCATCGTCTTGTGAATCAGAGAAGCGTGAATCTGTATTGTCACACATGAAAATGTATATGGTAGATCGCTTTTAGGTACTTGAAACATAAGATGGGATAAACTAGCATTAATTTGGATATGTCTCCTCATATAAATCTCGTAAATTAGCAATGCATAGAATTTGAAAAGCAAATTATATGTTATAGGAAAACTCTCGTTCAAACCAAATAATCACCTTGCTAACAAACGCTCGCTATGCACCACCTAAATGGAAAATCTCACTTTGGCACCAAGATTTTTTTTATTCCTGAACACCTGTGGAAACAGAAAAACCTTGGTGCCAAAAATTATCACGAGTTTTAAATAGAAAAGTTAATCGCTACATATGCGCCTACACTAACTTGAGAATGAGGAATTATAACCGACCACGATAAGATGTGGTTGCCTCGATGGCAGAAATAGTTCATTCGTTGAGACCTTCCATTAGAGTACCATGAAGGGTAAAACCTCCCCCCTCGCAACTTCTCGATTTTGATAAGGGGTAATGGAAAAGGGCGGTAGAAAGTAGTTGCTTTCGAAGACACTCTTAATTAGAACACTATGATGTACATTTTACGTACATCTCACTACGTACTATGTAAGTACCTATGTTAATTGTTAGGTCCATTCTAAGTGAATTTGAAACGCAAATAACGCAAACAAATATACTACTATTCCAGTAGCGATTGTAATGATCCTAGGGATCTCTCAAGTCGACAGTGAAAATGTTAACTTATCCTATAACATTCAAGTCGAAACGACCGACGGTACTTGTAAACTCTGTAGTGAGTTCGATGTGGATGTCTCGAATGAACTCCTACATTGTATAATCAGTTCTTTGTCCGTGTTGGAACGTGCGACATAATCGGGAAGCGAATTAAATAAAAGACATCATTTTTGTGCGTGAAATGACAAGAATAAGTAAATAGATTATGCACACAACAAGACCATACCAGGGAATCCTTCTACGGGACAAAACCTGGCATACACCACACAAACACATGAAATAAATCAACACAGCAACAAAATGCAAGAAAAAATACACAAATAAAACATCTCAAATTGTACGATAAAAGTGAGGTAATCGAATCAAAGGCAGTTAAACAAATTGATAAAAACAAAACACACTAGACATAATACATGCAAATGGAAAATATGATAAATCAATATCGTACAAAACATATTAAAATAGCTGTATGATCAAATGAGATAATACAACTCGTAATATGATATATTGCATGTACATAGGAAAACATCAAAATGGCATGCCTCTACACCAGCCTCACTTAACATAAATAAATTTAAGACAAAAAGTACATGTGAGAATGGCAATAGTAAGTATTCATGTGAAAGCAAAACACATTTTAAATAGAGGAAATGTTAATCAGAAGGCCCCTAAATTCTCGTTTTGCTAAGATGCCAAGAAATGCGATCATCATGAGGGGAGCAGGCAACAGATATAACGAAGAATCGGACTGTATTAGGTACTTCCTTCACGGAATAGTTAAATTCGAGCAGAGCAACACCACATTGATAATAGACTTCCTCGTGAATACAGAATTAAATACTTAATAAACAATATAAAGGCATAATCACCTGCAAACAAATCTGATTCATATAACGGCATTCAAAACAAAAGTATGGAGTATGCCATGTGCAACAAATATACTGTGAAGTATAAATAATAACAAACTGGGACATGAACATCCATGATTAATGGTTTGTGCAAATAAAAATAAAATGGTTACTACCTGTAAATACACCTTCAAACACAACAAACATCGACGCCATTCCTTCTTCTTCGTTAACCCCGCTCTAACCTTTTCTCCTACCTTCGGTGAGAAAATCCCTGTCTTCGGCATCTGCGCAAAACGGGCGAAATCGACAACGTAGCACGGTTGGTTAGATACAGAGCAAGTCGTATTTTTGTTTCAGGTGTAAAGGTGTGTTGCCTAACCAACGTGATCGTAAATTTTTCTTCGGAAGAGTAAGATTCCAAGGTACTCCAAAACCTTTTAAGTACACTTGTTCTGGATCAAGTTGCTCTGAATGCGCCAGGCAGGTCCTGCAACAGCCGCACAGACACGAGTATAACAGGTACCTTTATCGATGAAGCCGTCAAAGGCCCACTTTTGGTAGTGCCGCGAGAAATGTACGAGGACGTCATGCAAGCTTCTGGGCGCCGAGGAAACGATCCGCGCCATCCCCACCCACCGGCCGAAGATAGGTAACCACGTCCGGGATAACGTGCGAGGATGTTGAGTGTGTATAATAACGATACGCGGGCTGATACAAGATGCGCTAAGGCATTGGGGTTGCTACCATCGTACAATTTCCATATTCCACACTCAGGCCAACCCGGTTGATAGCGGGAACCAGGAAATCAAGAAGGACCTCCGAAATTGGCTTCAGGGAAATGATCCAAAAAAGTGAGACGCCGTGCTACCGATCATAGTGTACATCCTACGAACGCGAAGAGACGCCGCCAAAGGAACAACGCCTAGCCACGCTCTCCTGGGATTTGAGCTTCCTTGACCGACCCGGCAGCTAGAGTGCCACAAGACGATGAAGCAAGAGAATAACTGGCAAGACAGGTTTAGCGTAACTAACACCCAATCGTGTTACGCAAACTATGGACCTACCAGAATCCAGTTTGAAGCCCGCGATCTCGTGATGGAACGGGCAGGAGATAACGTCACCGGTGCAACGGGCCCATACTACATTATAAAGCACGCGCCCAACATCCGGCACCACAAGCTCAAGCACCGGAACCGCCCATTCTGCCAGACAAAATTATCTCGCCAACACCACCGCGACAAGGAGGTGGGAATTGTTACCACACTCGATCCAGCGTCATATTCAACGCCTTGCAATACTGGCCGATGTTCCGCAACAAAGGATCGGCATGGTATAATTATGGAAACTCAAACGCCAAGAAGGTACTGGAGCTGGCCAACTCATCCACTACCTTTCTACAAGCAAATGAGACTGGCCGTTTGGCTCTAGTCCAACACTTCGCCCGTGCTCACCATCCTCGTCGACCGAAATATCATGGTGCCAACGCCTACTTGGGTGTATAATATGTATTGAAATCTTAGGTTTCATTTTTAATAAACACCTTTACTGTTACTTGTTCCGCATTACGGTATCCACTGTTATCGTTCAGTTGGCGGTCCGTGTAGAATGGATGTCCCTAACTGAAATTTGGTGGTTCGACTTCAGTACAGTATAACAGTAATTTGTTTAATAATCTGATTAACAATAAAAAAATATCTTATTTTGAAAATCAACACAAGTAAGTCGTTTCAGTTTAAGCGACTGTACTTTAAAATGAATGTAGAATGTAACGATGGTAGGAAATAGTTTACCACGTGACGGAAGTCGTCATCATATTACCTCAATTTGCGCTGGTGGGAATGACCATATAGGCAGAACTGCGGACTAGATTGACAAAGGGAATCGAACACAAAACATGCCAACGGTGACGAGTCTCTCCGCGCTCTTATAACCTGTTTTTCTCAGTTTCCATCGCGTTCCATTTTAATGCACGGTTCTCCTCTTTTTTCCTTGCTCGTAGGTTAAAATCTATACCTAAGGGTGGCAGCACCATACACTGGACAAAAGAAACAATCGCACAGATTGTTAATAATGGTGGATTGTCCTCACATGTTATCGTGGGTTTTTCTTTTGCTCTAAAGATTTTAAGAATGGTTGTGATTTCGAACGGTTCAAAATACCAATCTCCCTGTACCCCTGTGTTAATAAATACTGTAGTCACCTGATAGGACACCCCAGAGAGTATATTGGAGGAGACTGTGGTAAATTAAAGCTTGAAGCAGTAGAGGGATTAATTAAATGCAAAGTGTTGCCACCATGATCAGGTTGATGCTGTGTCGTTCATGCGGTGAACGCTTCAACCAAGGACCTTCTAAATAAAACGACAACGAGCGTGCGTTAACAGAAACTTGGATGGTACATACCGCCTATGATCTTTGTACGTATAAACCGAAGCGATTAACCCCGTACCAGCTAGCTCCATGACTCGCATGAAATTTCCTCTCCCCCCACCCCACTTCTCAAGAAGAAAGAAACCAAAACGGTCTCACGGTCTAGAACCATCGACGCGGTAAGCATAGGAAATGCCAATTATAACATTTGGCCTTGCCGAACTATCAAAAGTGTATGTAAAGTGTCCATGAAGGTTTTATTTGAAATTTCTCACACTCCAAAAAGTTTTCCCAGAGTTATTGCCGTGATACGTCCTGAAATAGATAAACAAGATCAAACAGAAAACTCTTTCACAATGCACAATTTGTTAGTTTTTTCCATTTAGTGCAGTGGCCTTACTCTTACTACAAGCGATTTTTTGCGTAAACTTTTATAGTAAGGTAAGGTCCTAACATCATCATACTCAAATTTTTTTAGTTCACCGATCCATTTTAAAAACCGGAGCTTCGAACATGTTGGCTTTATGTTTAACTATTCTTACGATAGGTTTCTGTACTCTCGTGCACCGATATTTGCATTGGAGTAGAAGAGGTATTAAGCAATACCCATTTTGGAAAATTTGGCTAAACAACATTCGCGACTTTATTACACAACCACCATTGACTGACGCCATGGTGCGAGCTCGTGAAGATTTTAAAAATGCACGGTACTGAAGAATAAAGAAAATATTTGTGTTACATTCAATACGCTTTAGATATATTGGAACTTACCAAAATTTCAAACCGAGACTGTGTATAGAAGATCCAGAACTGATAAAACACGTGTTCGTCAAAGACTTTGATTACTTCGTCGATCATAATGTTTTTTTACCATATGACGGCGACACGGTTTGGGAGAAGAGTTTATTTAATTTAAAAGGTAGGTCTCATCCAAGAAACTTAGAAATAATTTCCCCTCGCTTAGGTGACGATTGGAAACAGTTACGTGGGTTTGTAAGTCCCACGTTTACCAGCAGCAAAATTAAGCTAATGTTCCACACAATTTTGGAGTGTTCAGCACAAGTGGTCGCGTCTTTGAAAAAAAGCGGAAAAGAGATTGTCGAGTTTGATGTGAAGGAACTTTTTGGACGATTAACCACCGACGTCTTCTTCGGCACGCATTTTGGAATTCTTTGCAATTCTGTAGAAGAACAAACTAATGAATTTTACACGATTGGCCAGAAAGCCACCAATTTTCTCGGATTTTGGTTAAAAGTCCGATTCATTGTGATTCAGGTGTTTCCAATAGTAGCGAGGGTGAGTGTTTTCAGCTTTTAAATATCTCCTATCCGTACCATTGCAGGTGTTCGGTCTACGAATATTTGATCAAAACGTAACCAACTTCTTCCGGTTACTAGTTAAAAACAACATCAAATCCAGAAAATCGCAACAAATCGCTCGTCCAGACCTGATAGGCATAATCATGAAATCGGAAAATAACCCGGATAACATCGAGTTGACCGACGAGATACTAACAGCGCTTGTAGCCACATTTTTCGGTGCCGGATTCGATACCGTCTCCTCGGCATTAATGTACACATTTTATGAACTTTCCTGCAACAGCGTTGTTCAACAAAAATTGCTCGATGAAATCGATGCCAATAAAGACAACTTCACGTACCAAACGGTGATGGAAATGCAGTATTTAAATATGGTCGTGTCTGGTAAGTGCAAATTAGAACGTTGCAGCTTTGGGCACGTTATACTTTCAGAAACTCTGCGAAAATGGCCCGTTGGATTCTTCCTGGAGAGGCAGTGCGTCAAGCCGTACAGAATTCCGGCATTAAAAGACGACGAAGTTGAGGTTCAACTAAAGGTGGGGGACGGAATTTGGGTACCTCTGTACGCTCTACACAGAGATCCGGAATTGTTTAGCGATCCTGACCGTTTTGATCCCGAAAGTTCAATATGCTTATAT